CTATGCAATCCCTTTCAGTTTCACTGTGAATTCCAACATTCATTTTCATTACCAATCCATTTCACTATTTTCTATTTTCCTGTGCAATATATTTCACTGTGAATTTTGACATTCATTTTCATTTTACTATTTTCCTTTTTTTATTGTATATAGAATTTCGTCATTAATAAATATTAATGCTACAAAAATTGCTTATGTTTATAGAAACAGGAGAATATTAACACTTACATAGAACTAAGTCCTTCATCTAAGCACTCCTTTAATTTTTCTCCATCAAATATTTTGGCCGATACAATCATAATTTCAGCTGGATAAAAGTACCGGGTACTGACAGATTTGAAAGGCCTGCTAGTGCATGTCAGATTACACAGGTTTCACTGTAAATACAAAACAATACTCACAGAGTGCATATTTCTACCAACCAAACTCCTCTTACCATTCATTTGCCTCTCATATCCCAATAGGGTATTGTTCATGAGAGCCAAAACAAAAACAAGTGAATTCTGAAACTGAATGTTAATTTGGTCCATATCAATCAAATCAATTTTTCCCTTTCCAATTAAAGCACACAAGCCTGTTTCCAAATTTTCACCACACTCTATGTATTTTAAGTGTTCCGATTTATTTTGTGGACTGCAAATCAAATCTTTTGGATGACTTATTACATCAACTCCAGTTGGGATAAAAGGTTTTTGAAATATTTAAACTCAAAACCAATGTAGTCAATTTTACAGAGCAATTAAATTTACATTTTTATTGACAGTAAATGGGAGTATGTGAGAGTAACTTCTTCAAATTCTTTACATGTTAACTACACATTGGTATGTCGATTAACCACATCATAAAATGTGTTATTTTTTTGGCTCATTGTGTTTTGTTCATGTAATGAAACACTGGCACACACTTTTTATTGAAGAAAACGGGTATCAATGTGAAAGAATGTGTGTTCCCTCCAAAATGAGTAAGGTTAAAAGGGGAGGAGGGTGGGGGATGTAGCAATGTTTAAGGAACATGAAGTAAGATCAAGGAAGTCTACATTCACTCAAGTTTCTTGTCCAATAATGAATCCTTAATATTGTTCTTAGAACTAGGGGAATTTTCTTCACACAGATCTTCTCTATGTCCTCATTTTCTTTTTTATCATATATAAGTAATGCAACAAAGAAAACTGTTAAAAACTAAACATTCCTCTCAAAATGGAATAAAAACTTGTAAACAGGTTAATTTTAAGTGTTTCCTTCTAAATTTTTTTTTCTTTTATATATTCAACAACAACAAAAATAAAATAAATGCTTTTTGCAATGACATTCTTTAAAAGTGTCATATACTACTTAAAGTCACTTCCTTCAGAAGCACTTTACCTATATATAGCTGTACTTCTTTAAAGAATCTATGGACACTGTATCATAGAAGCGCAGAGTGGGACTATGTTTTTAGTGTAAATGAAAACAGAATATAAAATTCTAATTTAGACAAATTAAATTTTGTGGAGCACAGAGAAACAGGAAGAGCCATCACACTATATGTGTACTAGTTAAACATGCATATTACACATTCCTTCGTCAGGGTTTGCAATGTGAAAGCACTAAAGGCATGTAACAAAGTAGACAGTGGGGAAAACACATACACTATGAATTCATTACACCAGAACAGCTGCCAGGTATATATAACAAACAGGTGAGAGTAAAAAGAGACCACACTTCAAACAAATCTCTCTACTTTATAAATGTATAGGCATTTTCAAAGGGGAAAACCCATAGCTTTTTTTTTTTAAATTTCATAAATTGTATACAGTTATACTAATGTTACTATAACAATTTTTTAAAACTGAGCAAAAAAATTGGAAAGGTTGTTGCTTCCCTTTCTCCATTTAATAAAGTTGCATTAAAAATAATGATATCTTTGACAAAGAGGCAATTCTTCTTTTATTTAAGTAAAGGATTTCATCTTGGAGTATATCATTATATTTAATAGAAAATAAAATCATCTTCTGTCAGGCCAAAGCCCTAACATCTCTTTGTGTGAACACCAGCGGGATAGGAATCAAAACACCATCTTCTGAACTAGATCAACATTTTAAGTGAACATTGACACTGTCTTCAACAAATGATTCTTCCAAATTTCAAGAAAAAAGAATTATTGACATGAGTCATTAACTTTTGTGTAATTTTGCGAGTTTAATGACTTGATTGTGGTAGAGTGATGCTTTAACCTGACAAATGAAAAACCCAGGACAAAATACACACCCTCAATAAAAACCTGCCAAAAAATATGTCCATCGTTAAACCGTACCAGTCCTGCTGTCATTAAAAAAAACAAGATCTCTTTATTTTCTTGCCTTGTTCCTCATAATGACTACAAAAAGCATTTTTATGAAGGAAAGTGTTGGAAATATGGCCTTGTTTGAACTTGATAAAAAGTTTTATTTCTTTGGAAATGCTTGTCTGGATTCTTGTGACAAACCTCTGAGTTATAAATCAAACTTGATAATTGTCACAGATAGTCTTATATTTCGCAAGTGGTGACAATGAATAATTAAAATTAAAGTTCCTGCTTACTCGAGCATGTTCAAATCTTACTGCATGCATTAGAAATGAGAAATTTCAATACACAGAACTAAAATAAATGAAAAAATGATTTCCAAACAAATCCTACAATATATATCAGTATGTACTTCATTTTTGCATTGATATCTATCCAGGAGAATTTTTGCGACTCTACAAACAATGATTGCTATGATATTTAAGGAATCTTTCAAGAAGATTTTCAGTCAATCAAAGTTTTGTTTCCAATCTAGATTGGGGGATTTTTATAAGGTTTATTTTCCACCTAAAATTTCTTATCTTCCTTCAACAGACCTCTGGAACAGTTGCATCATTCAAAGTTTCTAATGTGAAGTAACTACACTGCCAAATTTACACAAACTCTGCATGAGAAAAGACATATGGACTTGTGAGATACTTTTTATCCAAAGTTAAGTGATACCAAATCAAAAAGGGTTTGACAATAACAAATGTAGAAATGTACATTATTAAATTTATAGTGATTTAAACAAATTGTATAATTTTTTTTTCTGGGATTGCATAATGATAATCCAAATTTCAGGTTTCATTCAAATCTTTTTTAAAATATATATTAACAAATATGCACTGCCACATATGCATTTATGAGGTAAAAATTAAAGAAACCTTTTTTTTTTTAAACTAGCGATCCATCAAATCAAGCTAAATGAATGCTTGAAATCACATTCTTAACAATCTTTTAAAATGAACTGCCTGGGGGCCTGGCATTTAGAAAATAAACAGACTAAATGTACAACTCATTGGCATATTGTCTTTGGGGAGATTACTCTATAGATTAGGAAAAATGAAATTTAGTACATTTTTATTTTTACACTAATGGCAGAAAGATTAAAAATTTGGAATAAATCAAAAACTTTCTTTTTACTTTTTTTACTTAAGTAAATCCTGTCTTACATAATTCTTAATGTAATCTCTTTAACTCTATAAATTAATGCCGTTGTAATGTAATACCCCTTCTGTTTACGTAAAAAAAGACTTAGTTAATACATTCAAGAAGAGTAGATTTAACTGTCTGCAAATAGGACATGAAAAGACTTGCAAGGTTGTTATCAGTGTATGCAAACATAAGCTAGCCACTTCTGAGAAGGAAAACTGTGCCTTTTCCAAATTTCAAGTTATACAAGTTACTGAGCTTCTTTCTGGAGTTTCAAGGATGTTTAGGAAGCCAAATTTTAAAATTGTCAGTAAATTTAAGACCATTTGTCTAAAATAACATCAGTCGTCAGTACACAACTTCTTAGCTGATCAGATCCAAGATATTCTTCAGACCTGTCTACGGCTTGACGGAAAATGTAAACAGATATTGTTCAAGCCTGGACTCACAATCGACATTATCTAGTATAGTCTTGTAATCACAAAATTAAAGGTAAAAGGCAATTGGGTTATCAAATATTAGTTTCACTTCTAAAAACTACAGCACTGGGTATTTACCCAGATATCAAATTTAAACATGTATGAATGTGTATTGAAGATGCTAAGAGAATACTTTGTAACTAGACAATTTTTTAAACCGATATTTTTTCAAGATAAGTTAGTAATTCTACGTTTCTTTTTATCTGTGTGTGGGTAGCACTTGCTTGCGTGCTGCTTTTCATTCATAAACCCAGTCACTGAAAAAGTATGCAACTGAATCAATGATGTCAGAGGCACTTTCTGTAAATGTATAAAGCTCTCATTCCTGGCACAATGGCTCGAAGTTCCTCCTCCATCTGATGATATTAATGTCACTAGCCTTCATACTATGGGAGTGTGGAGAAGAAATTGTAAAGAATCTCCAACATTTTATTATTTTCATGACTTTCTTTACTATAAGTAACATAAACAATTTCTCAAAAAATAGAGATGAAGTGTTTCAGTTTTAAAAAATTAATAATACTGGTACCCAAATATTATTAATGGCAATTTGGAAATGACTATTCATAGACACTTACTAGCTAGTTGATAAAATGCCAATTTTAAATATATAAAAATCCACAATAAATCTTTTATCTTGAAGCGTCTTTAAACCTTTACCCTTGGGATATCGGTTGTGCTTGATATTTTAGTTACACTACAAGTGATCGACAGTTAACCAAGGAATTTGTGGCATGTGTTAGTTTTCATTTCACTTTTATAATAAAGTTAATATCAGGGCGCGATTTAATGTGTATCGACGCGTCCAGTTCATAATACGCAGATGACCCAAATTTACCTGGGACCCTCTTCGATACCCCAAAACCAGGTAAAGTAAATAAAGTGCTGTAAGAATGATCCCATAATCTCCTAACATAACTTATATCTTATTAATCCCCACTAACATGTTCTGTTCACCTTTCAAAAACTTTTTGGAATATTACGAAAGTTTCCCAACCTCGTTTTTCGATAGCTACCCAAACTGTACAAAATAATTTGACAGTCTTCGCAGTGGAAAAAGCTTACCTGGTTCCTTATATTTAGCACTTCCAGCGAATTCGCCGTTTGTCAGTTTTAATCCATGTACCAGTAATACCAGACAGAATAAAAGAAAATTCTTATGAGCCATCTTCCGTCTTAGAATGAACAGTAAACTATCATTTTTAGCCTTCTTCGCACTCCTTCGACAGCGTGTTTGTAAAACTAAAGTTTTGCGATGATACGATTTGCTGAACCTGAACCGGAAATGGCGTCAGAATAACAATAGTTATCAAGTTACGCGCGTTATTTTGTCAACAAGAGCACGTGGATATTGCACCTTCAAAAAGAATACTGTCGTGTGAACTTCAATAAAGAAAAATATTAAAGAAATTATGTTTCTGGTTGCACGCAAGCTTCTCATTTGTTCTTATTTTATAATTCTTAAAGAGTAAAAGAGAATGCCATTTGATAAACAGTTTTTTTCATTTGAAAAGGAGGCGTGACTAGGGGGCGGATCACTTTAATAGCAACCTATTCCAGAATTATTTCAGAGTTAAAACAGTGATATATGCCAATATATTGAATGAAATATTTGTATCTTTTAAAAAAAATGATTCACACACTTGAATTAATTTAAGTCAATATTAGCCATGTATTACATTTTAATTTAAATTAACTTTAAAAGAAATTTTCAGACACAGATAAACTAAATTCTAAATTGGTATCACTTTTACATTATCACTATTTTTAAATACTGCAAAGTACTTTTATATATAGGGCGTAACTTAATAGATAAAATAAACGTTCATAACAATCTGTGAGACTGGCAATAGAAATTTAAAAAAAAATGGCGAAGTAGTGATACTACTATTTCTTTTTTAAATTAACTTATATATATATTAAAATGTTGATGTGGTATTTGATGAACTATATATGCAATATACAGCGACACACAATGAATGATTCAATAAACAAGTTAAGAATTAAAAAAAAAAACTACTCACATCTAGATACGAGAACGTTAATTTAAATTTTACTTTTTAATTTTTTACACACAGTCATTAAACCATTCTTACCAGTTACACTGAAAATCCGTGATCTTTTTTTATCTTTACCAATACTATGCTTTAAAAAAGAAAAGGAATCTAAATATTTTAACTGTTTCTCTTAAACGTTCAGTAGCATTATTTAACCTTAGGTGCAATACCGACCAAATTCCCAAAGCCCTGTGACACGCAAATTAGTTTGAACCAAACTACTTTCATTTGTAAACATCAGAATGAATTAAATGAATTCATACTCTGAACAATAATAACTGCGAAAAATAAAAATAAAACAAATATATAGATGTAAATGGATGCATTTTTTTTTTCTTCGTTTTAACACTTAGTTTATTTACGTTAAAGTGGAATACAGTAGATGCAGAAAAAACTCGTTTTTTACAAGTTTATGTAGTTTAAATTGCACACATTTGCTACATGCAGACGTCAAGGAAACTATTTTATCAGAGCACATTTTTTTCTGCGAGCAGTTTTTCCTTTTTTTAATATCAGTTGCAAAAAATCCATGCGATCCTCGCTGTGATATGTGTGTATATGGCGTCAGTCTAGGTGTAGCATAGCTTTTTCTCTCTGTCACAGCGTCAGTCTAGGTGTAGCATAGCTTTTACTCTCTGTCACAGAGCTGACGTCATTTCGGTGTATTGGGGCACATGCTATTTTGGTAGTACTTTATCAGTTGATTTCTGTGTATGTGTTTGATTTTTTGGGCTGTCAAAAAATCGAGTAACTAGGAAGCAGCTCAAATCGCTAATTTTATTTCACCAACAAATATACTTATCAGTAAAAGTCTGGGATGGGATTGGGAAGATGAAGTGCGTTTTTAAAGAGATTAAAACAAATCATGTATAGAAATGGCCAACTTAAATGATTCTCTATTTATTTTCCAATTGAATTTTTTTTTCTAAATCATTTCTTATCAACGAAGTTTTTGTACCCACCAATTGTAAATAACATTGAAATAAATCAATTCCAACAACGGATGTTTACTCAGTATTCAAAAATCCATAATATATATACTGAATGTATTGCTTAACTTTGGTAATCTTTTTTCATTCCCCCCCCCCTCTCTCTCTTGTTCGGGTACCCTTAAGTTCCAAGTACTGTCCTCTCTGACATATTTCGTTTTTGTCATATACAAATTTAAGAAAAAATTCTAAATTTGGTAGAAAACAGTACGCTTATAAATATGGCACATCAAATACATGTATTGTAGCAAGATTTTTTTTTATTTACATATATTGAAAAAAAAACTTTATAAGCAAATTTCGCTATAAAAACAAGGCACAAGACGTATTCAGCCGACATTGACATGAATTTCAACCCCTCTTCCCATGCCAACCACCAAGAAAGGATATAGATTTTTTTTTTCATGATGAACCATCGATAGAGTTTATTTTCGAAATATTGGCATGCGTTACGAGCAGAATGGACTACGAGAAAAATACAAACTAAAATTCTAGTAGACGGATAACAAAGTTACGGAGGGACAATCATTGGTCATGCAAATGTTGACGATTCTATCAATATTTTACTCTTCCCTGGGGAGATCCACACGCCTCCACGACAAGAGGCAAAATCTCGTAGTATCTCATTTTAAAGGATGAAAATGCTGTTAACTGTCACTTTCCTCAAGAATCACCGCCATTTTACAAGCAGTCCAAAACATTAGCGTGGTTATGGCCAACAAGAATTAGATTACATCCTAAGGTTTTAACGACCATTTAAGGATAAGTAGACACAATGCAAACTTTATTACAGATGTGTTCATTTTTTTTCTTTGTCTTTATTGACATTGCACAAACCAATAAATCTTCAATTGATGCTTGTATTACATGTATTAAAAACACGCAACTATACCGAAATTGTTAATTTTACTGATTTAGCTTTAAATAATTCGGGGAAAGAAGTGCAAAATTGGGATTCTTTTTTAGTATATATTTTTTGTCCTGAAAAAGTAACATTATTTCTTTGAATGAAAAGCAGCAAGAATAATTCTGCCGTATTTTGCTATTGCCAACAATAGCTACTGCAATTTTCTCTCCCTCTCCCTCAACGTGCGTGTGTCTGTGGATCAAGGAGTGTGTTTCTTTATACAGTATATAACCTACAGCTTGAGCTAATTTTTTTCAAATTAGACAAAAATGCAAAAAGTAGTAATTTGAAACAATTCAATAATTTATTTAATTTAACTAACAATGTGGTCATGAAGTAAATTGAATTTATGTGGCTGAAGAGTGCCTACCTATCGCAGTATGAATGTATTGACAAATAGCATCTATGCCTTACTTGAATTAAAAAAAAACTATTTAAAAAAAAAACTATAATAAATACACACGTATTTTTCAACAGTTCAACTAAACTTTCTAGGACTCTAAAAAAGGGACATGGCTTGACTGAAATAGGTTTAAATTCCCTTCAGGATGATGTTTTGCAGTAAGTTTGATAAAAAAAAACAAAAAAAAACAGTCCTGTGGGCCTGGGCCATACTCTAAAATGCAAAAACTTATCTTTGGACATACATAAAAATGTGCTGGACAATCATTTTATCAAATAAGCTCAACTACAAGCTTGCCTCACATGAATTAAACACCTTAATTTCTTGTCATCTTTCCATGAATTTACATGAATGGCCTTTCCCTCACAAGAAGTATACTTAAATGCAGCAACATATAACGTATTGTAAGCTAATTAGCCTTGCTGCAATGTTGTCAGAATGAAACAATAAATTTCTTTAATATCATATCCTTGTCAAGTTTGATTCAAATCCATTGATTGAAAATGGACTGAATTCTTTAACTAACATGGTGAACCCCTTTTCCAATCAAACAAATTAATTTGAAGAATTGTGGTCTCCTGCTTTCAGCATCTTAGTGGTTGGAATGCAATTATTTATGGCACATTGTAATTGTTTTGTCTGTCTATCATACATATCTTTTTTTAAATAAAAGTTTTGGCCATGATTAAAGTTTCTTAAAAGTGCATCAAACTTTAAGATCAAGGTCATGAGGTCAAATATAATACAATCAGAAAGTAATACACATGTGAAAAAAATATGAAAGTCCGGTCTCTTTTGGAGCAAAGGTTACAACCAAATATAAACTTTTGATAAGTTTGTCAAACTTCTAGGTCTAGGTCAAGAGGTCAAAAATGACAATTCTTTCTGAAAGGTGTTGCTAGTACATATAAAATATGAAAGCCCTATCATATCTTGTTAAAAAATTACTACCAATGTTGAAATGTATAAAACTATACTACATAAAGGTTAAACTTTAAGGTCAAGAGGTCAAAGACCATGTGAAATATGAAAGCCCTATCTTTTCTAATTCACAAAGTTTGACCAAGACTAAAGTTTTGGTAACAGATGGACACACACTGACAGATGGACAGACGAATGAGATTTAATCTCCCATTGTTTCCACAAGTATGTGTGTGGGTGGGTGGGGGGGAGATAAACAATGTACTTTGTAAGTACAGATGAACTACAATATATTGATGCCAATGTGCTGAATACTATGATTATCCCAGGGTCTACACTTCTATCAGAATCTTGAGCCCTTTAGATTCCTTTCTGCTTTATCAGTACTGATGCACTTGAGATACTTAGGATTATATGTATACATACATAAAATTTATAAACTGGTACTTTTCATTTATTTAACAAGCAATAAAAACATTTAGGACACAAAACTCATTTAGAGCTATATCTTATACATGAATAAATTCTTTAATGCAGTTAAATAATTTTCTTACATTAAAATCTTGTAAATCATAATCATGTTTCATTGAAATGCCCTAAAAATAGGATTTGTTATAGAATATTGAAACATTGTATAATAACTTAACATTCAAAATATTACCATACAACAACACATCGTGATTGTAATTACCGGTACTAAGAAACAAGACACAAATTTTGTGCACAAAAAAACTTCATTATTTAATATATTCATGATTTTTTCCTCTGTAGTGTAATATTAATTCTATGACATGTACTGTTTTTATCCACAAAGATATGTGTTGGAGGCAAAATATAATGCAACCATCTCATCAAACACAGTTTATCTAAATCAAATCAACACACTCAATGGTTCTAGCACTTACAATATTAGTGAATTTTTACAAATCATATTCATGTATTAACATCATATGTTACTCATGTATACTTATATTGAACCAAAAGACAATAACTTCAACAACAGCAACAGACATGACACAAAAAATCAGTTCCCATGGAATGGTTTTCATTTAATTTTATCATTCATCATTTGTTTAAAGACCAAAGAGGGTCAAGTGAATTTAAAGGGTCTGAAGGGTCACTAGAATGACCTGAAAGTCCTGATGTCTTCTGCTGAAAATTAGCTTTAGTAATTTTCTTTTTGCCTTCACTTGTCCCTAGGTCAAAGGTATGTGGATTTTGTAGGTCGGCAAGTGACAACTGGTTCCCTGCTCGTGCTGACTGATGAAATGGTGACCCTTCCTTGGATTCTGGTGCCGAGTCAAAGCTTGGCAATGACACAGAGTCCAAACTCCTGTGTGATGCTGAATCCAAGCTTTTAATAGAAGAACTAGACTCTGAATGAACCATTTTAGGTTTAGCATCTACACTTTCTTCCATTTTATCAGATGTAGTTTCAGTTCCCTGATCCCTTCCTTTGTTTTTATCCGCTCGTTGCACAACATCAGGTAAGTTTTCTGACAGATCCTGTCTGAGGTGTTCCTGTGATTTTCCTATCTCTTCTTCACTGGGTTCCATGGCATGAAGTCCCATTTTAGCCACATTTGTTCGTAGAGCACTGACAGACATAGCACCAAACAAGATGTCCTCTGTTGGCGTCCATTGATTGGATTTCTCTCCTGGGTGCGGAAGTTTGTCTCCAAAAGATGCCTTCTTTATTAGGATTCCCTCTATATTAAAGAAATTGATCATGAACAACCGATCTGGTTTATAATTCCCATGAATCATATAAAAAAAAGACATGAAGAGAAATTACAAAACCCAACAAAAAATATATGAAGGACAGATATATTTCCCCCATTATTACCTATAAAGGACTATATTTGGTAATGACCAATGTTTGCCCGCAAAATCAAACTTCAATGGAGAAATTTATAAGATGAAGAGCAAAATGGGAAAAAAAGTGAAATTCATCACAGATAAGGTCAAGGTTAAAAAAGATATGACACACACACACACATTAATTGCTCTTACCAATTTGTATCATTTTACAAAGTTTGATGAAAATTTCTTGAACACTTTTTTTAAAACTTAGTTAACTGTAAAATGAAGGAATAACATGATCAAGGTCATTGGAAATGTAGCTGAATTGCTCTCATCAATATGTATCTTGTTTATGAAGTTTGACTAAAAAAAATCTTCAGAGTGAAGTTCAAAGTCATGGGAAAGTCAAGATCAGAAAACTATGACAATTTGATTGCTCTAACCATCATGTAACTTTGTAGGAAATTTGATTGAAATATCTTGAAAAATGAAGTAAAGATCATAGAAAAGGTTAGTGTCAGAAAATTATGAAACATCAATTTGTATGTGTATGAAGTTTGATGAAAATATTATGAATAGTTTCTTCTAAACTGTGCAAAACACAAAACAATAAATAATAAGGTCAAGGTCATATTGAAAGTCAAGGTCAGATTTTTTTTTACATAGTTGAATAACTCATATCAATTAGTATCTTTGTTGGATGTTTGTTGAAAATATTTTGAACAGTTTCTTTGAAAATATAAATGCAAAATAAGAAATAATAGGGTCAAGTTTACAGGGAGGATCAAGATCAGAAAATTATATAACAGTTGAATAGCTCTTATCAGTTCATATCTTTGCAAACAGTTTGATGAAAATATCTTGAACAGTTTCTTTGAAACTAAGATAAATGCAAAGGTGGGGAATATTAAAGTCAAGGCCATAGGGAGGGTCAGGTTCACAAAATTATGACACAATTGAATAGTTCTCACCAATATGTATTAGTAATTCAGTTTAAAGGAAAATAGAAACAGTTTCTTCTAAACTGTGCTAAACAAAAAATAGTAGTAAGGTCAAGGTCAAGGGAGAGTCAAGGTCAGAAAATTATTACATAGTTGAATAGCTCCCATTGATATGTATCTGTGTTTGAGTTTTGATAAAAATGTCTTGAAAAGTTATTTAAAACTGAGCTAAATCCAAAATTGGAAAATAGTCAGGTAAAGGTCACAGGGAAAGTCAAAGTCAGAAAACTTTGACACAGTTGAAAAGCTGCCACCAATATGTATATGAGTCTTGTTTATGCTTGAGCAGTTACTTTGAAACTGAGCACAAAATAGGGAATACAGTTGTAGTGAAGTTAAGTCACATGGAAGGTCAAGGTTAGAAATTAAGCACTCACCAATATGTATCCGTATATGAATGTTGGATAAATTATCTTCCACAATTTCTTTGAAATTGAGCTAAACACAGAGTGTTATGGACAAACAGATGGGAGAAGGACGGATGGATGGACAAAAAGAGGATAGAACAGACATGTCAAACAAATGTGACCCTGTCATATCATGGTGGTACAAAAAAAAAATAACACTCAAGAAAGAATACATTCTTCAGCATGCATTTTCCTTTAAGATTACTACAATATCATTATTCAAACATTTCTCCCTATTACAAAGAATAAAGATGTTAGATAATTGTAGTTAATACTTAGGACAACATTTCAAAACATCCCAGGTGATTTAACAATGTGCTACAAATTCTCAGTTTATGTGTATTCAATAAGAGAAAAATTCATTAAATGTAAATATGTTATTACTTTCTTTTATAAAAATAAAAAAGAAACTCATGAAGGTATGGATTTAAACATCTGATAGTAACTCTCACACTAATGCCTTTCACCAAAAAAAAAAAAAAAAAACTGGGTGAAAAGTTTATACCTTCATGAAATTTTCAAAATTAAAAGATGTTTATTAATTAACCATTTAATCAACACTTACCTTTGGCTAATATATCTTGAGCATAAAATAAAACTGCCTCATATGCATATTTAAGCTGAAATTTTTCCTTTATAGGAAGACGCCGTTGTTTAAACATTTTCTTTGCCACATCCATGATACCGGACACCCCTTTTCCATGATCAATGTCTTGCATACAAGTGTATATCAACATAAACACACCTGTTCTGCCAGTCCCATTGCTAGAAATAAAAGAATTGTAAAGATAAATAAGTCATGCCTTATGAAAGGAATGTCCAAAACTGCTCATCTCTATATCCCTTATACAAAGCAATATGACTCCAAAATGTATGGTTTCCTCTCACAAAAAAGTACTTCTGCAAATATGCCAAAAAGTTGAAAATGTTACTTTGAAAACTGTTTGAGTTATCACATCACAACGAAGGTGTTCATGGCTTTACATTCAAACATACAAAAAAACGATGGAGAAGTGATATGACCATAAAATGTATAGGTGTCTTAGTCTCACAGTAAACTATTTCTGTACAAAACTTGAAAATGTTAAGTTGAAAACTATCTGAGTTATCAAGTTACAACAGTAGTGTTCATGGATAAACATTTGAACATACATGTACATATAAACAGCTAGACAAAGTGTTCATGGATAAACATTTGAACATACATATAAACAGCTAGACAAAGTGATATGAACATAAAATCTTCCTCTCATAGTACTTTTGTACAAAATTTGAAAATGGTAAGTTGAAAACTGTGTTATCAAACCAAAACAAGTGTTGATGGACAGACAGACTGACAGACAGACTATGTGATTCCTAATTAATTTTCAATAACTTCTTGTGAAGTAATTATTTAACTGTTTTACCTGCAGTGAACAACCACTGGCTTTAACAGACTGCGTTGCTGTTTATAAAAGCTGTGAACTTCAGTAATGAATTGTAGGATATAAGAAACATTCTCAGGAAAACCACTGCAACAGAGAATTAAATTGTGTTAAAGAAACTCGTTAAAATGTATCCTGTAAATCACAACAGACATTTCTTGTGACATAATTTCTGATAGACTATGTCATTCATCTTTGTGATAAATGATTTTCAAGAATCCTCCCATCCTCACAATGCCAAGGTTTTGTGATTTCGGAACTCCACACAAACCCTTGACATAAGTCGCTATTTAAAAGTTGGGTTTGTGGTTACACATGACATAATGGGTAATTATAAACTAACCAATGAGAATATATTTTTCAAATCCGTCATTTTCAAATGGTCCAACTCCAGAGCATATTTTTGTGATTGTTAGGAGGATGATCTTCCAAAAATTAATCCCTGATGTTTCATTTAATGTAACTAGTCACAAATCCTACAATATCGACACTTTCCATTTGAAAGACGAGTCATATTTGTTTACAAAACTTACCTACAATAAAAGCTGTTTTCTGATTGGTTCCAGTCCAAGGCCAGGAACAAATGAAATGGTAGCTTTCTAGCCCAACTTTTAAATAATGACTTATGTCAAGGGTTTGTGTGGAGTTACGAAATCGCAAAACCTTGACATTGTGAGGATGGAATCCTCCATATATAATTAGTAATAAAAGTTCCTCCATATATAATTAGTAATAAAAGTTATCTAATTTTAACATTCACTATCAATATTATTTTTTCACTTTTGACAGACTCACAAAATTACAGATAAAATAAAATTTCCAAGAATAAAAAAAATGTACAGCTCAGTAACAATTCAAAGAAAGAATTGCAGTAAAACAGGCTTATAGTGAAGTACAAACAACTTTAATTTGATATAAAAGTAATTCAATATATCCAATAAGTTCATAACTACGGGAATGAAAATTATTTCACTGTAAATGTGAATTCATTATAAGCACATTCACTGTGATGGTGTTTTACTGTACATGTATTAACTTAAAATTAACACACACCTGATTGGCCAATTTTTGTACTGCAACTGCACAACTGTTCTTCCTTGCTTTTTCTGAAAGTAGGACTTGCAAGTTTTAACTTCAATTCATTCTTTTATGTAAACACATGCTTCTATGTTTTTATCATGTTCAGTTTGTTACATGTATTAGAATTTTACCTCACTGTGATTTAAATAAATGATCCTCTCGACCCAGTTGACTTTGTCCTTGACACTCTGTAAGGTCAATGTTATTGGACCATGGTACTCTGTCCTTCCTTTCTGCTGAGGCCAATATTCTGGGAATTTCTAATAAACAATATAAATGGTTCTTTATTTATAAATGCATGCTCAGATGATCCTTAATATATACACACATAGTAACTTTAAGTATCAATTTCAAAGATAATTGTATTCAATTCAACATCAAGTACTCTCTGCAAACATGTACAAAATGTTAATCTTAGCAATTTTTTTCTTAAGTTGTCAAACTTACCTTTCCTTTCTCCGTTTCACTGGAGAGCATAACTATGACCTCTGACCCCTGTTCATATACCATTACCCAAAAGTCTGTGAGTGTCACAGGAAGTGGAGACTGGGTTGTAATAAACTTTGGGCAGTTTGGTGACAAATCCTACACAGAAACAATCAACAGTCACAAATACATTAACAATGAAGGTGCTGATTTGAAGAATAAGCCATTAAATGATAAGATTTAGAAGCTTCCCAAAATGAGACTTAAATTATAAAATTTAGCAGCTTACCACAATGAGACTTGCATTGATATAGTCATCCTTCAGTGTGGTGAGTATAATTCGATTTTCATCATCTAAAACATAAAATTGCAGTTGTTTTAAAAGAATCTCCCTCTGCAATCTTCCTTTTCAACAAATTCTATCAAATTAAAAAGTTTAATGCACACTTGAAAAAAATTGTACCTTTTGTGTATTTTTTTAAACTGGTTCAGATTCACATATATTTTTAAGTACAAATGAACGTGAAGTTTAAAGTTTTATAGCCATACTTAAACCAAGGTCAAATATAACAAATTAAACAAGTAAAGAAAGGAAACTGACAAGGCATGCTGTCTTGTTCTCTGTTTTTAGCTGGGTAACACCGTGCAATGGCCATAGAGGACTTTTTCCCACCTCTGTCTTGTTCTTCTATTAGCTCCTGTAAAAGTAACTTGCTTTGCTAGATATCTGCTTCTCACATTGTATGTATACACTAATCTATATATGATTATAAATGAAATGAACCACTGTTTTTACATGTACTTATTATTAAAATTTATATTTTTGATTACGTTGGCACAATCCTTAGTTTGTTCATTTTTGAACATCACAGAAATATGATTTTAATTAATCAATGATTAATTACCAGTAATATCAAAAAAGTTGTATGAACACCCAAATGGATTTTGGCATACGTAATGCAAAAAAAAAAAAAAAAACCAAGATGTGTTTGTGAAACACTGATGCCCCCGTATAGCAACTCATATCAAAGGTTAAACTTTCTCAAATGCAAATCAAATATGTTGGTACCCAAAGTAAGGTCTTGTCTCGAAGAATATACCTTTGAAATATGGAAATCCTAGCAGAAAATATTGAATAGATATGGAAAAGGTTAAAGTTTTTTCAAAAGTAAGTCAAACATCAAGGTCAAGTTCAAATGGTAAAAATTAATGGTGCCCAAGGAAAGGCCTTCTAACAAGAAATACACATGTGAAATACGAAAGCCCTGGCACCAACCGTTCAAAAGTTCGGGTGAAAGTTAAAGTCTTTCAAAAAGTAGGTCAAACTCCTAGGTGAAAGAGTCAAAGTTGTTTTATCCAAGGGAAGACCTTTTCACAAGGATTACATATGTGAAGGATGAAAGCCCTAGCACTAACTGTTCAAAAGTTATGGCCAAGGTTAAAGTTTTTTCAAAATAGGGTCAAACTCCAAGGTCAAGGTCAAAGGGTCAAAGTTGTTGGTATCTGAAGGAATGTCTTGTCACAAGGTATACACATGTGAAGTACGAAAGCCCTAGCATCAACTACTCAAAAGTTATGGCCAAGGTTAAAGTCTGAAATTTTTTTGCAAAAGTGGGTCAAACTCCAAGGTCAAGGTCAAAATGTCAAATTTTATGGTACCCAAAGAAAGGTCTTGTCACAAGGAATAAACATGTGAAATATGAAAGCCATAGCTCCAACCAATCAAAAGTTATGGGCAAGGTTAAAGTTTTTGCGGACAAACAGACAGACAGACAGACGGACGGACAGGGCAAAAACTATATGCCCCCGAATCTTCGATTACGGGGGCATAAAAAAAAATCAATTAAAGCCTAAATTTACATTCTCTCATCCCCTCATACTTTAACAGCTATTTACTTTTAAATTCATTTTCTCAAACAATAATTACTGTAATGTCAGTCATGTCACATCTTATCAGTGTGACACCATATTTGTATTTCACTGACACCTAAAATGCAATTAGTGAATGAGGTTTACGTGTAGAGGTAAAAACAATTGTGGAACAAACATTTAAAATTATCACTGTAATACACAGGAATACTGATAGTTGTAATCAACAACTGCAGCTTTTCTTCGAATATGAAATTAAATATTCATACAGTATTGGATTCCATTAGTATTACCTTCCACACTACATCTAGATTGGTGGGACCTGAACATGTGGTTTTTGTGAGGCTCTCCACATACTTGGCAAGTTTCTCCACCTCTCCCACAAACCTATCCTTCACCAGGGGGTCAGAAAAAGGATCTTTTGATGTCTGACGAGCCAACTGATTCTTAATTACTGCTTCTTCTTTTTGTTGTTCAATTTCCTTTTGAATAAAATACAAATAATAAATGTTTGTTCCTACTACAAATTACTGAAAATAAACTACTGGTATGGTAGACACTACTTTCCTAAAACCATAATGAGGCACATGTATATTCAATTAGTAATACATAAATTGGTATTTCTTCTTCTTTTTTTTTTTTTTTACAATTTTACTCAAAAAAAACCTTTGATGTAACACAGTCATTAGGTTCATAGGTATTATCTGTGAAGCTTTTCTAGTTTTAGAATGTACTTTCTTCATCTACCATATCTACCATATTGTCTTTGTTATTCTTTTATAAACATTTCATGGCACATATAACACAGATGAAGCAGTCCATCAATTCAATTTTGGAGCAGCTATGATGATGATATTAATCCAGCATCAAAATTATTGAGATTATCAAGCAATATCTAAATACTACTAATAATTATAAATTAGATAATGCATTAGGAGGATGAGACAAAAAGAATGTCTTACTTTTCTTCCGTTATCAAAATGAAAGTTTAAACATATAAATTAATACGAGTAAGGAAAATGTTAATGACTTTGACAAAAATCTGGAGATGAAAGAAAAAGCAATCTTTTTGCTGAAAAAAAGTGTGCAATATACACTGTACATGTTATGATTTTTTTCTGATGTGCAGAAAAATGTTACAACAAACTGATAAAATCAAAACAGATCACCACTATCCTTCAATATAAAACTATTCTGGTAAGTCACTGTCGTACACAGGTAAGAGAGTTGTGCAGTACCTGTGCAGTGAGAACTTTGGGGGTAAGCATATGGTCATGGGTGGATTTTTGGGGGATGCTTGGACTGGTGGACAGGATATCATCCAGGGAAGCTGTGGAGGCACTGGAATCTTGACGCTGGTGGGTTTTTTGTTGAGGGACAACAGGAATCTACAGACAATAACATACACTTACAACACAGAATGGACACATTTACTTTTCTAATGCACATTTTAATTTCTAGTGCCTTAATCAACAAACTTTATGATTTCTTTTTAAATATAAATATATTTGTTAATTGTATGCAATAAAAAAAAAGAAAATATAAATGGAATTATTAATTGGTACTTCTGTGTAGTGCTGCCTACCTGTTTAGAGGGTACCTGTTTAGGTGGAGATAATGAAGACATTGAGGGAGCAACAGATTTTGGGGGATCCTCACTGGGAACTGACTGTGGTTTATTAACCACTAGAGGCTGTAATGGCTGCATGGATTCTGGGATATTGGAATCAAACAAGCCTTGTAAATCTGTACCATAAATAAGAGATCATACATGTATAGATAAACCACAGTACACCTTGATTATTTTGTTAACATAACTTAATTCATAACTATAAGAGAAGACAAAGTACAAGTAATTATTTGGGAATGTTCTCTCCAGAATTGAGCAATATTTTAAAATAAAAAAAATACATGGATACTTAGTAGAACCTTCTTTTTAAGTCAAAAAGACAGAACCTTGTTGAGTTGCAGTTGGCTTGGTCATATCTGGACCCTGTGCTGGACCATAAGGAGCTGATTGTCTTGGTTGATAAGACTGATACAATCCACTGCTTTGCTGTTGGTAAGCACCTCCACTTGCTGTCTGTTGGTATGCATTTCCACTAGAACTTTGGTATGGACTCCCAGTAGATACTTGGTATGAGGCTCCTTGTACAGACTGGTATGAACCACTGACAGAGGACTGGTACTGGGAACTTGTCCCAGATGACATCCACTGTTGTTGTTGTTGTTGTTGTACATGACCAGGCTGTGGTATATGCTGTGGTGGCATTACTGCTGATGGCATTTGTTGAGAAGATGGGACTTGTGTTGGCATCATCCCCTGATATGGCATCCTTGATTGCTGTTGCTGGGTCATTTGTTGTGGTTGTTGTTGCTGGGTCATTTGTTGTGGTTGCTGAGTCAACTGTTGTGGTTGCTGAGTCAACTGTTGTGAATGTCCTTGACTCATTTGTTGAGGTTGTTCTACAGCTCCAGGGTAGCTACTCAAATTTTGTTGTTGTTGTAAATATCCTGATGTTTGATAATTCATTTGTTGACTAAAATTTGGCTGACGACTTTGTTGAAAACTTCCACTCTGCCCCTGCTGGCCATTGTCAGATCTTTGCTGCGGCATATGTTGTGATTGAGATTGTACACTGTACTGTTGTTGCCCTTGTTGCTGTGGTTGGGAATAAATTTGTTGTGGAGCCTGCTGCAGCCCCTGTTGCACATTCGGATAATTTACGCTATTGCCAACACTACTTAATGTGGCAGTTTGGGTTGTGGCTTGGCTTCCAGCCATGTACATGTGTGACTGTGCAGTACTGCTTAACAAAACAGGGGTTTGTGTTGGGATCATTTTACTCATTGACATGGCAGACATTGACTGAGATGTACTAGTATACGGCATTCCTGTCTGGAAGTTCAGTGCTTGTTGCTGTGGTTGATATTGCACCTGGGGTTGCTGTTGCCTTATAGCTTGTGTTGCTGCTGATTGACTCAGATTAGTGGCAGAGTAGCTGGTGGATGGCAAAGGGCCATAACCAAGGTGTCCATACGTTAGAAGTGGAACAGAGTTTAAATGAGAGGGATTCATTGTACTGATATGACTTGTGGCTGTTGATGGCATAGATTGATGTGTACTGGCATAAGGCATTCCTAAATGCAAAAATTCAAACTCACTTCCTGAAAAATAAAAATAAATGATTCAATGATTCAATGAAAATGTTTTACTACAGAAGAGAGTGAAATTTTTAATCTATGCAGCTTAAAAAAAACACAATTAATTTTCAGTAAGCAAGGGAAACTACTGAAACTAGATGTACTGGAAGCAAGCTCACAAAATTATACCCCCACTGCAATTTTTTAGAGGTGCAACTTATGAAGTATACTTTTTTTTTCTGCCAGTGACCTTGAACTTACCCAAATGACCTTAAATCATGGTTCTAACACAGCCTCATAAGAAATCTTTGTGCCAAGAATGAGCTTCCAGTGTTTTTCAATTACAGGATATGACCAGAACATGATTTACATGTATATATTTTTGTCTGCCAGTGACCTTGAACTTGCCTAACTGAATTGAGTCAAGACTTTGATAAACCCTAATTACATAAGTAATCTTTAAGTGAAGTAAAAACTTTCTATGTAATTTCATTAGAAAGTTATAGATCAGACTTAAATTTAATACTTTTCTCTGTCACTGACCTCAAACTTGACCAAATGTCCTTTGATCAAGGTAATGAGATACCCTTGACTCATGATTATTATCAATGTGAAGAATGAACTTCCAATATTTTACCATTAGAAAGACAAGACACAATTTATACACTTCATTGCCACTGATATTGAACTTGCCAAAATAACCTTGGGTTAATTAAGATCATGACACATTCTCAGATCAGAATTTCCAAATAGTGTTTGTGTGAAGTATAATCTGAATTTCCTCATCAGAATGTTTTGGACTGGAAATGACAAGCTGACCTTGAATCAAGTCCATGACACTTCCTCAGGCCATGAGAAATCCATGTCAAGTAAAATTTTCCAATGTTTCATGTTTCAAGTGTGGTGGGATAGGAATTATACATTAAAAAAAAGCATGAAATTCCAATGTTTCTCCATTAGAAAATTAACACTTTTTCTGCACATGATCCTCTCTCAAGGTCATGACCCATCCTCACATAATAAGCAATTTCTTTATTAAAGGCTAACGCTTGAATTTTAAACTACCTGATGATGCTTCCATGTCAATATAACAAATGGCTTTGTTGTACTTGAGAAGATTAAAAAAAAAATTCCCATATATTCCTTTGTAAAAATTTGATCCCCCATTGTGGCTCCTCCCTATCCCAGGGGTCATCATTTGAACAAACTTGAATCTACACCACCTGAGGATGCTTCCATATCAGTATGACTGAACATAGCTTTTCTGTTCTTGAGAAGAAATATTTTTTCTATATGTTCTTATGTAAAACTTTCAACCCCCACTGGGCCCCACCCTACCCCCAGGGGTCATCATTTGAACAAAATTAGATTTACACTACCTGAGGATGCTTTCTTATCAAAATGACTTAAGATGATTTTCAGTTCTTGAGAAGAAGATATTTTCCTATATGTTCCTATGTAAAATTTTCGATCCCCAATTGTGGCCCCACCCTACCCCGGGGGGTCAGGATTTGAACAAAATAGAATCTACACTATCTGAGGATGCTTCCACATAAATATGATCAATCAGGGTTTTGCTGTTCCTGAGAAAAAGATTTTTAAAAATTTTTCCTATATATTTCCATCTAAAACTTTGATCCATAGTGGCCCCACCCTACCCCAGGGGATCATGATTTGAACAAACTTGAATCTACACTACCTGATGATGCTTCCACATGAGTTTCATCTTTCCTGGCCCAGTGGTTCTTGAGAAGAGGATTTTTATAAGATGCTAGTAATTTTTCACCAATTCTTTATTACCTCCCCTTGGAAGAGGGTGTGGGCCTTCATTTGAACAAACTTGAATTCCCTTCACCCAAGGATACTCTGTCGCAAGTTTGGTTGAAATTGGCCCAGTGGTTCTTGAGAAGAAGTCAAAAATGTTAAAAGTTCACAGACAGACAGATGGACGCAGGACAAAAAGTGATCAGAAAAACTCACTTGAGCCTTCAGCTCAGGTGATCTAATAATGTAAATGTTTTTCTTTACTAGTTTCCTAAAAAAATTGTACCTTTCTGATATCTGGGATCTTTTTCAACATTATCCAGTTTTTGCTGAGTCATCTGGGATTCTGCATCCCATTTAGTATTTTGAAGTGCTGGTCCTACTGGCTTGAGAGGAGCATAGGCATGATGACTATGGGCTGGATGACCATAAGACAAGTTATGTTCTTTACTATTGACTGTATGGGATTTATCATCACCATGACTGAAAGACTGAGCTGGTCTTGACTGGTGAGTGCTAGCATAAGGCAGTCCTAAATGTAAGTTGGCAGGAGATGATCTTCCTTCGTTGTTTTGATCAACCTGATTGGTCATGTACCTGCGGGTATTCGGATTTGTCATGTATCCACTGCTACCAAATTGCTGATTTGAGTACATGTTTTGCTGTTGCTGACCACTTGGAATAGATGAAACTGGCTGAACCTGCTGCTGTTGTTGGCTTTGATTTACAAGTCCCATAGATTGATGTGGCTGTGTAAACTGTTGTGGTTGTTGACTAGAAACATTCTGATGTGGTAGCTTCATCTGATTCTGGTAATATTGTCCTGCCTGCTGGATATATCCCCCTGTTTCTTGCTGACCTGCAGGACCTTGACTGTAACTGACCACTTGTTGTTTTATCTGACTAACTCCTGTATTAACTTGACTGTGTTGGAGCTGATTAGAGGGCATTTGGTAACTGATATTTGTTTTCTGAGTAGAGGAACTGGATGCAGGTGATCTATACTGCTGGCCAGTTGGCACTGGTTGTGAGGACTGAGGAATTTGTTGACTTGCAGAAACCATGCCACCAGAAATCCTTGGATCCACTGATTGCTGTTGCTGTCTAAAGTCACTTTGGTTATAATTAACAGGTAGCTGAGTGGTTCCTTGCCTGTTTGGATCCATTGTATTCTGTGGCCCTGGTTGTTGTACTTGTCCTGATAATGTCTGGGCATAATGTCCAGGAATCTGACTCTGAGAAACACTTTGATACCCAAGAACCTGTCCCTGCGACAAGCTTTGGTTCTGGGATGTCTGACTTTGAGTCAGATATCCTTGACCATAACCTGCTGGGAGACTGTGGTACTCTTGGTCCTGTGTTGGATTCTGACTTCTACCCTGAGGTGCTGGACTTAGTGATTGTGATCTATACTGTTGTCTTGGAACTGGACTGTGGGCTGGAGAGGGGAGTGCTGGACTTGGAGAAGGACTCTGGCCAGGAGAGGAGTATGACTGACCTACATCAACATGAGATGGATTAAAGGGAGGTCGTGCTGAGAACTGTGACATCTGTTGGCTGAATGAAGCAGACTGATCTATGACTGGTTGCTGGCTTCCGGCAACAGCAGGGACTTGTGGGATAGATGGATTCTGTTGATCAGCTCTTGGCAGGTAACTACTTAAGTCTCCTTGATTTGGTAAGTTCTGAAATATCAATGAATGAAAAAAAGGTCTAGATTTTATTAATTTTTTGTTTGTAGTACAGAGGAATAATTCCATGAGTTGTAATTTTCATGTTTTTCTCTCCTTTGACACAATAGCAGTTTCATGAATTCCCTGAATTGTTGCAAAATAAACAATGAATTTCAAACTATCTATATTGGATTTTTCCCTAATCCACAGCAAAATTCAAAAAACAAATAGATCAAAACAAGTGCAGTTAAACGGCTTTGACAATAAATATCAAATGACTTCCCTGTTTGCTATTTGTATTACAAAGAGTGATGTTGTACTACTCCCCCAGTTTCTATACCAAGACAAAACTTACAAGTGCCATCAAAAAATTTTCTTTCGAAGCCAGGAGGGATAAGATATCACAGTCAAAATTGGGTCAATGTGTTACTTCAGTGAAATAATATTATTTCATATCTAAAAGTTTTGAATAAATAAAATTTAATTTAAACCTGTGTTATTTAAAATGTTGAAAAATCCTGTGACAAGTGCTTGATGTAATGTTATTTACACATGGATAAAAAAATCACCACCCTTGACTTTTGATCAAACATTTAGAGTTGGCTATTTAAACATCTATTTAATGACAAATACAGGTCATTATCTGCAGATCTGAATTTTAGGAAAACGTGGTAATTACAATAATAAAATTTAATTACTAAATGACTATGCAATATACTGGTATACCTACTAGTATCCTGGAATCTTCTACCCCCATTACCTACATATTACATTGTGTTTATATACATGTATATGATAATATGCAGTGCACTTACAGAGCTGTGACCTTTCCTTATTTATGCTTACCTGAGGTAAATCTGGAGCTCTTCCTGCTTGTGATCCAAGATTTTCAGGTGCAGATCTAGCATTACTTTTCTTCTCCCTATCTTTGCCAAATGTCTTGGGTTTCATAAATGGTAAATAATCCTTCAGTTTGGGTCCTTCAAAACCAGGAATAGTGTTCAGTGCTGCTACAGGTTGTGGAGGAATTGTAGCTGTGGGGAGGGCATTATCAGAAGCACCCATACAGATCATGGGATCTGGAGCTGTATTGTCTGGCTTTGGAGCCATTGGTCTGGGAGGAGGTTCTGAAAGTAAAGTTTATTATAGGGCTTCATCCATTTGTTAATTAATAATAGGCATATACATGTATACGAAATTTACATTATCTGACACTTATCTTTCTGTATGCTATACTTAGTAAATTATTTATTGCACTGTATAATTTTCTGCCTTACCCAGACTGACACATACCCTTGGGTTTATGTCTGTTGATAATCTGCTCTCTCTCCTCAGCCTGAATTTTACACAAACCTCGACAGCGAGTCAGGAGTTTGGACACATTACTCTCCAGCTTCCTGTAAAACTCCTGTCCTTTCTGTGATTTTGCAAGTAAATCCTCATAAACATCAAAAGAATTGATCAGGTCTTTGATCATCACCTCCCTCCTTCAATATTAATGTATTTACATGTAAAACATGTCAGAAAATCTTACAACACACTGTTTTTAAGACTTGTTATAAAAGCAAAGTTCTTGTATTTTTTTCTTATACTGTTTAACAGTCTTTTTAAAATTACTTTGATGGGCCAATTACATTTTATTAAAATACTTTTAATTAAAGCAAATGTATATTCTTAAGTAATTGTCAAATATGTCACATTATAAATATAAAATAAATATAAAAAATATATAAATATAAAAAAAATATCACAAATTCCTAGATGTACCTTGCTGCAACGTCCCCAACTTTCCTCCTAACTTCTGCGTACCTAACATTAGCATCAGTAAGAGCTCTAAGAATGTTGTCCTGAGCTGTCAGATTTTGTTGTATGATCTCTTCCAGCTTTTTATGCTTCAGAATCTCTTGCTCAAACATTACCTAGATTGGAAAATGTAGAACAAATAAGATTTTCTTAAAATTTTAAACAAAACTATTGCAAATACATGTAGTAATATATTATGCTCAGCAAGTGTCATTACACATGTACATATTTTTTTACACACAGTTAAGTCCCTTTAACTTCTGTGTTGAGGGATTAACACCTTTTACTGTCTAGTGATAAAAACCAATACAATATTTCAAAATCAACAAAACACAAATAGATGAGATCCTGCATACTAAAAGCTGACAATACTTCATTTGATTCAAATAATAACCGTAGCCTTAGATTTGATAGTTCTGAATCTCACACCTGTTTGTTTGACCCTTCTTGTGTGACAATCCTATGTGTTATATCATCTTTTTGGACTTCAGTACGGAACTGTTCTTCTAACAAGCTTCTTTGAGATTTCATTTCATCAACCTTTGATATTAATCTTTGAAGTTCTTTCACAATAGTCTCATCTTCTGGGGCTAGACGTTGAAAAATAAATGTTATTACATCTTCTTAAGTTATGTATTTCAACAATTTACAAAAATATTTTTATAATTAAAAATATCTGAAAAGGAAAAAACTTAAAACTGCTATATTTACATTTCAAAAGATCCAGAAAAAAATCACTTAAAAACTTACTCTTTTCCTTGTCTTTGGAGGGTAATGCATTCTTAATATCTTCAATGGGACCACCTAGTAGTCTGAGATTGGTAATGTGTGCATTCATTGCTTTATGGAGGTCATTGTTGGATTTACTCCCCTTTTTATGGCCCTCAGAAAACAAATTTAGTTCCTTTCTGATATTTTCAAACATTGGATGTTCTGCTCGTTTGCCAAACTGTTTCTGTAAAATAAGAAAAAAATATATACATGTATTTTGGCTGTGTGTAGGTCTTAAAAGATCGGCATCCGTATGAGGCTTCTTGGGCATGTGTATATGTGTATCTGTTAAATCAAGAACCTGAAACTCCTCTTCTTCTTTGCCATCCTCCTCCAACATTTTACTGATTTCATTCAAAGACATTTCAACTTCTGTTGCCACATTTGAAACACCTGAAAATAGCAAAATATACAATGCATGTTTTCTTGTAAACAACAATCTTTCTGTCTGATTAAGGTAACTTCTTCAGATTTATAGAAATTCTCCAAAAATCAAGCTCAATTAAGACAAACCCGTCATTGCATTAACCAGATCTTTAATGGCATTTGGTTTGACAGATACAGCAGCACACTTCTCCAGCAGAGATTGTGGCAAGTTCTCTGGTTCATAGCTCAAAGTTGATTGGTCAATGTTCAGAGAGGACATGAACTGCCTACAACATTATCATAAACAGGATATGATACATGTAAACAATACATATCCAAGCAACATGTAGTAAATATTAATTTATACATATAAATGTTTATTATCCAGAATAGGTATGATAACATACTAAACATTTAAAATGAGCAATTTTTATATTCTCCTTCTTTTAATGTTGAAGTGTAAGTATGCATCTTAAATCTGAACATAGCGAAAAAAAAAAAAAAAATGTTTTTAACACAAAGGACTTCACTTACACTAGCTCTGCATTTTTCTCCTCTATAGTTCCACAAACTCTTCTTATCAGTTTGGCTTTCTCTTCACTTAAAAAAAATTTAAGAGCATGAAAATGTTTACATCTTTTTACTATGAAGATCTACTTGACTGATATCATATTTCTTATATTTTATTTTATCATTGTGATTTACAAATACATCATAAGCTTTTCACTGCACTATATATAACAATTTAGATATATCTGTACAGTGTTTTACATATTTCAGAACTGTCAAATGAGTATGATACTGCTCCATAAAATCTATCTCATAATCTTAAAAAAACCTCCATATCTGCCTCATAATTTTTACCTGTAGAGTGATGAAGCCTCGTGAGCCTCCATGGGGACCAGTTTCTGGAATAAATCTGGGCCTGACACTTCAGGGTCACTTGGGTTAAAGGTTATACCCTTCACTAGAGAAGCACCTGTAAAATAACAAATTGTCTTTCAGCTTTGAATACTAGATACTCTGAATATGTGATCTGCACACTCTCTATACTAAAATGAACAAGAAGTCTGTGAGCCAATGCTCACTAATAATACCCCCGCTCTGATGTGAATACACAAGTTCGGTTATGGACACACACAGTGATAATCAGGAAATTGACATTGGATTTGTAAAAACTGAATCCCAACATATGGCATGCCTAAACAAAGATTGTGCTAAAATTTCAAGCATCTGCGATGAGTAGTTGCTGAGAAAACTACAACTAAAATTTGCTACGTATGGTACGGACAGACGAACGGATAAACAGGAAGTTGACATCGGATTTGTTCCAAAAATAAATCCCACCATATGGCATGCCTAAACAAAGAGTGTGCTAAAATTTCAAGCACCTGTGATGAGTAGTTGCTGAGAAAACTGCGACCAAAGTTTGTTATGTGTGGTACGGACAGATGCACGGATAAACAGGAAGTTGACATCGGATTTGTACAAAAATGAATCCCACCATATGGCATGCCTAAACAAAGAGTGTGTTAAAATTTCAAGCACCTGTGATGAGTAGTTGCTGAGAAAACTGCAACCAAAGTTTGTGATGTGTGGTACGGACAGACGCACGGATAAACAGGAAGTTGACATCGGATTTGTACAAAAATGAATCCCACCATATGGCATGCCTAAACAAAGAGTGTGTTAAAATTTCAAGCAACTGTGATGAGTAGTTGCTGAGAAAACTGCGACCAAAGTTTGTTATGTGTGGTACGGACAGACACACGGATAAACAGGAAGTTGACATCGGATTCGTACAAAAATGAATCCCACCATTAGCATGCCTAAACAAAGAGTGTGTTAAAATTTCAAGCATCAGCAATGAGTAGTTGCTGAGAAAACTGCGACCAAAGTTTGTTATGTGTGGTACGGACAGACGCACAGATAAACAGGAAGTTGACATCGGATTCTTACAAAAATGATTTCCCACCATATGGCATGCCTAAACAAAGATTGTGCTAAAATTTCAAGCATCTGCAATGAGTAGTTCCCGAGAAAACTGCGACCAAAATTTGTTACGGACAGACAGACAGACAGACAGACAGACGGACGGACAGACAGACAGACAGACACACAAGGGTAAAACAGTATACCCCCCTCTCCTTCGGAGCGGGGGTATAAATATTACCTTTAACTTCAGGTAAACTGGCCAGATCTGGAACCTTGTCATGGTACACAAAATCATTATCCTTCTTGGCAGATTGGTATCTGTTAAAATTATATACTTTTTATGCCACTAATAATGAAAATTATGGAAATAACCTACTTCAAAATCCCTACTTTGTCAAAAACCGATAAATTGCATATAAATACAGGGAATTTTTTTTCTGTTTATAGTTATAAAAGTGGTTTTCCTTTTCTATTATTCCCTCAAAGACTTCATAATGAACTTACTTTCCTCCTATGACATCCATTGCAAATCTGAAAGATTCCTGGATATCTCCACCTTCACTCTGATAAATAGATGTAAACATATTACAAGTGTATCAAAGAACAAGCAAAATTGCCGTAGTATTACCTTCTTATCCAACAATAAGAGTATTTACTTCTTATCTTTAAATTGTATGAAATACATGTAATTAATTTAATCAAAGAGTGCATAGCTATTACAAACATGTCAGAGTCTACACTAAAAAGTCATGATTAGCACAAAGCCCATAGCTATCAAAGAGCCCATTGCTACCACAAAGCTCTTAATAGGGCCCATATACCTATCATGGAATTCATACTTTTCACTTAGTTCATAGTTACCACACAGACCTGACGGTCAAATCACAAAAACCTTTACTTGGACCAGTTCAGAAAATATCAAACATGTGAGACACCTTTACCCCATCCCCAGCCCTTACTATAGGGAATCAAACTTATTTTTAAAATTTATACATTTTTGGCAAAAAATACAAGTATTATCTTGGATTTATTCAATTATAAAACCAGAGGTCTCTGACGAGACTGTAGCTCTACTGGTTGTATTTATAAAGGAAGATAAAAGTAGCACTTGGACTTGAAACTTTGCAACAGCAATAAATAGAATAATGATCCTTTATTCCTTTTGTGGCAAGATTTATTATTATATCAGACTAAAACTGTAGGAGGAGTAGCCTTTAAAACAATTTTACAGAAATTTTGATTTAAGTAACCATGGCAACATCATTCAACAAAATCAAAAAACAATAACACCAATTATGTATCTCTGTAATCTACTTGTATGCCACATTATACTGAAATCAGACAAAAAGTGTAGAAGGAGTAGCGTTTTGAAAATATTTCAAGAAAATTTCTATTTTTAGTAACCATGGCAACACTGTTCATCAAAATCCAAAACTGGTACAGAGAATTATGTATCTTAGTGTAGTTTACTTGTGTGCTAAGTAATACTAAAATCAGACCAAACCTGTAGGGGTAGCATTTTGAAGGTATTTCAAGGAAATTTCTATTTTTAGTAACCATGGCAACAATGTTCATCAAAATCAGAAAATCAATATAAAGAAATAAATATCTTAGTGTTGTCTACTTGTTTGCCAAGTTATACTGAAATCAGACCAAAACTGTAAGAGGAGTAGCATTTTGAAAGTATTTCACAGAAATTTCTATTTTTAGTAACCATGGCAACACCGTTCATTGAAATCAAAAACTGATACATAGAATTATGTATCTTATTATAGTCTACTTGTGTGCCAAGTTATATTGAAATCAGATCAAAACTGTAGGAGGAGTAGCATTTTGAAAGTATTTCACAGAAATTTCTATTTTTAGTAACCATGGCAACACCGTTCATTGAAATCAAAAACTGATATACAGAATTATGCATCTTAGTATAGTCTACTTGTGTGCCAAGTTATATTGAAATCAGATCAAAACTGTAGGAGGAGTAGCATTTTGAATGTTTTTCACAGAAATTTCTATTTTTAGTAACCATGGCAACACCGTTCATCCAAATCAAAAACAGATATACAGAATTATGTATCTTAGTGTAGTCTACTTGTGTGCCAAGTTATATTGAAATCAGACCAAAACTGTAGGAGGAGTAGCATTTTGAAAAATTGTTTACAGACGGACGGACAGACAGACTGACAGCTAGACAGACGGACGGACGATGGACACCTTACTATCGCATAAGCTCTTCTGGTCTCTGACCAGTAGAGCTAAAAACTAACTTAAACTTCTATAGTATTCTTAGTTATCTTAGAGCTAAAGCAAAGATAGATGTGATTAATATATATATTTCAATAAATAAAGAATCTCTAAAATTAATGAAATAGAATTACCAAATTCACCATACTGGACTGGTTTCCCTTAGCTGTGATGCTCATAGATACAGATAATTTTTAGCCCTAGCCAGTGCTGTTGTGAAAGCAATATATAATATGTGTTTAGTTTTTTGACCAGTTAAGAGACTTACCTTTCCCTGTTTAATACACTCATTGAGCTTGTTGAATGCTGTGGTGTAGTATGCTAGACACTCTCCCCATTTCTGTTGGTCCTCTGACTGCTTCCCCATGTAGAAGTTAGTAATGCATTCATAAAACTGACTCTTTAATTCCATTCTCTTCTTCCATTCCTAATATACAACATAACAATTATTTTTTCTTAAATCTTTTTGACTACAAAGCTACAAAAAGATTGATAAAAGATTAAACCTATGAATTAGCTATCTATATGTAGCCTATGTGATTTTCTGCCCTAAAGTTGAACACGACTCGTAAATAGGCATATGTGATATTTTAAAAGTTTCCTATCTCCGATACCAGCCTATCCTATATGAAGTATATAAACCCTCTGCATTCGTTACACGTGATTCCTTTTAGCTGGTCGCTGTGGCATGTAGTACATGTATATCTTACATTGTCCTTTTTCTTTACATTTTATTTCATTGAACATGCATTTATGTTTATTTCACTTTGTAATGCATTGACTTGTGCAAATGATATCCAATATCTTTGGTAACTTTTCGTTTCTTAACATGGTAGAGGCATAGAAAAGTCATTTTTGTTGCATCCAAGTGTATCACAATGACAATGAAGGAAATGTCTGCTCAGGTAAAATCTGTGAAGTGAAATACACTGAACCTTGAACAAAGCTGAGGCTTATATAAGGGATGAAGAAGTCCACACTAGAGGTGAGAAATATAGCAAAGATAACTCCCCTTTTATGTATTGTGTTCAGCATTAATGATTGCCACATACCTTGTATTTACGAGATGGCACTATTCCCTCCTTGTAGGCAGGCTCTAAGGATTTCATAGCAAGGTTGTTAAACTCAACAATTTGGGCTGCTACTTTAGCAGTAATTGAGCTCTTTCTGCTGTCAATCATTGACTTCTCTAGGATACACTCCTGTGCTTGTGCCTGTAAACAAATGTTTTCAAATACAGTTTAACTTTCATAACTTAACACCACTATCCTTGAAATCAGACATATATCAAAGTGATTATTTAGTCCAGGCTACAGAATGAATTTGACTCAAACTTCAACAATATGATGCTTTCAAGTTCAAGAAATGATATTTGGAGAAAAAATAATTAAGGAATGTTTTTCAGTTTTGTGTGAGTTATTGGTATGTAAATCACACAGACTTGTCACGTAGGCATATTTCATGAAGCGCGCTAGCACTTCATGAAAAATATGCCTACGTGCAAGTCTGTGTGATTTACACACCAGTAATTCACATTAAACTTAAAACATTCCTTATATTTACATTTTACATGTTCAAAAGCAGCAATATTATGCTCAATATTTGAATTTCTTGCTGCCCTATATCGTTACATTTTTATTAACGTCTCTGTAGCCTCATTGTGACGTCACTTTACCGCGAGTTTCACCGTGTATATTTCTACACGTGAGTATACACAAAAATGAACTTCAAATCAATTGCACAGTTGGCTTAGTAGAAAAACATAGCAAATGTAAATATTATAAAATAAATAATATTTTTAAAGACTTTAAAACTTTTTTTTCCATAAGTAATTCAAACCATACTGTTTATCTTCCCAAGGTTATGATAATTATTTAAAAAATTTCTATAGTACACTATACAACTGTAGCGACAAAATAATTGGGGGCAACCCCCCCCCCCCCATGTGCACCCAGTTCCTAGAGATTTACATTTTAATTAAATCCTTAGTTCCAGTGCAAACTCCAACGTGCCCCTGGTTCCTAGAGATTTACATTTTAATTAAATCTTCAACTCCAGTGCAAACTTTACTTTGAAGTATGTGGTTTTTCATATCAATGAATTTCTTGTTTCTAGGATATAAATGTTGTGAAGTGGAGGGGGTATATTAAACACATACAGGAGATTTAATCACCCAGTGAAAGAATTTGTATCTGCTATTGTTGCTATATTGGGTGGTTGGGAGGGGGCACTAAATTTTTACATTCAGACTGGATCATTGGATGTCACAGAAGGGGTACTCATAAGGACATGGCCACTAATAAGGCAAATATACTGTAGTAACAAAATACCAACAATTGCAGTATGATATTTAGATCCAATTCTGTGCATATACATGTATTAAGATGGAGAACACCAATATGTTCATGGACAACTTCTAAGAGTTCTGTTTCAAAATTTGAAATGTGCTTAATTCAATGAATTGGAGAATTACAAGGATAAAGTTGATCAAGTCCCAACACTTACAAAATCATTTTATGAAGAATAACTACTCCCTTAGTTACCCCAACAATATGTTTTATTGAAGTTCTCAACCATGAATTACTCAAAGCACATTTTTACAATTGCACAAATGCACATTATTACATGTACCTACCAGCATCAAATTGATGTGAAAGGTCAAGAGGTCGTGTGAAAAGTCAAGACTCATCATGGCTGATCCAAAATGGTCTCTAAGATATTCAAATGCTCCTGAGGCACACTGAAAGTGTGTGCATGCCACCTTCATACTCTGAAACATTTAGCATTATATATTTGATGCATTTGCTTTCCTACTAGTCTCTTACTGTAGAGAATTTCCTTTCAATGCCCGTTTTTGTTCCAACTTTTTGACTGAAAATTTTGTGCTACTCCAAAGTACACTTTCACTTTAATAGATTGAATAAATTTTTTATTTTAACCACAAATAAGTTAATATACAATATCTGTATCGAAAAAGAAGACTGATATAAAATATGTACATCTGCATTTGTTCTAGTTTCCATGGATCCAAGTATAGAGTGTAGAGCACCAATGTTGTATAGGACCGAAGCCTGTTCAAACTTGATGTCTGCTAAAGTGACCTCCCTAACCATGAAAATGTCCTCCCTGAAATTAAAGATCATGCAGTCATCAGAAAGAAGCATATGTTAGAGAAAATGAAACACATGTAGTCAAAAGCTGTCTGTAATCTGTAATTTTCAAGAACGAATTTTAATGCAGTTTGAAGTTTTTAATGTGGTTTTGTACTAATACCAATATGTATTTATACAATCAATTAATTTTATTGCTACAAAAGGCAAAAACACAATGTTACAGTAATCAAAATGAACAAAACCAGTAAAATACATATGTACATGCATACATTCTACAAAATAGATTACATATTACTTCAATAATTGACCAACATTTGCCTTTTTTTTAAAAGTATCTGACAGTTCTACATGCATATATTGCTGTTCACAATACCTCATCTACTAGCTACATATACATCAATTTTCTTTGAAAGGATGGGAATTGTGACAACTACATAATTTCATGGTTCTAAATTCCTTCAATTGTGAAGCTTATCAATCTCATTAAAAAAAAATTCTCTGATCTGATCCCAAATTTAAAATATTGAATGAGTAACTTATTAAGTTTGGAAGCTGAAAAAAATCTTATCTTATTGAGACTAAAATTTTATATATACATACAACATCAATGTACAATAAATCCTATTCAACTTATTTTTGTTTGCACACATATTTTTTATGGAGAACAGAAACTCTGAAAGGATCACACCATACAGCTGGTAACAAAATGTTAAATTTATCAGACACACTATTAAAAGCTCTGTCCCTAAATGAACTGATTGATTTCTTGGCTGTAAATCACTAATTCTTTAAGTGAAACCGAACTCTCCTCCATTTTATGCTATAACAGACAACTTCTTAAAACTTATCATATATAATTCTCTTTTCATACTTTAAAAAATACGATTTTTTTTCAACTTAACAACAAAGGAATACTAGGTTATTTGGATGACACTGTTTTTATACTTACGTCAGATACCTTTGATATTCATAAAATGATTTAGTGTTAGTAATGGTTAGTTTTTCTGTGAAAACAGCCATGCAGTTACAAAATACATATGTGTGATGAAAGTCCCTTTTTTCAATGCAGTTTTACAGTCATAATTTTTATAAGAAAGACAATTTTTATACATTCCATCATTATTATATGTTGTACATTAATAAACAATACTGAGAGATCACTTGGTCTTCGCCAAACTTTTTTTCTCTCATTTGGGAAGTTTCAGTTAACTCTAGTACAAATTCTCTACTTTTATAAATTAAATCATTTGGGTTACATATACAGGTTGGGAAATCTACAAGCTTGCACTGCTAAATCAATCTATCCTAAGTTAACCACAATATACACAATAGAAAACTATGAGATCAACTACTAAATAAAGCACAAAATTACATAATAAAACTCTACCATGTAAATGGCATGGCAGCTTGTCCACCATCAGTCATGGGAAATCTCCCTTGAAGAAACTGTAACTGGGCATAGTACTTTTTCAAGGTACTACATCCCATAAAATCATGTGACACATGGACAGCACTCTGAAAAGGGGAAAATAAAATGATCCAGGGTGCAGTTTGTTAAATTCTAAATAAATAAATAACCAGAAGTCTCTGATGAGACTGTAGCTCTACTGGTTGTACTTATAAAGGAAGATAAAAATAGCACTTGGACTTGAAACTTTGCAACAGCAATAAATAGAATAATGATCCATGGTTTAGTCTGTTTTTGTGGCAAGATTTATTGCAATCAGAATAAAACTGTAGGAGGATTAGCCTTTTAAGATAATTTTACAGAAATTTTGATTTAAGTAACCATGGCAACATCATTCAACAAAATCAAAAGGCAATAATGACAATTATGTATCTCAGTGTAGTCTACTTGTATGCCAAGTTATACTGATATCAGACAAAAACATGTAGGAGGAGTAGCGTTTTGAAAGTATAAAAAAAAATTCTATTTTTAGTAACCGTGGAAACACCGGTCATCAAAATCCAAAACTGGTACAGAGAATTATGTACCTTAGTGTAGTTTACTTGTGTGTCAAGTTATACTAAAATAAGAACAAAACTGTAGGAGGAGTAGCATTTTGAAAGTATTTCAAGGAAATTTCTATTTTTAGTAATCATGGCAACACCGTTCATCGAAATCAAAATCTGATATACAGAATTATGTATCTTTGGGTAGTCTACTTGTGTGCCAAATTCTATTGAAATGAGATCAAAACTGTAGGAGGAGTAGCGTTTTGAAAGTTTTTCACAGAAATTTCTATTTTTAGTAACCATGGCAACACCGTTCATTGAAATCAAATTCCGATGTACAGAATTATGTATCTTAGTGTAGTCTACTTGTGTGCCATGTTTTATTGAAATCAGACTAAAACTGTAGGAGGAGTAGCATTTTGAAAATTGTTTACAGACGGACAGACGACGGACACCTTACTATCACATAAGCTCTTCTGGTCTCTGACCAGTAGAGCTAAAAAAAAACAAGAAAGCAAGAAGACTACTGTTTTTAATTGATTTTAAATGTACAGGGAAAGTAAGATCGGTCTTTTATCCCCCAACTTCTTTTTCATGAAAATATATAAATTAAACACAGTTTATCTGCTACAAATTAACCCCAAATTATGCCATACTACATGTACAAACATTTACCTTAATTTCAGATCAAAATGTAACTATCAGTTGCAAAGGCTTGTGTACTGACAAAAAAAGAATTATGGATCTGATAATACTGATCTTACCTGTCTAAGCTGCTCAAATTAACTAAAGATTGTCATTGTTACCTTCTGATGTGCTCAAGTTCATAACAAACTGTTCTCTTTACCTGTCTGAGTTGTTCAAGTTCACTATAAGCTGTCATTTTTTACCTGTCTGAGCTGGTTCACTTAAGTTTATCATCTTTACCTGTCTGAGCTGTTCAAGGTCACTATTAGCTGCTATCTGGAACTATCTGATGTGTTCAAGTTCACTACAGGCTGTAATCTTTACATCTCTGAGCTGCTTAAGTTCACTATAAGCTGTTATCTTTACCTGTCTGATGTGCTCAAGTTCATATAAAACTGTTCTCTTTACCTGTCTGAGCTCCTCAAGTTCACTACAAGCTGTTATTTTTACCTGTCTGAGCTGTTCAAGTTCACTACAAGCCTTGTTGTAGTCTGCAGGATCCTCACCATAGTTGTCTCTTATGTACTGAAAAAAAATTATGGATTCTTTTAATATACACAAAAACTCTTCTAGCTTTCTAATTATGATAGAAATTCATTTGCCTTCCCCAAGAAGCTAGTTGCATGTGTATTTCCATATGTGTACATAAATGAATGCATTGAATTGTTTACATTTATGATGCATGGTGTGTTCCATATTCTAGTTCAGGTACAGTGGTTCCCGTTTTATCGAATAGTCAAGTTGTCAGCCTAGTTTTATCCGAATAGCCGAAAATTAGAAAAGCCGATTGCTCCATACCGAGTCCAAAGATAGATGTATAGAGCTACATGTATTGATAATACATCGTAGCAAATTTCAAGCTTGCACTTTCGTTTTCTTTTGACATGTTTACTTAATGACTTTACTAAAAATAATTCATTTCACTTACTTATGAATTGAATATGAATTTTTTTTTCAAATAAATTGACGTATAGAATATATTCTTTGATAGTTATTGCCATCTTTCTTCAGCACATGTTTACATTCCTTCTTCGATGGTCGCCATTTTGGAAATGGAAGTAGACTAAATGCTTGACTAATAACCGTAAACTATTTTTCCTGGATAGATTGTAAATTAAAAATAAACAAAAATATTAAATATATGTAATTGTTTCGTTTTTATTTGTTTCTTTAATACGGTTACGTATTTTATACTGTGTGTGAGTTTACCAGTCTCGTTCTTGTCTGCAAGAGAGATTTTGAGAGCCATGTGGAGAAAGATGGACAGGTATGAATTTTGAGACGTATTCTTATAGAATGGGCCATTTGTGATTTTTACTATAAATTTTGCACTGAAAAGTGAATAAATATTAAGCCAATTGACCAAGTTAAACGATTGAATAGGCTTATTTCATTATCCAAGCAAATTGTCATACACAAGCTAATCAGTTCAATAATTAAAATTTCATGCTGAAAAAATTACAAATAATTGTCATAATTAACAAGTGCATCATTGAACCCAAGCTGATCACCACAAATGTAATCAAAACATATCTATTTACTATGCCCACTATTGACACAGGTAAGGTGCCTGTGTGCGTCCAGCCGTAACTAATCCCCTCATTGTCGTACTCAAGCCAGTCAAGGTAATTGGTGTCAAACTGTGTAAACAAAGGCTTCACATACGAAGTTGGAGGTGTGAACAAGGTGCTGATTATCAAAAAACACTATGATAGTCAAAATTTTTGTATCGGATAAAACGAAATTCCAATATTTTCTCATCAGAATATCAGGTGAAATTATTAATAAATATATAAGAAATGGTTTTGTGCTCTGATATTATATTGAAATAGCCGAAATATTCGTTAAACCGCTATCCGATAAAATGGAAGCCACTGTACTACTAACAGACGACCTACTGTAAATATAAATTTTTGCATGTAGTTCAAGTAGTGGTATGAGAAGAAACTGCAAAGTAGATAGAAACAATTTCTTACATGGGATATAAGTCATATAATAGCCCATTTGGTATATTACATTTTCAACAGTGAAATACTGTGATTTATTTATTGAATAAAAGTGATATTCTTCACAGTGTGAAAGGATACCAAAGTGATATTCTGTCACAGTGTGAAAGGATAACAAAGGAAGTGAAAAATAATTTTTGGTCTGTCATAAGACAGAGATAGTAACTAAATCATCTTGATAGAGACTAAAACTGCCAATTTCTTCCCAAATATGTAGCAATCCATGTTACAATGTTTTCAATCTCACTATTTGATAAGCTACGACATCTCAACCGCTCGACTATGACATCATAGCCCCTGACACTGAGTTAAGAAAAATCAGAAGGAAATGGAAATCAAAGAAAATGTAATAAACAGAAAATTTTATGTTTTGTAGTTGGATATGAAATTATTTCACTTGTGAGACAGGATTTTTTTTATATTTTCACTCATGCTTCCACTCGTGAAAATATTAAAAAAAAATCCTGTCACACTCGTGAAATATCTTCCATATCCAACAACAAAACATTGAATATCCTATATTTATTTAATGAAAACAGGAGACAAAAAATAATTGTCGAAAAGCGCGTGCGGCGCATGCTTAGTGCCGTTTCTTTCGTACTTTAGTTAGGCATTTTTTTCATGTAAATAAACCAACGAGATGTCGTTGAAGCTGAATTAAGATCTTGCAAAAAATACAGATGCAACTGAATTTCTTAATTAATCTAAAAGAACAAGACACTACCCCTAATCTCTCAGACGGTATGCAAGGACTAACCAAAATATCCCAGGCCGATGCTAGACTAACCCATGTGCGAGGACTAACCCTAATCTCTTGGATGGATGCGAGACTAACCCTAAGAGTTGATATCGTGATTACCTAAATTAATGGAACTCTTTTGCGGTGAAGGTAGGAAACGTCCGTTAGCTGGGGGCAATGTGCTGTTGCATATTATGCGAGATCGAGCATTGTGGATTTTCAAATGGCAGATGTGAAAGAAGTCCTGATGAAATATCTTGCAGAACATTCGCTGAACCACACTTATAAATTTTAAGAGAACCTATTCCTCATGTGTAACATTTTTATTGATACGTTTTCACTAAGCAGACTCTTCTAATTAAATTCAGTCATTTCTTTCTGATAATCGTTACTTTTGGAAACTGATAAATAAAAATCTAAACATTCCAAATTAGACAACCTACTATTTGAAGTTCAACCCTATGCAATACAGTGTACTTTCTGCATTCTAATTGTTCGAATCATTCGATTGTCACTAGTGTTAGTAATTTGTGCCCCAGAAATCTTGCGAGATTTTGAGTTTCCTTGACTTTGCCGCAAAAGAGCGGCATTAAGTTAGATAACTGTGAGGTAATCGCCATACTAAGTATTAGTCAAAAACTTGTGCAAGGACTAACCTTAATCTTTCTAACTGGTGCAAGACTAACCCTAACCAGTCGAAAAATGTGCAAAACTATCCCTAATCAGTTGAGTGACGTTAATCTTATGCCATAGTGCAATAAGCGCACAGATCTTGTGGATCTGGGGACCGGTAAAGTAAAGTCTACCCTGCACAGATCGACATAAGAACAACTTTGATCCCTTGAAAGATCCTAAGTTTCTTGGGAATCAATCTCATAAACTGTAGGGTTAGAGAACTGTAGGGTTAGAGAAATTTTTTCTAACAAAATGTCATTTGCATTCAATGTATTTTAATGTGGGTTAAGAATATTTATGGCCAAAAGAATTCTTTTTTTTTTTTTTGCACTTTATACGGTTAACAATATAATTTCTTTTCTTTTGCACTGTCAACCTTTTGAACCAAACGGGTTTTATCCAGTTTTCCTGGTTAAGCAAGAAAAAAAGAAAAGAAAAGCATCCTGACTACTGGTAAAAACACTACTAGCATTTTAAATCAGGTGCACTCTAAAAAGATATTCCAATATCTTTCTCAATGCTAAGACGATAGTATTATATACTATAATATAGATATTTTTTTTTTAAATTAAATGCTACATGATCGAAACCCCTTTTCTTCATGGTGTAAAAAGGTACATAAGCAAATAAATTTAACTGTTCTGAATTCTACATATATTTTTGAATTTTATATCTTTAAAAGAATTACAATTTCTTTTTAATCGGGTAAATAAGAAATGGATCCTGTTACTGATTCATTATCATGACAAAATGACGTCAAAAGGGAGAAATAAATATATACGCAATTTACGGGAAAACAGCTAAATATCTTATAAGTAATTTTCAAAACGTATAATATCACTATAACCTGTTTTAGCACTGGTCCAAAATCTACATATTCTGGGCTGGTTTTCAGCTCGAAAGCTATCATCGGCAGTCGAGGTACTGCCTCCATCTTTGTTTTCTCCTAAAGCGTGACTAAAAAATGAATAAGGGTCATTGACTGGAGATATTTAAGTTCCGAATTGCTCAAAAGATTTGTGAATCCGCACAACTTTAGGAAATGGTGTTATGCTGTTGATCATCGTTGGATGATGGACTTCGGGAGATGGATGTTAAAATTTGAAATTGAAACTGAGAACTAAATTCTTCAGAAAAAATAAGAGGTCTTTTAAGTACATATTCTCTGTAGAGAATATTAGGTACATGGAGTAATGACTATCAAACATTGCAGAAAGTTCCCGACTCTGAGGTCTTTACAACAGTACCCGAATATTCCGAGGTTTGGTTTTATTATACGCCACTCTGCATTGAGACGAGGGGTATTGGTGGATGGGTAGGTTGAAAGTAATGAAATATGAAGATAACGAACAGTATGCAATCTCGAAGGTCCAATAAAACGATAAAAATTTGGAGCAGAGCAAACACGGACCTCAAAATTTAGAGGTGGGATCAGGTGCCATGGAGGAGTGAGCATCCCCTGCGACCGGTCAAACCCGCCGTGTGCTCCTTGTCATGATCGAGGAAAAACAAACGGAAAAATCCGTAGACAGTTCATGTGTATAATTAATGGCCTAACAATTAACTTATGAAAAACGCCAGTCAGCATTTGACTCAACGATAGGTTGTATGTGCTGACAACGTCATTGTATCGACCGTAAAACTTGCGAAAAGATGACTTCAAACGAGACTGTTGATATCCTTGTTTCATCAACTTGTTTGTCAATAGCTTGCCTCGTTTTAGAAATTGTTCATACGTAGAGCATGCTCTTGCGTATCGAATCAACTGAGAGACATAAACCCCATATGCAGGTGTTAAGGGTATATTGCTACATAAGTAAGGGAAGTTGACGATTGAAAAGTTGAAGTCATCACGTTTATCATAAAGCTTTGTTGTTAGGTTAACATTAACGTCTTCTCCCAGTAAAATATATCTAAATATGAAACAGATGTGTCAGAATCTGTGGTATCTTTTATTTCGAGTTCACTGGGATATATCGAGTCGACATATGAATGAAAGTAACTAAGGTAAGTTGATAGATACACTGTACATGTATATAAGAACAAAGCAAAATAAAACAAGCAAATTCAAAGAATTGTTGTCCCCCGCTTTCGGGGTCTTAGTGGATGGGATGCCATTATTTATGGCATATTGTCTTATCTGTGCATCATACAAAACAGACATAAATTATTGAATTAATAACAGTTATGACAAAGATTATAGCTTCTAAAAACTACATCAAACTTCAGGGTCATGAGGTCAAATATCACAATACAATCCGAAAGGTCTAAAAATCAGAGCATACAGTCGGAAAGGTCTTGAAACAGGTAATGCGCATGTCAAATGTAAATGCCATATCTTCTTTCAATCAAAAGTTATCAGCAATGTTAACATTTTTGAAAATGTAAAAGATCAGGTCCATTTACTAAAATTTTAAGAATACACAATGATTTTCATTGTTCAGTCATAGGATTCACGGAACACTTGACTTTTTTTTTTACGTTAGATGACGTAACATCCTGATTCCAGCTTTTTCACTGTTCGAAAATATCTTTTAGTTCTAGACTTTTCATGTCTTTTTCTTGCTTAAAAACTAAATGAATAGAGAAAGACACGCTACTTTTGTTTGAAATATGTCTTTTGTGCCGTATAGAATATTTGTAAGATCTAAAAAATTACTGTCAACGCAGTTAAGTGATCAGATATGAAAATGATGCAAAATCCATAGGCACAACATCCGTGTGATAAGCGGGATACTGGGTATGGCAGGAGTTGATCATCAAAAATATCAATCCTTCCTTTCTAACAAAGCTACTAATATTCGGACACTTGTTCTAGATACGTATAGGTTATCCCAAACAGCATATAAAAAATGTAGTCTATTTCGGACATTTTCCGGTCTGCAGACATAATTTTTTAATTGTTCGGTGCTCCAAGACGTTCAATGACGTTGCCGTTCTTGACTTTGTTTTTACGCATTGATCATCTATAATTTGTGAAAAAAACAGTCAAAACCCCTCCAATTTAATTAAAAATTTCGCCAAATGACGTGTTATGAATATTGTAGCGAGAGGTGAAATATTGTTTATCTGTTTGTGCTTGAACAGTGCAATTTTCCATTTCAAAACAAGATGTGTTTGTGAAAAACTGATGCCCCCGTATGGCAACCTATAGCAAAGGTTAAACTTTCTCAAATGCAAATCAAATATGTTGGTGCCCAAAGTAAGGTCTTGTGTCGAGGAATATACCTGTGACCTATGAAAGCCCAAGAAGCAACCATTGAATAGATATGGAAAAGGTTAAAGTTTTTCAAAAGTAAATCAAACATCAAGGTCAAGGTAAATTGGTCAAAATTAATGGTGGCCAAGGAAAGGCCTTCTCACAAGGAATACACATGTGAAATATGGAAACCGTAGCACCAATCGTTCTAAAATTATGGCCAAGGTTAAAGTTTTTCAAAAGTAGGTCAAATTCCAAAGTAAGGTCAATAGATCACAATTGCTAGTATCCAAAGGAAGGTCTTGTCACAAGGAACAGACATGTCAGATATGAAAGCCCTAGCGTCAACTGTTCAAAAGTTATGTCAAAAGTTAAAGTTTTTCAAAAGTAGGTCAAACTCCAAGGTCAAAGGGTCAAAGTTGTTGGTATCCAAAGGAAGGTCTTGTCACTAGGATTACATATGTGAAGTATGAAAGCCATAGCACCAATCGTTCAAAAGTTATGACCAAGGTTAAAGTTCGGTAAAATTTTGCAAAACTGGGCCAAACTCCAAGGTCAAGGTCAAAAGGTCAAATATGATGGTACCCAAAGAAAGATCTTGTCACAAGGAATACACAGGTGATACGAAAGCCATAGCTTCAACCAATCAAAAGTTATGGACAATGTTAAAGTTTCTGAGGACAAACAGACAGACCGTCAGATTGACGTACGGACAGGGCAAAAACTATATACCCCCGAATCTTCGATACGGGGGCATAAAAATGTCTATGTAGTGTAAACTTGCGAAAAAGTGACATGCTCCGAGAAGTATGTTTTATCTAAATGATATAGCTGTGTATTTTTAAAGCAATATGAGTTGCAACTTTGATTTCAGAAATTTTTGTTGCAAAATTGTAATTAGTTTATAAGTTTATAAACTTCTGTTGTTTATATTTGCGATGGAAGAACTATTTATAAGCTTTGATTGAACCAAAATTACATTACTGTCATCCTGTACAATATTGATTTCTTATGTAACACTATATTTTGGATTGTACAGACAGAATCCTTTAACTGAAACAATTTGATACTTTATTTCTGTCTAATTGATCAAAAAGGTTTAAATTACATACAAATTTATCATAATAACACATTTTAACAACAAAATAAAATTCTCAAAAATGCAGCTCATATTGCTTTAAATAATCATCGGAAAACACCCTTGCATATTTATTTGAAAATATATATAACTTTTAATGGGCTTTGTCGATGATGCACCTGAGTATCATGAGTTTCTCAGGCTATGACCACTTTCAAACCATTCCGGAACTGGAACTCCCAGGACTCATGTGACAAATTTTTTACAGTTTGGGGAAGAATCTACATTCATCTTTCAAGAAGAGGCGTTAAGAATTAAGACAAAGCTACACTGTATGATTATTTCGATATCCGACCAAATTATCGCCACTCTGAGGTCTGACTCCTGCACCAGGAGGACACCAACGTTGTAATTTTTGTAAAGGGTTAGCTTCTCGATATAATAATGCAAACACTTTGGTTGCTAGATGTCCACGAATGAATGATGAGGATTATCAAAGATGTAATATAATTTTTTATATCTGACCAATCATGGGCCTGGGAACCCTACATTTCTGTGTTTCACATGTGCTTTGTTTAATGGTGGAAAAGGTTTTCTTGCTAAATCTCTGTGAGTATAGAGATTTTCAGTAACTCGATATATATAATATATCTGCCTCTACAAAGCAGAAATGTATAGCGGTCATAATAAATTCAGTCATTCAGTTTCATTTACTAGAAAAACTCTCTGATTAGTTTGTAGCTCTACTTAATTGTTTGTACTTACAAGAAGCTCCCAAGAGCCAGAATCGCTCGAAAGGGTTAAACAAATTTAATTCTTTATAACAAATTTTAGAATGCGTTGAAACGATTATAAGTCAAATTAAAGAAATTCGTTATAACAAGTTTGTTATAACAGATTATATTCCTTAAAACGAATGAAAAAAAATATGTTACGAATTAATTTCGATTTAACAAATTTGACAATTCGTTCTACCGAATTCAAAAATAATTTTTTGTCCTAAATACTAGTAGGCTTCCCTAGTAGCTAGATCTTGCCTTTCTGATTATTATTCTCCTACAAAGCTTTGCCTATCTGCATCAATGTCCAAGTAATAAGCAAATAATTGCATATCCCCCCCCCCCTTGTTCTAGCTATAGTAACATACCTTGTTTTTGATTGGATCAAAATGAAAAGTGAACCATCGTTTGTAGAAAACATGCTTAACAACATTACTATAAAGTTTCAGAAAAATCTGCCTGGTAGTTTCAGAGAAGATTTTTGGTTGACGACGACGGACGCCAAGTGATAGCATAAGCTCACTTGGCCTCTGGACCAAGTGAACTAATAAAGGGAGATAAAAGTATCACTTGGACTAAAAATTATGGCAATAACGATAACCAGAATTTTAATCGAAAAACCGCGCACTTTTTTGTGCGCGAAAAATATACATTTTTTTATGATATGTGGCACTGTACACGTCCAAATGTTTTGTAGATGAATATGGAATTTATTTCACTCGTAAGACAGGATTTTTTGAAACTATCATTCGTGCATCGCACTCGTGAAAATATCAAAAAATCCTGTCCCACTCGTGAAATAAATTCCATATTCATCTACAAAACATTGAATATCCTCTATATATTCGTTAAAACGAATTAAAAAAAATGATATAACGAATTAAATTCGCTTTAACAAATTTGACAATTCGTTCTATCGAATTCAAAAATAATTTTTGTCCTAAATAGACTTCCGTAGTAGCTAGACCTTGCCATTCTGATTATTTTTCTCCTGCAAAGCTCAATGTCCAAGTGATATGCAAATAATTGCATACTCAACCCCCACCCCAACCCCCGTGTTCTACTTATAGTAACGTACCTTGTTTTTGATTGGATCAAAATGAAAAGTGGAACATGCCTAACAACATTACTATAAAGTTTCAGAAAAATCTGCCTGGTAGTTTCAGAGAAGATTTTTGGTTGACGACGACGGACGCCAAGTGATAGCATAATCTCATTTGACCCCCTGGACCAAATGAGCTAATAAAGGGAGATAAAAGTATCACTTGGACTAAAAGTTATGGCAATAACGATAAACAGAATTATTATCAGAAAACCGCGCACTTTTTTGTGCGCGAAAAATATAAATATACTAGTACCGGTACATGTATACCATATGGCCAGTTATCAGCTTGTAGTAATCAGCTTGGACACGGTAAGAAATAAAGAGATCATTGAATATTTAATCTTTTTATTTGACTATCCTAATATCAAAACATAAACCACAAATTTGGCAATACTATTTCAATCTGAGAACACTTGTGATGTAGACTAGACAAAATTGGATGCAAATTTTCATCCAACAAAAGCACATACAATGTATCAACGAATTACAAACGAAATGATAAAATTACATGTATAACAAATCATCAAAAAAATAAAATAAACCGGTAATGAATGTCTATTAAAAAAAATCAACACAATATAAAACATATACAAAAAGAAACCGTTGTCTCTGCAATCAAAACCTACAATTTCAGCCATCTACATAATGTGCATGTAAATTATTTTATAGGAACAAATCCCAAGGCCAAGCGCCAGAACGAAAATGGGAACTACTACTACCCGGTAAAAAGCATGGTATAATTCTTAACTTTGATGTTTGGTTTACAACTGTCGGTTCTGTAAGCAGTTGAAAAACACCATTTGAATATATTGTCTCGGTTTATGTTAACTTTTTAAAATGCCATTGCCGGGTATTTGATCCCATTGGGATTCTAGGTTATCAGCTAACATGAAACAGTTTGCACTACGTAGATACACGAGGAAAATATAACAGACCATTGGGAAATGTTACCCCGTTTCCTTATATCACCCTTTTGATAGTCTTTCTTTTTTATGACAAATTGTAAAACTACTAAATTAGACGTTAAAGGCTAATTCGTTTTATAACTGTGACCAAAATTTTTTAAAAATACGATTATTGTTAAGTCGCCTCTATCTCTTGTAAATTGTAGTACTTAAAATTGAAATAAGTAATTTTTTTTTCATAAATTAACAGCAATATGAGACGAAGTTACATTAAAAAAGGTTGGTAATAAAATCCCTGATTATTCGATATTCATGTGGATATCACGGTTATATTACAAGTGTCTACACTTTCAACAAGACGCATGTAGCATTCGAGTTTGGTCCATTAATGATTGTTTAATTTTTTCTTTATATGACGGAGAACTATATTCTGGGGTCTCTCCTGCCATTTCTTTAACATGGACAAGTCACAAGAAAGTGTGTCTTCCTTTAATCTGTCCAGCAGAGTCACACATGCCACAGCTCCTGAAAAGAAACCAAGTAGTGTACGATGTAACCTCTTAAAACTCGCAAATCTCAAAGTTTGTTCATCAGAATGTATATTTCTTGATATATAACTATTTTATGTGGTATAGTATAGTATAGTATAGTATAGTATAGTGACACTTGTATCAAGGATAACTGTTAACCCACATAATTTTGCTCCTTCACATCCCACAAATCTGCATCTCGGTAACATAATTACTTTGGTAATAATAATAACAGGTAATTCAGGAATATAATTATTAAACCTTTGACTCCAGCATAATGGCACATGGCCAGAAAGCCGAGGGATTCCATCTCTATATTACAAACTCCTTTCTTCTTCAGCTCCTGAAGGAATTTCATCTTGTCTTCTTCCTCGTACTCACAGAAGGCGCCATCTAGCCTTGCTTGACCTTAACAGATATCCAATTAAATCATTTAGACAAAATAAAGAGACGTCTAACCTCTCCTGACCTTAAGAGATATCCAATCAAATCATTTAGACAAAAATAAAGAGGCATTTACGTCACCTATTAAAATCTTAGTAGTTTTTAAATAAAGTATCTTGAAATTTGTCTGCTGGCATAGCCCCCAGAAAGATAAACCCCATATCAAATTTTCCATACTAACCTTCGTAAAAGTCGTCTGCACAAAGTGTTGTTCCTTTAACAGTTTTAAATTCATCGTCTGGTTCTGAGCACTTTAACAGCGATTCCATTAACGACTGGTCAACTTTGGCCAAGCGCTTCACAGGTTTACCTAACACAGACTGTAAATATTTCAAACATTAAAAGACCTGTAGTTAGTGGAAAAATCTTTTACAAATTTTAATTAACTTCAAACATGATTTTGATATTTTCTATACACATCGTGTCTAATTAAAATTTGGATGCACCAGTTTGTAATATGGATTCATTTCGCCATCCACGGCCTTTTCCGTAACAACCACCGTTCCTGGCTCTAAACCTACAACAATAAAAAATCGAATATGTATTTCTAACACAGTGAAACATACTAACAAAAGGAATCTGTTCTGTTCCAAATTCTCAAGACATAGTTGAAATACATGAACATGTATAAATTATCGAAGTCATAAAATACTGCACATTCACCTCATTATATCTGAAATGTCAATGACACATATTCCACCATCATCGGATACCCACGGGTGATCTCGTCTTTTACTCATCTTTTTACTCATGATGAGTAAAAGACGAGATCACCCGTGGGTATCCGACGAAGATATTCCACCATTACTAATTTATTTACAATGCGACGATTTCTTTCTTTCTAGCTTTTTTTTTTTATGTTTAAAGACTTTTCAAAATATTTAACCATATATTTTGCTTAACCAAACAGCATTTCATGGTCAGTCACAGACTCGGGGGGGGGGGGGGTTGTTACCCGGTGTATTCCCCTCCCTGAAATTCCCAACATTTGTTCATTACTCTCAAAAAACATGTGATCCTTGTATAATGTATGTAAATGAACAAATAATGCATTTTGGTCCAAATTAATTCATACATACAAACTCACAGACTCCCCAACTTTCCATCTCTGTAATAATTTACTTGATCTTGCACCACCACCATCACCCCCCACCCCCACCCCCCGCTCTTAATATCGCTAAATTTACTATACACTGATACGAAAGCCTATTAGCATCAAACTACGGTAAAAAAAAAATTTAAAAGGCGTTATAACGCCTTTTCGAAAGGCGTTATAACGCGGAAAAAGGCGTTATTACGCCTTTGAAAAAGGCGTTATTACGCCTTTCCAAAAGGCGTTATTACGCCTTTCCAAAAGGCGTTATTACGCCTTTCTTAAAGGCGTTATTACGCCTTTCTAAAAGACGTTATTATGCCTTTTGAAGGGCCATTATTATGTCTTTGACAGGCCCGTGCTTTTAAAGTGGGGGGGGGGGGGGGTCCCATAAAATTGACATGCAAACAAAAAAACAAGACCCCCCCTCGAAAAAAAAATAAACTGCCTAAACTTGAGGGAAACTTTTTCTAATTTTTCGGTAAAACTTTTTTTTAAATGCAATGACTTGCCCGAGTTTAACCATACAGCAACAAAATGTTAAGGGGCCAAGCAATCAATAAATGATTTTTTATATTTGAACTATAGCAAGACTATTCTCCCAAAAAGTGGGGTGGGGGACCCCCCCCCCTCCCCACTCACAATCGTACTACCGGCCTGTTTGAAAAGGAGTTGTATCCAAAAATGGAAAGGCGTTATTTTGAAATAGTAAATATATGAAAGATTGAACCAAAACCCTCTTTATTTATGCAATATTTAGATTATAGTTTTAATATTATAAATTATATTATAAATTATAGTATTTTCTATATTCCTGCACATCTCGCAGACAGTTGTTTGCATTTTGCATGCATATTAAGAGAAGTCAACACTCTACTTTTGAAAATCCAGGATATAGGCAGAACCAGCTTTGGGCTTTGCTAGCCACGTATTAAAAATTCATGTCAAATTTGAAATATTTTTCTCTCCTCTTTGTAAAAAACAGGCAAAGTATTTGCATAGGTATAATGAGCAATTAGCCTTCAACAAAATTTCTGAAATCCATACACCTTGGTAGAAGCGTCTGGCATCAGAGAAGGACTAAGTTGGTTTAACACTGAAAATATTTTACACATTTAAAAATCTTTTTTCCTTTTAGAAAGGCGTAATAACGCCTTTTGGAAAGGCGTAATAACGCCTTTTAAAAAGGCGTAATAACGCCTTTTGGAAAGGCGTAATAACGCCTTTTCGAAAGGCGTTATAACGCCTTTTTTCGCGTTATAACGCCTTTTGGAAAGGTGTAATTACGCCTTTATTTGCGTTATTACGCCTTTTTCCGCGTTATAACGCCTTTTCAAAAGGCGTTATTACGCCTTTTTTTTCGCGTTATAACGCCTTTTCAAAAGGCGTTATAACGCCTTTCAAATTTTTTTTACCGTAGTTTGATCCTTATAGGCTTTCGTACAATGACGATAAATGAACGAAAAAAGAACGGATAAAGGCCAGATCGTTTTTTTTAACTCAAGTATGAAAGATGAACATGATTCCGTGGTACCCAGAAAAGTTGCTTGTATTTTATTTCTCCTTAACACCGAAATCCACCAATGCCGTCCAGTCTTAAGCACTCTATCGAGTGTTGCAAACGCTGATTAAAGTGTTTGAAAGTGACAGTAACATTGTTTTGACCAATGCAAAAATGTTTTTGCCATGAATAAAAATTATATAATTTTTTCATGTGTAGATCTTATTTTCCCGAAGCTAAAAAAATAAAGGACAGACGATACGTTCCACAATAATTTCATGTATAATTTTTTCCAAGTATTTGTGATTGAAATATTGCTACTTTAGCAAGTTTTCTCACAAAAAAGTAGATACATTATTAAGCATTTTTTGCAAATTCCAGAGGATGGTATTTACTATATAATCCTACTGGAAATCACTTGAATTGCTGATATAAATCTTGACAACACAAAAGTTTCTCCTTCGATATATAAAAGATACCTTGGCGGATCGGTATTATAATTATGTTTGGTTTATATGTTTTTACTTTTTAAACATTTTGAAAACAGTTTAGAAAAGATGATAATAATTATCAATATTTTTTGTATATTACGAAGAAATACAAAAACAGTATTCGATCGAGGAACGTATCGTCAGACCTTAAAGTGGCGTATTACCTACTCCTCCGCATGTACCAATCCTGAAGAACTCTACATCCTTACATTTGGCGTAATAGACAAGCTTGATGATCTCATTAAAGACAACTGATAATGACGGAATCCCGATCCCATGCTGAAATGAATCCACATTCAATTAAATTATTGCATGAAAAATACATATAAATTTATAATTTTAAAAATCAACGAATAATCTAACTAAACTTTGAATTTAGAAGGTCTGTAATGATAGCGAAAAAAATGGGTTAACCACAGTACTTCCTTTGTTCTCTAGATATTCTACCATCCAAGGAAACATTATCAATTCATCCTTATCTTTCATGACCTTCAATCTTGTGACTTGAAAATGAAAGGTGGTCATCTCTTAGGGGGTACCGCGTATATATTACTAAGTTTGATGTACTAAGCAAAGGGCTCTCAAGAATGAAGCAATGTGAGTACAATACAAATATATCTTTGAAAAGTCACTCCACTTAAGGAAAAATAGTACTAGCGGATTAAGACACCCGCACCCACCCACCCAATTTGGGACAAAGGCTTTTTAAAATGGTGTTGTATAGTAACCCTTTCCTAATAGTCTTCTGAAGATTATTTTGAATTTTCTGTTCACAAAACATCCCCTTTTAAGGGGGTTACTTAAAAAAAAAACTTTCAACTTCCCTCCATAACAATATATGATTTTGTCTTTCAGTGACTTTTTCACTATATAATCTTAATATCCGCCATTGAAGCGACTTCGCAAGCAGTTATTATGAAAAAAGAAATTGGAAAAACGACGTTTCCAAGAGGAATAGGAAAACGAACAGTGAAATTTATTTTTCTAAAATTCATACCTTCAGTTTTTGTCAATCATCGAAAAGGGACCCCGGGTATATACGAAACATTCTACATGTATTAGAAAAGAATTGAGGTTTGAATGTTTACGAAATTAGTAATACACATGAAGTCTGAACACTTCAGCTATTGATTGGCCGTATAATTAAAGGGTATTCCATTAAAACGAATGGCATACAATATTAGGAAAAACAAGAAAAGAAAAAATAAAACTATAAATGAGTTTGTCTTATTCCATTGGTAGATCGAAACTCCCTAAGATCTGTCGCATTAAAAGCAATTGTCTAGCTGCTCTCAAAACATTTAGTTCACGTACTTCATGTCTATAAACTGATAACATGACTTGAGAAATGTTGACAGGCTTTTACAAAAACCTCAATGTATGCCAGGTCACAGCCTTTCAACGCATTAACGTTTTTAACTGATTTACAATTTATTTAAAGCAAGGTTCTTCGATAAGAAATTCGTTTTGAAAGCAACAGTTTGCGAATTGCAATTATATAGTAAGAATACAAAATACCATATATCTTTGAAAAGCTTTTAAAACTAAAATCTACATTCATATGTATCATCCTATGATGTCTTTGTGGTACTCACGCTGACAGATAACACTGGCCCCACTTTATGGATGGAATACCGGTCTGTTCCGGCAGCATAATTTTTCGGTCTATCTCCGTCCTTTTCATGGTCATATATTTTCAGTTCTTCGGCAACAAGTGCCGAAAACTTTTCCATTCTAGAAGGCTGACCACCAAAGCACACAAATCGAACATCACCAAACATTTTTTCAAGGTCATCTTTCTGGGTGTCCAAAGCAAGGTGATATAGGTGGTCCTCATTCAGTCTGTGTAGTTTTTTGTAATTCTGGGGAATTACTAGTCTGAATTCAATAAGAAAACAATGTTTAAAAAAAAAATACATGTGCATAAGAACATATTTGTTTATTAGTAAATGTATGTTAATATAACGAAGGATCGCTAGGTAGAATTTTGTTTTTATAGATTATAATGCATTTTTACGTAATGGCATAACTTTGAAAAATAGCTTTAAAGGTAGGTTAATTAAAGCTCCCCTTTTCTAGACATAACATCTTTCTTTTTTAATCTGTTATACCGACACCTCTAAAAAGTGACCTTACGACCTGTTCGATGGAAAACCTACAAACGCAATTTTCGTATCTTGCGTAAAAAATGCAGGGGTCAGTGCATAAAATAAGGGTAACCGTTTGTTCGTAAATTTTGAAAACGTCGAAATACATATATTATAATACTTTTGTGGTATATCTATATACATGTACATGAATATAGATCTATGCACAAGTTTACAAAACATTTTCAGGACCGTAGAACGCGGGGGGGGGGGGGGGGGAGGAGGAGGAGGAAGGGGCACCCCCCACTTTTTTCTGAATACATTATTTTGCAATAGTAAATTTTCTTTTAGATGCTGGATGGCCCCCAGTTTTTGCTGCTATAAGGTTGAACAATGGAAAATGTTAGGATTTGAAAAAAAGTGTATCAAAAAAGTAAGTTAAAGGTCCATAATCCCCACCCCAACCCCCGAAATACGATTTTTCGAGTTTGAACAGTTTAGGGGGGTTGGTTGGTTGGTTGGTTGCATGTCTTGCAGATTTTTTGCGAGGTTGCCCCCCTCCTTTCCCCAATTTTTGGATAGTTTAGGGTTTTTTTTTTTGGCTTGTCAGATTTTGGGAGGTTGCCTCCCCCCTTTTAAAAAGTAACATTTTTTTTCTTGTCAGACTTTTTTGGGAGGTTGTCCCTTTTTTTAAAAAAAAAAAAACTTGCTACGGGTCTGATTTCATCAAAATCTTCTTATTTTTTAATTACACCGTTTTCTTTCTTCCCTAGATACATGTACGTGTCTTGTTGTTTTGTTTGAGCTAATAATCTTAAATAATAACATGGCCGTAGGAACCGGGGCCCCCTCAATAATTTTGCCGATATATAGATTACTATAGTAAACATAGATATTATATGCTTGTGCCCCCTCAATAAAAACGTCTGATGACCTTTTTTTTTTTTTTTGCTTGTCGGGAAATTTTTGGTAGTGCCCCCTCAACTGTCAACTGAAAATGTATGGTTGTGCCCCCCCCCCCCCCCCCAAACTGAATTTGCTTCCTACGGGCCTGTAATAAGTATTAGAAATCACCTGAACATAGATAAGGCTTCGACAATAAATAGACTGCCCGATTGAATGAGCTGCATGGGTGTAATTCACATGTGTGGTACAAATAATATATACGATTAGCCTTTTGACTAGCAAATTAACGAATTTTCATTCATTGAACAAAACTGAAAGTTTCTTAGATGTGAGCATAGCATGCGTTGACCTACAGAACGTTTTTTTTTTTTTTTTTTTTTTGTTGGACAGCATGATTTCACGTATAGAATTTATAGCGCCCTTCATTCGATAAGGGGGTAACAGAAAGAACTTTTGCCTTATCGAAAGTTATCTTCATCCGATTAGTTCGTTACCAAGCAACCATTATTTCCTCTCAATAGAGCCTGATGTAAGCATGTCCACGTGTTTCATATTTAGAGGTGTTGTCCCTAGTAAGCCATTTGATTGGTCAGACCAAAGAAAACAAAAATAACGCAACGTGCTTGTAAATTGATATGAGCATGATGAGGGGGATATCAAATAGGGACATCGTACAAAAACTTCAATAAAATATGAGCAAAGAAGAAGATAATGTTGCTAGATGTATTCAAGTTACACATGTAACAATATAACATTTTAATGAACATTAGTGGCTTGTTCCTTTTCAATCAATTTGAATTTGTATACCCTGTCCATACGATAGAGCTAATGTACAAGTATGTTTTATCAATATGCGGGAAGCTAGACCATTCATATTGCTTGATTTAATACTGAAATGAGTTATCTACTCACCCATTGCCATTTTCCGTAATATCCACTGCAGATTCCATTTTCCTGGCCGGAACTGAGTATCGATCGATCTATGTGGATACAGCCGAACCTTCAGCTCAGACAAACGTGGAGGTACGGAAAGGAGCTTTACGGGGAAGTGAAAGGGGGTTGGATTAAACGTATACAGCTTCGTTGAAACTGATTATCCAAATAATTTTTAAAGGGTTTCACCGATGTTCGAAATACCTTCCGCTATTTGAAAGAACAATACATAGTATATGTACATTTAAAAAAAATGATTGAATTTAAATAAAAAGATACAGTACATATGTTTTATTTGTATAGTATTTTGTCTTATGTGTATATATATATATATATAGTGACACGAAAAGAGGGATGTCTTCAGCGGTAACTATTCTACAATAGACAAAATTACTAACTCACCACCATAAAAAAATTAATAATTGTACCTTTTCAAATATTGTTTATGATCAATTTGATGGATGAATACATGTTACATAGTTAAAAGTAAGTTATTTAAATGTCCATCAAATGTAATGTCAAATGAAGCGCAACGATTTCATAGAAATGCATGAAAATCACTTAAATTTCTATTTTATCCTTAGATTTGCGTTCCTTATCCTTGCATTCATTAAAAAAAACTCAAAAAAAAAAATAAAATAAAATAAATAAATAAAAATAAAAATGAAAAATAAAAAATCTTCACCCTTAGCGGTATTTGACCGTAGAAAAGCGTGGTAGGATAGCCAGCATTGTCGCAGGGTGATGTCCTTTTGATTTTTTTTTTTTTAAAGATAAGTTATTTTTTTTATTAAAAAGTGTATGACTAGATAAACATAAACGGAAATGTCTTCTTTATGTGGCCACGGCATTAAATATCCCTCACATAATTTGTAAATCTGTGGTTACAGGAAGTGTGGTGGATCGGATTCGGATTCCAAACCACTTTTTAGGCTATTTGATAAGACATCAGAGACATGCAGGGAGATACCACCAATGTGGCAACCTCAATGACCACCTTTGGTAACTAGCAACTTCATATCAGTGCAAAAAACAGTGCACAAATTGAAAATTGATTTGCAAGCAAGAAGGTAATAAATTTGAGGGTTTTATGTTGACACCGTGACATCGGCAAATTCGACTCTATTTTGGCAAGATGGCATATTACATCTACTCGTTCAGCCGAATTGGGCAACTGTTCGGTTAACATATGAGAATTTGAATGTTACTTTAAATAGCAGTTTTTTAGTGTATATAGAGGACTCATTTTAGAATTTATAGAGTGAATTTGAAAAAAAAACTTTTAAATTGAAACAGAAGAAAAATAAAGTTTACCTAACACCTATGGTCACAATGGGTACCCATTAAATAACTTAAACTATATTTTTGTGTAACTATAAAACATGTTTTCATTTTCTCCCAAACAGTACCCCTGGACATCATTATTCAGCAGGAATTCAACCCTGTGTTGCATATACTGTAGATTGCAAATGACAGACACTTATCGGCAGTGTATGGTGAGTTTTCTTGATCAGTCATCCTATGTTATTGATAGCTGGAAAAATAGAAAAGGACCAACTTCATATTAAATTCATAGGCGTCGGAACCGGGGGGGGGGGGGGGGGGGCTAGGGGGGCTTAGCCCCCCCCCACTTTTTTTTTTGCCAAGTTTGCCAAGATAGACATAATACAGGCATTGAACATTGGGGTGTAGGTTTAGCCCCCCACTTTCAAGATCCCCCCCCCCCCCCACGAAATAGGATTTTTGGGTTTGGACAATTTTCAATTTTCCTTTTTTTGTCAAGTTTTTTTCAGGGTTGAAATTTTTTTCCACTTTCAATTAGCCCCCCCCCCCCCAACACTTTCAATTTGCTTTCGACGCCTATGAAATTGCTGTTTAACAGCTGCAAATTTTTATTTTTTGTTTTTTCTTTGTTTTCTTTTTCATAGGTACTTCAAAGGAGATAGGCATCTCTGGCAGTTGAAACTTAAAGTATACAGATGATATACCCCCTTCCCCGACCCTTTCAATTTTGAGACAATATGAAGAGATTATTAAACTTACTAAGCGCATGATTAAAGCAATCAAGATTCCCAGAGTCTTTATTTTTATCAGAATATTTTCTTTTCTTTTTACAAACCTTTATCTTATGAATCCGAATCAGTTAGTGATAGAGTGTCAAATAAAAAAGGCGCCAAAATATGGAAAAAGTTGAGCTGAGGAAATCCGAATCGTTCTGAAACTAGACATAAATCCTTGAAGTTTTATAATTAATAATGTGAGGAAAATGGCAGATAACACATTTGAAATTGATGATGAACAGAGAGAAATTCGACAGGTATCATATATATATTTTTTTAAGGAACGACTTTACTTTACCGGTCCCCAGAAAAACGCGCTAAAATATAGTGTCGCCGTAGGCGACTTCAATATATATGAGATCGCGGGAACGACTTTACTTTACCGGTCCCCAGAAAAACGCGCTAAAATATAGTGTCGCCGTAGGCGACTTCAATATATATGAGATCGCGTGAGCGATCGAAAAAAATAAAAAATATGAGGTTTTAAGCCTTTTTGACCCCAAATTCGAATTCTACGGTTAAAAGTTTAGTTTAAAACTTCGTTTATAAACGAAGTTTTTAACCTCGTTTTCTGAAAAAAAAGTAATAAATGTTGTTTATTCAGTGAAAAGGAGACAAAAAATAATTGTGAACGAAGCGCGTGCGGCGCATGCTTAGTGCCGTTTCTTTCGTACTTAGCCATTTTTTTCATGTAAACAAACCAACGAGATGTCGTTGAAGCTGAATTAAGATCTTGCAAAAAATACAGATGCAACTGAATTTCTTAATTAATCTGAAAGAACAAGACACTAACCCTAATCTCTCGGATGGTATGCGAGGACTAACCCAAATCTCCCAGGCGGATGCTAAACCATGCTAGACTAACCCATGTGCGAGGACTAACCCTAATCTCTGGGATATATGCGAGACTAACCCTAATCAGTCGAAAACTTATGCAAAGACTAACCCCAATCTTTCAGGTGGTTGCAAGACTAACCCTAACCAGTCGAAAAATGTGCAAAACCAACCCTAATCAGTTGAGTGACGTAAATCTTACGTCATAGTGCAATGAGCGCGCGGATCTTGCGGATCTGGGGACCGGTAAAGTAAAGTCTACCCTTTTTTAATTATTCATTTGGTCTTTTAATACATTTATTATTATTATTGAGGCCTTATTCAGTTATCCCAAGTCATTTATTACCGGGGTGTTTATAGGTCTAGGCACTAGGCAACCTCCTTTCCGGAGGATAGCCAAATTTCAATAGAGCAGCCAATTTTTTACCATATGTGGAAAATCGCAATGTGTTGTAGGATAGATAGCATATCCTTCAATTAACACTGATAATTTTCAGACACCTTGTGCCTACATGTACCTTAAGTTGAAAAGTGCATTACCAGATAACAAGTACGTGTAAATAAAAGTTCAATCATTTTTTTTCGATTGTATGTGGTAAGGCCAAGATAAATAAATAGTGTGTTTCCTATTCCAACCTGAGAAAAAATAGGGTAGGTAGGTAAAGAAAACATTTTATTTTATTTTAATATTTTATTGGCAAGCACGCTACCACTTTTCCCTGGGGAAATCACTGTCAAAACATTTTTGAGTAATGTGTATAGAATATGCATTTTCTGAAACACGGAAGTGATCGAGATTAGGATTTCTAATAGTGAAACTGGAATAGTTTACTCCTGGAAAGATATCTGCAGATAAATTTGTTAGGGTTGGCTCATATATTTAGGGTTGGTCGGGGAACCAGAAACACACAATTTATTTATCTAAGCCTAATATGAGATTCTATGTTTGATGTGTACGAAGTGGTCTCTGTATCCCATACACACCAGAGACATAAATAAGGCCAAATAAGGTATGTGTGTTTCCGGTTACCCGACCTACCTTATTTTTTTCAGCCAACTTCTGGCTAAGGTTGTAGTCTACGATAAAACCAGAGACATCAGAATGGAAAACTCAGAAGTCTTTGGTTTTATCCTTCATTTGTAACCCCAACCAGAAGTTCTTGTATCCCGTCTATTGCCTTAAAATGTATCAAGGTAATTTTTGAGGAATAAATGAGTGGTTTACAATAAAGAGGCTCAACCAGAGATGTCTGAAACCATTTATTTGACAAGAGAAAAGTCTCGAGAAGTGAACGATGTCATTTTAAAGTAGGTTAATGATTGATATATATTAACAAAATCCGAACTTGAAGCAGGGATGCCTAAAATTGAGTTAGGTACCTTATGGAAAGAAAAAGAAGGGGGTGACCCCATATATGAAACAAGTGCCTGTAATACACCCTCCTGAAACCAAGCGCCTATGCAAGAAGTCTGTGTTCATTGCTGTTTCATGTCGATATTATAAGCATAAAATTATCCTTTTCAAATTATTTTTAGAGAAAAATGTAATGAAGTAATTATAGAATATGCTTAAATCAAATTTTATAGAAATTAAAGGCAGCTTTGTATTACACCACTCTGAAAATCAGTGATGAGCTGGCTGAAGAGAAGGAAGTGACACTTAGTCGTCAGGTGGTTGCCAGTATTGCTGAGACAACATGGAACCAGTGTCAACAGTTTGCAGAGGATCTAGAGATGTTTGCTAAGTAGCCATATTTTTAAATTTTTTTTTTCTTAATAATAAATATCAATCATGTAAATGATGGTATTTGCTGACTATAATAGCCTTTTCTGACAATTTTTTTTTTTACAGAAGATGGAGATAAAAAGAAATTCAAGCAAACTTAATATAACATTACCATATGTGGCAAAATTTGAAACAAAACATTGTTGAAGATTAGAATTCTATGAAAAAATCAGTGATTCTTCAACTTAGAGACATGAGAGTTATATTTCTTAGCCAGGGGTCCTTCCTTAATTTCTTCCTTAATTTGTTTCCTTTACAAGACCTTGATAGGTAAAAAAAAAAATCTTACAAGGGCTTGATTGGTGCAAGAAAAAAATCTTTACAAAAGCATGATGGGTACAAGAAAAAAATCTTTACAAAAGCATGATGGGTACAAGAAAAAAAAGTGACACTGATTTCTGGATGAATTGTTGTAGACATGCCAAAAGAAGTACAGTTACAGCAGATGATGTGAAACTACTCACAAGAAGATCACAAAAATTGGTGTGTATGTTGTATCAAGTACACTATTACTAGGTCATGTGAAATTAGCTATTTAATAGATTCTTGCTTATAGTTAAATATGTTGATTGGCCAGTGATATATTTAATTTTTTTGGCACATGTTGCATATACCATATCACTGTCCTTGTCAATGGTAAACTTGAAATCATGTACGGTCATGCAATAATAGTAACCCATTTCCTTTAAAGTTCTTTATATATTTTTTTCATCTCCAGTAGGGTCTCCTTTTGTTTAAATTGATATTTTCCCCATAAAATACTTGAACAGAGATGACTGGGAACCATGAGTACATATACAACAGTTCCATACTGTAAACAGTTATTTTTGCCCCTTGTTATTTTTGCCCTTTCACACTTGCAAACAATTTTGCCCCGTTTTAAATTCACCCAGTCACAGTTCTGTTTAAGAAATTATACTATCTTCTTTGAATTCGCCCCTTCTTAAATTTGCCCACTTGCGTCTAGGGTGAAAGGGGCGAAAATAAAACAGAGGCGAAAATTTCCCTGTATACAGTATCATGATCATGATATGTTGCACGCCAAGTATAAGTGGTCTTGTTTGATTTTATTGGTTTTGCTATATTTTAAAGCCTGGACATTACTAGTGTGATTTGTTTCCTTTCTTGTGTTTTACAGCACAGATTTATTTGCCAAAAGCATGAAGCTTACGTAGAAGAAAAACAGGGAACAAGAAAGACAAAGAAACCAAGGTCCAAGTCTTCCTCTGCCACTGAGACTTCTGGATTACAGGTGGAGGAAGATTCTAATATGGAGTGAAATTTGATGCCAGTTTAAAAAAAAAATTCTTGTGATGGAGAAGTAATCATTGTCCTATATTTTATGGTTATTCTATCATGTATGATGATTCATGTATGATGGATTCAAAAATATGTATCAATTGTAATTATAGTCATGTAATCTTAAAGACTGTATTTCATTGCATGAAATGTCATTCTATGTTGGTTTATTCCAGTGGGACAGAAATCAAGGTGTATTGATTGTTTCATATTTGATAAGGAAACACTGCATTTGCTTTGGGAATATAAGAGTTAGTATATTTTTATACATGTGACACATTGCAAATACATTTTCAGTTTGTTTTAAATAGGCAGCATTGCTTTTTGGTAGGATTCTTAGATTTGACTTAAAAGAACTTTTACAATTCCTATGATGTAGAAGAAGGAATCATCATTTCTACATTTAGCTGTTTACTCCTGATCCTACTTTGGCCAGTTTGTGGTACATGAATATTTGACAACTGTAGAATGAGGCTAAGGTGGACTATTTGTTTTTGAAAAGCTTCTGATGTGCATTCTTTTTTGCTACTTAACTATTGTAAAAGTTGTTTTTTATAAACAGAAATAAAGGCTACTGGTACACAAAGTCTGACCAAAATTGCGATTTTCTTTCTCATGCATTCTCAGGTTTAAAATGTACAACATTGTAGAACAATCATAATAATCAGCTTGTTGATTGTGGGCAATACTTGGCAGAAACAAAATTGCAACCTGGGAACAATAAAGAGCCTTTGGTATTTACACACCGTTGTTCCTATGAATCTAGGTGTGTTAAGGGTTACAGGGCTGTGTTGTGCCTAAATAGCACTACTTTAGTGTAGCCCACTAGTTTAATGCTTGCTACAGCATAACACTTGATGAAATTTACATTATTTGTTGTTGTTACATTCACCGATTGGAATTAAATATAACTGAGTTTGAAGTGATTATGTGTGGTATATACATGTAGTGTGGCCACACTCCTACCGGTACTAGCTAGTGGGTTAACCCTTGTGAGTACATTTGATGTTAAAACTGAGGGTTGTAGGTCCAAGTCACATTGTAGACACCCATACTAAATCAGTCACATGAGTTTTAACAGTTATACTTTCCTGCCTGTATCTTTTTTCCAAAAGATACTTGTATCCAGAATCTGATGACTGCTAGTAAGAGACTGAATACAGTGAAACTTGGTTATAAAGAACTCAGTTATAAGGAATTTCTAATGAATCCTGTATGTGACTTCACTTTGTTCCTTATACAGGTATAAGGAATCTTACCTATAAGGAAGTAAAATTCCAAGTCCCGAGTTTTACTGTAATGTTTATAATATATCTCTGCTGCTAGTTGAGTGTTTTAGGAAAGTTATGCTTCTTAGCATATCTAGGGGACCAGGGACATCTTAACCTATATGATATTAAACAATGCATGAGTTATGAATTTGTAATAAAGAAAAGATTAAAACCTAGCCCATGTATTTACTGGTCATAAAGGTTGATTATAATTGAGACAAGAGAACCTAGGTCACTTTGACAAGATCAATATCGCATAGTTTAAAGATGTTGATTAGGGCCCCGCTCTGCAGTTGCCTTATATTGATCAGTCTATTCATCCATCTTTCTGTCCTGATTTCATTCATCTGGAGCAGATTTTCTCTCCCTTAACCCATTCAAACTCAAACTTTACCTATAGATTGCTTGTGGGTAGAGGGTGTGCAGTGATGTTGAGACAGTTTTGTTGATCAAAGGTCAAGGTCGAAAACTTCTCTGTGTAAAATCCGTAGCAGGAGGATATTTTTCTCTACCCTTGGCCCAATTGAGCTCATACATCACTCAAAGTGTGTTCAAGGGTAGAGGCTGTGCAGTGAACTTGAACCAATTTTCTAGATTAAAGGTCAAGGTCATAAATTCTCTTTGCAATAAAAATATTTTTTCAGAGCATATTTTCTCTCACCTTGGTCCAGTTAGAATCACACTTCGCCCGTAAAGTGCCTGTGGGTAGAGGTGTGCATTTACCTTGAACCAATTTTCCAATCAATGGCCAAGGTTGAAAAACCTCTCTGTGTAAAATCCATTTCAGGGGCTCATTTTCCAGATGGGCTCATACTTCATCCACTGTGTGCCCTTGGATAGAGGGTGTGCAATGACCTTGAACAAGTTTTCTAGATGAATGGTCAGAAAACCTTTTTGTGTATTTAATCCTTGTCCAAAGAGTGTTTTTCTCCCCTTGATCCTATCTGGCTCAAACTTCACCTGTAAGAGTGCCCCTGGGTGAGAGTGTCCTTGAGCCAAGTTTCTAGGTTAATGGTCAAGATTATAGCAAATCTCTAAAATTCTTTTCTTGGGCATGTTTTTAGCTCACCTGAGCCAAAGGTTCAAGTGAGCTTTTCTGATTGAAGGGTGTCTGTGTGTCATGTATCGTCTCTAAACTTTTCACATATTCAACTTCTCAAGAACCACTGGGCCAATTTCAACAAAACTTGCCACAAAGCATCCTTAGGTGAAGGGGAATTTAAATTTGTTTACCCTCTTTCAAGGGGAGATAATTAATCCTGAAAATTTGGTTTCATCTTTTAAAAATCTTTTCAAGAACCACTGGGCCAGAAAAAAATGAAACTTAGGCTTATGTGAAAGCTTTATAACATACTGTAGAGTCAAGTTTGTCCATATCATGACCCCAGGAATAGGACGGGGCCACAACAGGGGGTCAAAGTTTTACATAGTAATACATAGGAAATATCTTCTTCTCAAGAACTGCAAAGCTGTGATTAGTCATATTGATATAGAAGCATCCTCAAATTGTGTAAAGTGAAGTGTGTTCAAATCATGACCCCTGGGGGTAGGGTGAGGCAGTAAGGGGGGATCAAAGTTTAACATAGGAATATATAGAAGTCTTTAAAAATTGTTTTCCCAGGAACAGCAAAGCCATGATAAGTCATATTAAAACAGTCTTAAGCATCCAAAGCCATATTTATATGGAAGCATCCTCAGGTAGTGTAGATTGAAGTTTGTTCAAATCATGAACCCCTAGGATGGGGCCATAATATGTGATTAAAGATTTACATAAGAAAATGTAGGAAAAAGAATGCTTATGAAGAACAAAAGGGCCATTGTTACTAAGGTGAGCATTGTGGCCCATGGACCTCTTGTTTTCCATTAGCCCCATCTGAATCAAACTTCCCCCATAGAGTGCCCTTGGATAAATAATACAAATAACTGTCCCAGAGAAAACTCATGACTACTGCTCAAAATTCAGCTTTTAACCTTTGAAGTTCATGATAAGATTCAAAGATTTGACATGATGACATTATTTTGACTATAAAATGCTTATAAAAAAAGAGAAATAATGACTATACATTCATAAACAATATTTTGAAAGCTTTCTTACAATGTATAAAAAAGGCATTTTGTTTATGATAACTTGTTCACATGCTTTTTAATTTATTTTAGAAAGAAATGTGTCGGACCTGTTTAAGTCAATCCTGTTCACATGATTTTATTTTAGAAGGAAAAACAGTCTGACTAAAGCCAGCCCCTACGAACGAAGTGAAATACTAGGGGCTGGCTTTAGTCAGAATGGAAGGAAATATGCCGGAGCAATCCGGAATTTTTTGGGTTGTACTTGTTAACCGAAAAAAGAAGCCCCGGAAGTTCCCATGATGCTCTACTGCCACGTACCTGCCATCTTGCTGTAAATAAACTAACAAACCGGTCTTTTCTGCAGAAGTTTTCATTGCGAGCTTGCTTTTGTCGTTGACTGTCTAAGGGTAAAGAACAAATGGGTGGATATTGGAGTTCAGGAGAAGTACCTGGTGGAGGTACCGAAGGGTACCATGTTTTACGGGTAAACAAGACGTGAATATGTTCAGTGAGACTCCAAAAATTCAGCGCAGAACTCTTGAAAATGGTCTTTTCCCAATATTGTCATATGAACTGCATGAATTAACTTAACCAAATTGAGAGAATTACTTTGATTTTGTTTTGACTTTTGATGGCATTGTCAATGATACTCGCAGAAGTCCTTTTTTTTGTAGGCATTGTTTTTTTTTTCTTGCGAAGTGACCATGTGTTCGTGGCATGACATGCCCATGGACGACTTTCACATTTACAAAAGTTATTTTCCTTTGCGGGGTCAATCTTGGGTCAACCGGCGTAAGATACTGTTTTCCCTCTATCTATACCATAGTCCGAAATATCTGACGAAAACTGAAAATTTCACCGTCTCCCACCGGAGCTGATTTTCGATAATTGCAAACTGAATTAAATGCCGAACTTAGAATTTATCAGTAGCACAATACTTCTTGTACTCACTAATATCGATGAAAAGAAAACATCACTCCACATTTCGATACAGGACTTGCAAGATTTTAAAATGCACGAAATGAAAAGAAAACCCGACGGTCTGATAAAATGTTTTCACCAGACTGTATATTTCATAAACAAACCATAAAATCGATGTTGATGAGTACTAAAGGCATTGTACTATTAATAAATTGTGAATTCAGCTTTTAATTCGGCTTTTAATTCGGTTCGCAAGTATCAAAAATCAACCCGAAAATGCCGCTTCCAGTTGGAGGCGGCAAATTTCCAGTTTTCGTAATGGCGCCGGTTCTGACGTTTTCCTGGCACGTAAAATATCAAAATCGTTAAAAAAGCCAGGAAAACGTCAGATATTTCGGACTATCTATAACATTACTAACTTTATGGGACAATATCTTACAAATGAAATCTGTATGAATGTGTCTGTTTAGTGTTGTTTTTTTATGTTGCCCCATACTATGGCAATACAGGAACAGATCAAAATTGTCCCATAGCATTTAAAGGTTGAAAATATTTACAGGTAAGTTACAAAGGTTATAGTGAGAAAATGAGCGTTACGCCGACAATGGGAGATAACTCTTACGAATGTGAAATTCGTCTATTGCCGTGACTCTGTCTATTTATACCTTTGTACCCTCTAGCTTTCGTCCACCAAGATAAAGTGTTTATTTTGTTAATGAGGCTTAATCATTTTTTTTAATAATTTTTTTAATGGTATAAGCATTAAACTCTGGTCAATTTTATATATCGTATAATCCCTATTAACCGCCCCGGGCGCTTAGAAAATTGTGAAAAGGGGGTGGTTATTTTGGTATTCTAGTTATAATTTTTTATGTCATTTTTTAACTTCAAAAAATCTTTTGAAAAAAAATAATAAATTCAGAGAACCACTGAAAGATTGTCTAACTTTCCTTTAAGTTAAGATAATCCATTGAATTTCTGCTATATGATTCATTTTCCCAACAAGAAATTAGAGAAACACAAGGAGAACAAATTTTATAGGTTACTTTCACTTTCAGAAATACATAATGAGTAGGTCGTTCTAAAAATCTTTCACTTTCAGTAATACTTTACGTTCAAGTTACCCAATAACCAAGTTTCATTTTCACTTTCTCAAATTATGGCGGACTTTCGATATGATTCTAGATGATTTAAATCACTGTACAGGGGGCCCTTATTTTCTGACAATTTAAAAAGACCTAGGGGGCGCTTATAGGGGCAGGGGCGGTTAATAGGGATTATACGGTATATCATCTAGAGTCCTGTTTCGACCGTATCAAATTTTTAATCTATTTTTCTAAAGTTTGTTTCCTGTGCAGAAATCTTGTGCATCAACATCATGTTCATCTGAACTCAAAACGAAATTAGATAATATTGTGAAAATAACCAAAATAAATCAATTCAAAGATTTTTGTCGTCTATTAACATTTGAACATTTTCAGCTTCTTCGGCTGCTATTAAAATTCCAACTAATTTTGGCATATAACATACATGAGTGAAGGGGAACAAAAATTGTGAATTCATGGTCCCCACCCCCTGGGCACTGAGCGATGGTGCTAAAACCATCAAAATAAGTGCTATCTTTAAAAATCTTCATAACTCCTGGACAACAAGCAATTGAACTGCTGTCTTGATTGTAATAAGCATTGAGCCCTCTACCAAAATTATGAAATTCATGTCAGGGGTTCTGGAGTTAGGGTGTGGCTCTTAGATCACATAGTGAAAAGGAATAAATTCTTTAAAAATCTTTTTCCTCTTTCCATGTAATTTTAGCAGAACTGAATACATATAGATGATGAGCAAGGATGTCTCTTCCAAACTTTTGAAATTTGTGGCACCAGAGTCGGGGGTTCCGATGGTGGGGGAGGGGCTGTATTTGATTATATAGTGAAAATGTATTTAATTCTTTGAAAATCTTTTCCACTGCTTTTGGGTATTTAGCAAACAAACATAGTGCAAAGTTAAGATGTTCAAGGCTGCCTCTTCCAAATTAGTGAATTTCATGGTCCCTGTGTCTGGGGTTCAGGGTTCTAGTGTTAGCTTTGGGCTCTATTGATTATTATAGTGAAAATGCATAAATTCTTTGAATAAACTTAAGTTCATGGTTTTGATGAATTGCGACCCTAGGGTTGGGTTCTGGTGTTGGGGGTCTATTGATTATACAGTGAAATGCATTATTTCTTTTAAAATCTTCTTTTTTGTTCCTGCATGGGTATTAAGAATAGTTATGATGAGCGAGGATACTCCTTCAAAAAGTGTGCATTTCATTGCCCTTGGGTCAGGGATTCTGGTGTTAGAGCCAGAATGTATTGATTATGTAGTGAAAATGCATTAATTCTTTGAAAATCGAAAATCTTCTCTACTACTGCCTATTTAGCAGATAAACTGCTAGTTATGTGAGCAGAATTGTGAAATTGTTGCTCTAGGGTCTGGTTTTTGTGTTTTGGAGGGGGGGGGGGGGCTCTGTTGATTATACAGTCAAAACTGCTATAGAGACCCACAGCATATAGTGAATCACTGTGGTATGTGACCGTAAGAATCCCACCCAATGCACTACCCTATATATTGTACCTGTATTAAATGACCACCTGTCTAAAATACCTCCAGTAACCATATACTTCTATTTGAATGTTTGCCTCAAATGTAAATGTGAATAGTAAATAAGGGTGTAAAAAAGTTCACTGGGAAATGAACTTGGTTGGTTTGTGATCATATCTACTGAGGAGCCCTTCAAACAGTTGCAATCATTGCAGAAAAAATTACATAACCAGCTTATGCGGGTTACATATTTTTTTTTCAGTGATGGAATTGTTCATCCACATATAAACGTTTTAATGTTTATTTCTTGAATATTCCTTTTAATCAAACAAGAAACAGAGATGCTAGAATGTATATTGGACTAATAAAGAAATTCTGTTGTTTCAGGTGCAAGATGGATCCCCAGGACATAAAGCTGGCCTGGAAGCATTTTTCGACTTCATTGTTGCTATAGGAAATACAAGATTGGTCAGTTTAACTAACTCAGTTATCATGAAATGATTGTGATTAATAGCATATTCACAGTCAAGTAACAAATCTAAACCTTGAAAAAATGATTTATGGTATTAAAATTAAGATTTTTAAACCAAGATATATAGATACTTTTTACAATCAAATGAGTAAAGGGTATTCAATTCAGGCATCTGTATGATGTAAAATATAAGTTTATTTCATTTTATTTTTTTCCCCTAGAATGAGGATAATGACACCCTCAAAGATTTACTAAAGGCAAACATAGAGAAACCTGTTAAGATGGCTGTGTACAGCAGTAAAACACAGTCTGTTAGGGCAGTGACCATCATACCAAGTCACAACTGGGGCGGCCAAGGACTACTGGGAGTTAGTATCAGGTAAAGTACAGAGTACCACTCAGAACTGCTTGTATTTCAAAACGGGGTAGAAATATTGAATATTTGCAGTTTGTATTTTCTGTGTTGTTTAATGCTAGAGGATACATTGTTTGGTGTGTCAAAATAATGGTCTTTGGAAGGGTATTTTGGTTTGCATGTTTGCTTTGACTCTGCTTGAATTTATTTTGCAGGTTTTGTTCCTTCGAGGGTGCAAATGAAAATGTTTGGCATGTTTTGGTAAGTGTTGCAAGAATATTTATTTTGAGTACCGATTAAAGATGTTTTGTACTTTTTTCATTGTATGAAATATGACACTAAGTAAAGTTTGCTCTCAGTATGAATTTAATAATTTATACATCAATTTCATTGTATAAGATATGACAAAGGATCAGCCTTGTTTTCACTCTTATTGAATTTCAGGATGTACAACCAAACTCTCCAGCAGATTTGGCTGGTATGAAGACAAATACAGATTACATCATAGGAGCTGACTCAGTTTTACATGAGGTACACACATACATATATATAATTATATATAATCCTCTTTAATGCCACATTCTTGCATAATTTATCACATTCATATATTTACCTCATTTTTTTAACTCAAATTTAAGCAAATTTCAAAACTTTTTGAAAACATTAAAATTTTAAGGCATGTGAAAACTTTAAACCATACTTACTTCTATTCATAGTTGATAACAGTTGATTTCATTTGATTCCAGTCTGAAGATCTGTTCACATTAATAGAAAATCACGAGGGTAAACCGTTGAGACTGTATGTGTATAATACAGAGACAGATTCTTGTAGAGAGGTTACACTAACACCCAATGGAGCATGGGGTGGAGAAGGAAGGTAAATTTTCTGTGCTTTACTTAATTGACGTTGATGTTTGTGTCGCCATTAAAGTTTTATGAGCATAATTATAAGTCCTACCTGGACCAAACTTGCATGGGTGATGCATCTAGGGATGGACATTACTAGACTTGCTTTGGATGTTGGATCTGACCTATATTTTCCAGATGAAACCAGGTTAAAGTTTTTTGAGCAAGTGCATTTCTAAGTAACCATAAAGTCTACCTGGACCAAACTTGCATGGATGATGCATCTAGGGGTGGACATTACCAGACTTGCGTTAGAGACTGGATCTGGTCTTCATTTTCTAGATGAATGAACAGGTTAAAATTCTTGGAGTAGATCCATTCCCAAGTAATTTTAAGCCCTACCTGGACCAAACGTATAGGCATGATGCATGTAGGGATGCATACTGGTACTAACCAGACTTGCTTTGAATCCTGGATCTGGCCTACATTATCCAGATGAGTGACCAGAGTTAAGTTTTCTGAGTAGCTATATCCATAACTTGCATGGATATTGATCTAGAGATGCACACTTACAAAAAAAAATTTGGTGTGAGATCTGCCTTACATATAGATAAAATATGTCGAGGTGAGCTTTGTAATTCTTGATTATCTATGTGTTATCTGCTTTCGAAGTATGAAATGTCATAGAAATATATGTATCCTTGTGTTTTTAAAGTAAATTTTATTATATTTATCAGTAGATTTTTAGCTCGTCTGAGCCAAAGGCTCAAAGAGCTAATGCTATGGCCATTTGTGCGGTGTGCGTAAACTTTTTAGAATATGGGCCATAACTCAAGAACCCCTTGGCCAATTATTGTCAAATTTGTCACAGGGTATCCTTGGCCCAAGGGCTCCCTTTTATACTAAAACTAGGGTTGTGACCCTTTAACAAGGGGAGATAATTAGGAAAATAGAAACAAAAGTACTGGTTGCTAAAAAATCCTCTTCTCAAGAACCACTGGGCAGATTATCACCAAACTTACACAAAAGGATGAGGATATGTTGTAGATTAAAATTTGCACGGGGATTTACCCTGGGGCAAAGGGCGTGGTCTCAAGGTCACTTCAAAGTTGACCAAAAAGTACATTTTATTAAAATGTTGATATTTTGCTTACTATAAGGACTAGGATCATCAAATCTTGTCAGTTGATGCATCTAAGGACCTCATATCATGTTGACTCAAAAGTAGGTCACGGTAACCTACTTTTTAAATTTTGCGGCCATTCTTTTTCAAAATGATTTAGAGGCATATTTTGAACAATTTAAGGCCTATGATCATCAAACCTTGTCAGTTGATGTATCTTGGGTCCTTGAAGTACGTCAACTAAAAAATAGGTCACCTTGACCTACTTTTTGAATTTTATGGCTAATCTTTATCAAAACAATTAAGGCCATTAATTCCAATATCAAAAGGTTTAGAATCATTAAAACTTGTAAGATGATGCATCTTGGGGCCATAAAACGTATTATTAAAAAGTAGGTCACAGTGACCTACTTTTTGAACTTTGCAGGCATTCGATTTCAAAGCATTTTAGAGGCATAATTTGGACATTTTGAGGCCTATGATCATAAAACTTTGTAAGTTGATGCATCTTGGGTCCTCAAAAAACATCAACTGAAAAGTAGGTCACTGTGACCTACTTTTCAATTTATATGACTATAATTAAATATTTCAGGTACTAATTGACTTAGAATCATCAAACTTTGTCAGTTGATGCATCTTGGGTGTTCGGAGTAGGTCGACTGAAAAGTAGGTCACCGTGACCTACTTTTGAAAATTTATGGCTTTAATTAAATATTTCAGGTACTTATTGGCTTAGAATCATCAAACTTTGTCATTTGATGCATCTTGGGTCCTCTGAGTATGACAACTGAAAAGTAGGTCACTGTGACCTACTTTTGAAAATTTATGGCTTTAATTAAATATTTCAGGTACTTACTGGCTTCGAATCATCAAACTTTGTCAGTTGATGCATCTTGGGTCCTTGGAGTATGACAACTGAAAAGTAGGTCACAGTGACCTAATTTTGAAATTTTATGGCTGTATTTAATATTTTTCGGGTACTATTTGGCTTAGAATCATCAAAATTTGTCAGTTGATGCATCTTGGGTCCTCGGAGTAGGTTGACTGAAAAGTAGGTCACCGTGACCTACTTTTGAAAATTTATGACTTCAATCAAATATTTTGGGTACTAACTGGCTTAGAATCATCAAACTTTGTCAGTCAATGTATCTTGGGTCTTCAGAGTGCAACAACTGAAAAGTAGGTCACTGTGACCTACTTTTGAAAATTTATGGCTTTAATTAAATATTTCAAGTACTAATTGGCTTAGAATCATCAAACTTTGTCAGTTGATGCATCTTGGGTCCTTGGAGTACGACAACTGAAAAGTAGGTCACTTTGACCTACTTATAAAATTTTATGGTTATAATTTAAAAAAAAAACATTTTAGGTATTAATTGGCTTAGAATCATTAAACTTAGTTAATGGGTCCTCAGAGAATGACAAGTGATAAAGCAGGTCACCATGACCAACTCTCAGGTACTAATTGGCTTAGAATCATCTTGGGTTCTCAGAATGTGAACTGGAATTTCAAGGGTTTATCTAAATATAAAGGATACTTAGAGGCTTCAAATAGAAGTGATAGGTTGTACAGTTTATCAGAAGAGCGATTCAAGGTCCTTGGGCCTCTTGTTTAAATTTTTTTTCTTTTTTTTCAATGGGAGGTATAATATGATTATTAAGACATGAACTTTTTTATACAGCTTAGGTTGCGGTATTGGCTATGGCTACCTTCATCGTATTCCAAAACGTCAGTTCCCCTCATCAAAGTCCAATGTCACGCCTTCAGCACCCCCACAACCTTCAAAGGATGGTTTTGCAGAGGTAAGAACAGGATATTTATTCCATCTTAGCTGATAGTTCTTTATATATTCATTAGAGATCCTGAACTGAACATATTTTGTTCAAGTGAATGCATGTGTAGACATTACATGTATTATATTTTCATAGATGGTTTAAAATCTTAAGTAGAAAATAGAAAATCTCATCAGAGAAAATGTTTGATGTGTGTATTTGACTGTAGAGATTGGATCATGGAGTGCCTCCCTCAGGTGTGAGTCCATACAAACAACAATTGAGGGCAGACTTGAACTATTTTCAGGAGGTAACCACACAAAGTAGTACTGACTGGCTTGTGTGTAACCTCTACTTTTTGCTGTTACTTTCTTTTTTAATACAAAAAAAAGAAAAGATGTATTTATATTCTTCTGAATAACTCAAATTATTTAATAACTAACATGTATTTAAATATTATCAAGTTATTTTTGTTTTGAAAAATGGGAAATAATTCGTACAGAACTGTATGCAAGGCACATGTAAGATATGATTTGTATCTACAGAAAGTAAAAGTAAAACATAAAAGAATAAAGCACGGCAATTGTTTTCAAAATTTCTATGGAATTATTCTTATGCTACAACTTATTGCTGTAACTATTATACTTGTACAGAAAAGAGTTTCTTTTGCAGAATTTTATATATGTTATAAAAAGTAGTTAAATTCTGTTGTCAAGAGTACTTGTCAGAAAGTTTAAGGTACAAGACATTTTTTTAATTATTTCCTATTCTTGGCTTTCTTTACTTACTTTTTTTTCATTACAGATCTTGCTTTTGACATACAGCGATACTGTGTTATTGTATTTAGAGATGCAAGAACTTTTTATTAAAAAATTACTGATTAAATCATCTGTCATTTACAGTTCTGGATTCTCAATTTCCTTGTTTATTTCAGAAGTTCAGTTTCAATAATGTACCACATATTTGCTGTTAAGAATTTTATATTTCACAAAAATGAATTTTCCTACTCTGGAAACTAGGGCTGTGTATTGATACAATTCGATACAATACAATACAATATTTTATAATGAGATATATTGAATTCTTTAACAGGTCTATCAAATAAGTCTTAAAAGTCATTTAATGCATGAATTTTATAAAAACTAATTGTTTTACAACTCATTTCAAAGATCTCGTCTCACTGTCATTACAAATTACACTTCAAATTCAAACTTTTAACAACTGTGAAATCAACATGTTAGATAAAGGTGTCTATGTATTTTGTAATAATTATCTAAGACGTGCTACCTCCTTAATGATTATATCATTATTGATCAATTTTAATTCAAAACAGTTAAATACAAACTTTGGTTATTGAAATTTCCAATATTTTCACAGAATTATATGAAAATCTACTAGCCCGATACATATTGGAAGTCATTTTTTCGATATGATATGTTCTTGAACATCGATACATTTCGATATATCGATACAGCCCTACTGGAAACAAGATTCAGGATTTTATGTTTAAAAATATGGAGTAATATGATTTTTTAAAATGAAAATCAAACTTTCAAATATTTTTGAATTTTAATATGTTTAAATTTTTGATATTGATTTGGATCTTTCTTTTGTGCAAAGTGATCCTGAAATATTATCTGAGAAATTTATAATGAAAAGGGAATTTTGGTGAAGACATACTGTAGAGGGGTTTAAATGTATATATGTTATAGTTCACATATTTGCTAAAATATTAAATATATCTTCAACATGTATGTAATGACCATTTAATACATGTATATAATTCATATACTGTTTGTTGAGTTCATTCTGGCAAGAGTGAAAATGTAGGTATTTGTGGCACTCCAGGTTATTTTCTCTCTCTATAGAATTTACCAGCAAAAGTAGTGTTTGTATGTGTGTGTGTAAAAAAAAAAAGGAAAGAAATATAAAGTTGAGGAGTAGAACTTTTGTTTATTTCAAAACTATGGTTAAATTTATGTGATTTAAAATGTATTTGTGTTCAAATATTTATACTTTGGTAAAAAACCCTTATTACACTGTTGTATATAAACAGTTAATTTATGATATATAAATCTTGAATTATATTATTTCCAGGTGCCTCTAGGTGGATCTACTGGAATCACACAGGATATGTCTAATCTTAACATTAATACTGGTAAGGAACAGGATGGCCCTACATATTAGTTTGTAGATTTCACTAAAAGTTTTCACACCTAACATTCAAGAAAGAATAACACTGTGTAATTTATGTGCCATTTATATATATACCTGTAGTACTGTAGTATAACTTAACATTTGCAATTTGTTGTATATGATAAATTGATGCCAAAGGTCACTTTTTAAATGTATGGTGATAGATAAATAAACAGTGAAAAGAAGCAAAAGTAGTATAATTCATTAATGTCTTTTATGCTGCTATTTAGGTACACCAACCATTCCAGTTATCCCCCAGGCTGACAAGTTACCAGGGGTCCAGCCTCCTATGGTCTTACCCAACTTCTCAATGGGCGCCCCAACAGGTACAATTATTAAAGATTATTTTCCATTACCTACCTCATTTAAGTTTACTTGGTTAAGGTTTTCTAACACCATTGCAGGAGCTTAAAATGGTAGGGATTTTTGTTTAATTTAAGGTATCCCCCCTCCATCTACATTACCTGCTGGCATTGGGAACCTCCCATCATTAACATCTATTCCCCCCTTGACTACCCCTGTATCTTTACCAGGGATGCCACCTGGAGTGGTGCTTCCAAGTAAGTTCCAATTATGATGAGTTTATGGGAATGTTATGATTAATTTAAGAAATACTGTGGAATCATTAAATTTCATGGTGGCTCAATTTTTGTGGAATTCATGGACACCTCTCATCCATGAATTAACATCCTCCATGAATTAACAATTTAAGTTACACAGTCATATTTCCTTTTGAGGTATAAGAGGATACACAAAATTACATCCCCACAAACTTAAACTATAAATTTGGTGGTGAAAATTGGCCACCACAAATTTTAATGATTCCACAATACATTGAATTATTTTCATCTTGTGTGGGTTCATCTAATTTGAATAATGAAAGAGCCTTTTGTGAAATGCTTGAATCACAAACTGAAAATGAGTTGAAATATGTAAATCAATTAAAAATTGTTTTTTGTCATTTGTATAGTCATTAAGGTTTTTTTTTTGCAAGAACACTACTATTGTCTTACTTTTGCAGATGCAACAACAGGAACACCTCTACCAAATTTCCCCATGCCAACTTCAGTGCCCCTACCAACATCAATTCCTCTCCCAAACTTCCCCCTCCCCACACAAACTCTGGCCACCTCTCCAGGTGGTGGAGTCCCGTCTTTCTCAGCACCCACTGGGGTCCCTCCACAGGTGTTACCCACACCTGTATCTACTGACACCACCAATGTAACAAATGTGGCCACACCAGCTGTTACTCAAGGACAGACAGCATCACCTGAACCAGTGGCAGCTTCATCGTAGCTATTACTTTGTAATATAGTATAGTTATTCTAATTCTATTTTTCAATTTTGTTTGCTACATTTAAAGATAATTACTGGTCTTGATGTTTTTTATTTATTTATACTCCATTGTTGCATGTACATACTGTCACACTAACCTTGTAAGAGGTCCATTGATCTGTTTATCAATTTATCAAATCTGCATGTTACAAAGTAAGAGGAGGTATATGTGAAGATGTGTGTAGATTAATGAGAAGATTGTTGAAAGTACAAAGAATGTATTATCTTTCAAAAAGAGGTTTAATAAACATGTGATCCATCATTTAGATTTTGAGATTGAAAGGAAAACCAATTCTGAAATAGAACAATAAGTTTTAAATAACAATTTAAAACTTTCTGTTTATGTATTTACATGTATATGTAATGTCATATAATCAGAGATTTATTCAGTGTTTTCAAGTTGACTGAAATTATTGGGGGATATCATGTATATACATTAGATCATTCCAGTCTTTCTTGACATTTATAAGCTAAACTTTTTGTATTTACTTCTGAAAGTGTAGATGAAAAAGTCATCACTAAATTTAAGTATTTATTAATCATGAATCCAGTGCAATGTGTCATCCAGTGCTCCTGACATTTGGTTGAACTTTTTGTGGGTGATTTCAAGGTATGGTGGAAGTTCAGATTTTGCAAGTCATCCTAAGGACTTTAAATGTTTCTTGTCTTCTGTAGAATCTTATTATGTATAGCGAGTTGTCAACATTTAATTTTTGCATTTATTAATGTATCTTTACACCACTGTCAAGGGATAACACAAGTTCTTTGTAACAAAAAGTTACAAAGAGATTTTCTGAAAAGAAATAAAATGTATGATATGTATTTGCACTTCTAAATTGTTAATCATATTTAAAAAATTTCATGGGTTGAAATCAGTTTTCATCTATATTATATAATATAAATGGTTAAGTCAAATTTCATCTTTGTAAATGGTTATGTTTTTTCATGATGGAATGTGAGAAAGTGACTGGAACTGAAGAATATGAGAAAGTGCTATAAACTTTTATTAAAGAAATACTTTTTTTTGGTTCATCTTTTATGAAGCATTTTGCTGTTTTCTTGCTTGGTGTATAATTTTGTTTAAAAATAGGAAATAAAATCAAGTTTTTGTTTCATTTTATTGTAAATTACAACATTTGAAAAAAAAACATTTGAAGATGTTTAAGTAAATATGAGAACAAGCATTAAAGATGATATACATATGGAACAAATTACCAAATATGTATAGATGTGATATAGATATGTATAGAGTATCTCAGGCCTTTATCATTGAAAGTCCTACAGAGGTGGTAGGTGACCAGTTCATATGAGGGTCAAAAGGTCAAGGAAAAATAAACCATGAGACCCCGACTATTTTCTGATTTTCATGCATAGAACATTATTTGACCTTTCATTTGGGTAAAAACAAAAAAAAAAAAAAAAAAGATAACCAGAAAAAAAAACTCCAGTTGATTTGAGGGTTAGTTGTAACAGATATTCCCTAACAGTGTCATTAATACAATATGTAGGAATTTCATTGGTTCTTTTATTTCAAGTTTCTTAAAAGATGGTAGATGATCCTTGTTGATTTGGGATCAATGTGAAAGTCACTACGACTGAGTCAGTTTTATGGTCACAGTGATTAGAGTGCAATTTAACCTTTCAGTCTCAAACTTGCTGCAAAAGAAAAGAAAATATGTTGAAAGAATTCATTTAAAAGTCTTGGCTCTGGACGACATAAAGCATGAAATGGATAGCTTCATCAAATTCCAAGAATTAATGTACTCCTTAAAGGGCAAAAGTTTATTTGAAATGTTTTCTAGAAACAATTTGATAACGATATGCATGTACGAGCATGTTCTACATATGAACAATTTCCAAAACTAGGTAAGTTATTGACAAACATGTTGATGAAATAAGAATATCAACAGCCTCGTTTGAAGTCATCATTTTGTAAGTTCTATGGTCGATAAAATGACCTTGTCAGCAAATACAATCTATCACTAAGTCAATGCTGACTGAGTTTATCATTCTTAGGCCATTATTTGCACATTGAATTGTCAATGGATTTTTCTGTTATCTCCCGATCATGACAAGGAGCACACGATGGGTGTGACCAGTTGACAGGGGATGCTCACTCCTCCATGGCACCTGATCCCATTATTGATGTTTTAGAGGTCCGTGTTTGCTCTGCTTCTGATTTGTATTATTTGAATGGACTTCTGAGCTTAAATACTGTTCTTATCTCCATATATTTCATGTACAAGTTTGTGACATTGACCTTTGATCCTTTCACCTCAAAATCAAAGAGGCACTGTTTTAGTTATGGATGATATTAAAGAAAACATTATATATGAAATTGAGACCTTGACCTTTCACTTTTTGGCCACAAATACTCGGAAAGAACTAAATTTTATGCAATATGCAATATTATAATGAATTTCTTTCAGATACTAATTGGTTTGGAATCATCTAACTTTGTCAGTTGATGCATCGTGTGTCCTCAAAGTGTGTCAACCTTAAGTAGGTCATTGTGACCAACTTTTGCAATTTGATTGCAATTTCAAATACTAATTGGCTAAGAATCACTTTGTCAGTTGATGCATCTTGGGTCCTTAAAGTGTGTCAACCAGAAAGTAGGTCACTGTGACCTACTTTTGGAATTTCATCTCTATATTTCAATATTACAGATACTAATTTCCTTAGAATCATCAAACTTGTCAGTTGATGCATCTTTGGTTTTCAGGGTGTGTTAACCAAAATGTAGGTCATGCTGACCTACTTTTGGAATTTCACTTACTTATAGATTCCAAATAATCAACTGTCAACAAGATGTGATGTTTTTGTTACTCCATTTTTCATTTTTTTTCAGCAGTTACCATGGCAACCAAGACAAATAGTGACCAAATTTTTCATAGTATCTTTTTCTGGTGTTGAGCTTTAACAATGAGCAAAGTTTCATCAAAACTGGTGACCATGCTTGCTGAAACAGTTTAAATGGTTACAGAGAATTGAGATCAAGGTACCTATTCTGAATGAGAGAATCTTCAGGTTTGGAAACAAGTATTTGAGGATTTTTCTTCAAACTTCATTTAATATTCAATTGTATTTCTTAAAAATTCTTCCCAACTCCTTAATTTACTGCAAACAAAATGTATGCAAATGATATTTCATGAGCTTTCTTGAGAATTCAATGAAGATTGGACTAACTTTCATTTTTTGTTGTTGAACTAGTCATAAGGATTGTACAAAAATGTTGAAATTAAAATTGTCCTGCATATTTGCTGAGAGTCTGTCATGCTACTGTCAAATCATCAAGACAGCACATAACACTTATTCTTCACAGAAGGAAATCAGAGTTAAGCAGGCCTATTGTGGTTGTATTCTTTATTTTATTTGGTGACACTAGAATTGTCATAACAATCATATAAAGGTGTAACAATAAAAATCATGAGACTTGGTGAAACATTTACACACTACAATAAGAAAAAAGGAAAAAGGGGGATAAAAATCACATACCAATATTTCACATACAATCACAGATTGATCAACACCTCCCACACAATATCATCACCTCGCATATTCTGTAATCAGTAATGCTGAAAGGTTCATGTTAAGAATATGAATAAAAAACAAAAATAACTGTTCTTTTACACAGTGAAGAAAAATACAATCCATTACTAGGGACATATCCTAAAAAATAATCATATTTTTATTCATATGCCAAAAATTCTCGTAAAATACACTTACACAATGTTATTTTAATAGCACTTTTCTCATTAACCTTACTGCACTTATTTATATACCTCGCCAGGGGCATATATGTGTCCCTGACCTCGCCAGTCTCTTTATATATGTTTATTTTACAAAAAAGTTCCTTCAAATTCCAATAAACCGCATAATGCTCATTATATGTTATCATTCCATCAATATTTTTAAAATAGAAAAGTGTGAATATTTTTATCACATTCAAACCCAGGCTGATCTTGATTCATGTTTATTCATTTTCTTTTTTCAAATACTTTTTGACAAATACATATAAATATAACAGACATGACTGAATGCACTCATACACATTAATAGGATTCTTTTTAGGAAATTTATGTAAACATAGGAGATCATTATATTCAAAATTTTTAGAAACATATGACCTATTTTCCAGCTGTTCGAACAAAAAAATTCAAATAAAACATTTTAAAAAGAAACGTTCATATAAATTGAATTTATACCGGTAAATTGATTCTCAATACCAGTAAATATACATTTGGTACATAAAAAAAAAATTAAAAAATTAACATTAAGAAGATCAATCAATTTCCAGATGTTTTTAAAAGTTTGTTTCAAAGACATTCAATCAATACTACTTTACTACATTATAGAAACTCAGTTCTTAATATAAGAAATCTAAATAAATATAACAATGCTTCTAGATATATGAATTAATATCATTCAAAAATCTTCTAAATACAATCATTTATAGTAAGCTAGATAATCAGTGATAAGTGATTCATAACATATTTCAAATATTAGATTAAAAAGTTTTAAAAAGTTATTCACAACATATTTCAAATATTGATTAAAAAGTTTAAAGAAGTTATTTATCTTATGAATTCCAGAATTATACAAGTATATAAAGCATAAAAAGGATTTTATAATGATTTGAAAATCATGATATATCACATTTGTACAACATGTATTGATCATACATAAACTGTGAAATCACTAGTTTTCATGAAGGTTTTTTATCATTGTTTTTTGTTGAATTAAGAGACACACAAAATGAAGTACTTTGAAAATGTTAAAATTTCAAACTTGTTCAGCTGTATCATATTTAAGGAATAACTGTCTAGTTTTTTGGTTTAATGATGTGATCAAGCAATTGACTAGCGTGATAATTAAAATATTGGTTATGGGGTGTTCAAGTAAACGCCGAAGGCATTTATGCATAAAATTTCACAGTATGTTCATTTCTTTTAATGTATGGACATATGACTAACTGTAACTTAACACTAAAACAAAATCATGATTTAATCTACTTGAAAATCTCAAATGACATTTATATGTACATTTTGAGTGTATTGGAAGCATCATTATTTGATTATAAGGTCATGAATGAAAATGTGGTTACAATATGTGACACGACTTTCTGTCTACTACACAGTATATCATTCAACACGTAGCATTTTTCATTTTTTCAATGAATGTATTTAAATCACTGCCTGGCACGATTTAAGGCAAGTAATACTGGAGGATTGGAACTCATTAAAAAAAAAAACAGCAAACTTTTAACACAAACAGTACAAGACTTTCACAATTTATGAAATAGTAGGCTGTTGTCTCTTTCTGAATTAAGTTATGTACTCTTAAAAAGATATATGTACTCTAAAAAGACATGTGTACTCTAAAAAAGACACTTTCTTTTAATTTACAGGTTTTAATTTATTAAAAAAGACAAGGAAAATACTTTAACATGTATTCTGAGCTGTTGCCATGAGTATACAGTGAAGCCTTCTGTCTGTGCTACAATCTAGTTATTGTAGTACTACAGTCTGCGTAAAGCAAGTAGCACCTTGTAATGTTGATCAGCAACATTGATAATGGCTGTGAGGATTCCTCATTGATGAACAACCATGTTCTATATTTGGTCATTTGGATTTACCAATCAAAAATCATCTTTCTCATCAAAACACAATCAATCAGTCAAACAGGATGATTGGTTGTTTATGCATGAAATTTTCTCCTGGATAATATTTTTTTGTTTGACTAGAATGAAAATATTTCTTTATTCTCACTTAACCGGTTCTTGCTTTTGTGTTTTCTCAAGTTCCTTTTGTTTCATTTCAAACTTTTTAGATTTGCCTTCAAAACATTCACCCAAGAAGTCTTCCAAACTTTCAAATAAATGTTTCCTTGTGTTTCCCCCTCGCAAACCATGCTGTTGATCAGTGTAAACCTGTAACAACATCATCAAGAGTAGAGAAGGAATGAAATCTAGGACCAATTCAGAGAATGCTGCAGGAAGTTAACTACATGTATTCATTTGTTTTTCAGACTTTTGTCTAAATAACATTACAGACAACTGGTATTAGTAATTTCTTCAAGAAATTTATAGTTTGTTACAAAATCGCAAGAGGCATCAGTGTTGTAAATTAACACTGGTAGCTCTTATATCAAATCAAAAGATTTTAAAAAGTTAATAAACATTTATAATTGAATACTATAAAGCTTCTTTACCTGTAATCTGAAGAAAACATCCTTTTCTACTAGAGCTTTTATAAACTGGGCAGAGTTTTGGAAGTGTACATTATCTACAATAGGCCAAATAAGGAACTTAGTTACTGTTGATGGAAAATACTATTTTGGTAAGAAATTTCATAAGACTTGCAGTGTGTTGAATAGAATCAATACATTATACGTTTTCCTAGGATTGAATGCACATATCCTTTTCATCGTATATTTATAGTATGTTTATAAGAGACCTTTATTTTATCAATATATAGAACACATCAGTTTAAAAACAAATGTTTCACAGTTCAAAACCTACCATCTCCTGTCCCATGGACCAGCATGTACTTGATATGTTTAAAATTTCCTGCATACTGTGACACATTAGAGGACTGCAAAATTATCAAATATTACGTAAGATTCTATATTTCTTCAATAGCTTTACCAAGATAATACAATATACTATTGATTGTTGCTTTTATATTATCTGTGTATCTTGACTTAAGACCTTTGAATGAGATTGCTTTCGTCCATTCTTATAATCTTCATTAAAAAATGTATCAAACGTATAATAATTTCTTTTCTCAGGTACCTTGTATCCTAGAACATTATCATGTGGCATACCCATGTATCTTTCCGTGTACACAGAGTCTGGAATTATATGACAAAATTTAACTTGATTTAAATCCATTCAATAAAGAAAAACAGTGAAACTGATGACAGTCTATCTAACTTAAAAATGATGTACTTTATCTTCAGAGGAACTGAAGATTACATTTTTTATCATTATTATTATTATTTATATGCATTTAGTTTCAAAATTTTTTTTAGAAATCTTGAAATATTTACCATAGTAATGCCAATCAGTGACAGGTGCTACTGAAATACCACACTCAAACAGACCATTTCCTCGACCAATCACAGATGCTGTTGTATAACCACCATAAGACTGCAACGGTAAAACAAAATTATTAGCTGCAAAAGAATTAGTGAAAGGCTTCAAAAAACCACATTTAAATGAAATGATATTTACTTACCCATCCCCATATAGCTTTCTTGCTGGATTCCACATACGAGATATCATTTAAATACCTTAAAATTGAAAAAAAAAAAAGCATGTACACATCAAGATTTGTAATCTTTCTAGGTTCATGTAAAAACAGTATTTACAACCATACAGAGCATGGTCAGCATTCCTTGTTGCTCCTTCTGAACATAATAGAACTTGATTACAATTAAAACATACTAATAGGCATGAACAAGGTCAATGTCTAATAGTTTATATAGTACAAAATAATGGACTGATTGAATTTATCATAGTAAGGTATAAAGTTTTGAAGCAGAATAGGCACAGCTTAGACACGGCTAAGGCACGGAACCTGTACAGGTTTTTAAAAAGCCGTAAGGGTTCTGAATACCCAGCATATAGGCACAGAATCTGTGTCCAAGGGAGATGATTTCTAACTTATAAGATTTGGATGATTGTGAGGCAGGTTTTGCTTCAATTACATGTATTCATTTCTCAAGGGTTTTATAGAGCATGCTCATTCATAACTTCATTTGTTCAAATCAAACTGGAGGGAATTATGATCATGAGCTAGCTTGTGTCTTTTTTTACTCTAATTAACAGATACATACACATATTTTTTTTAGCCTCATACATGTATATTTCAAACTCAGAATTCTTAAACTAGTCATATAAACAATATAAAGCATTGTAAAGTTTTGTTTCAGTCTCCATTTTGGCATCTACAGTCAAATCAGGAGATTCTCTAAGATCCTGAATTACAGAGGAATACACAGATCCTGTGACTCCACATATGGTATGTCACAAAGATTTTTTTGACACGGGTTCCCAAATTTGTGTCTCCATATATGGAAAATGACTCATGTTTCTGGCATGGGTTTTCAGAATCCTTGAGTTTATATAAAGAAACTAGAATGGGTTTTGTAATACTGTGTGATCCAATTTTGATCAAATATCCCGTGCCTTGACAACTTTTTGGCAGTGCTTTCTATATACATATTTCACATCTGAGCAGGATTGCTACAGTCACAGGTTTCTAGAGGCTGAATCCGTACCTGTGCCATGTCTAAACTGCCCAGACCATTTCATTATGGGGACATTATAATGGATTTTGCCCATCCATCAATGTTTGCTATTCTCATATTTAAAATGTATTCATAGATATCAATTATTGAAATCAGTCTAAGAGAACTTCAGTTTTTACTTTGCAAGTTAAATGATCAGAAAGCTGTTGAGATAAAATTCATGAAAAAGTCTGCTTCACCTTCCAGCTGTAATGGTGTCATCTATCTCAGCAGTTCCCAGGCTTTTGTAAATGCTATGAAGCCATTTTTGTCCCCTTCCTGAGCTGCCACGACCATCAGTATAGGCCACGATGTAGTTCTTTGAGCTTACCAAGAAATCTTCCCAGCCAAGCTGGAACTTGTAGGTCACTTTCTGCGAGTCTGGTCCACCATATCTGGTAGGTGGACAAATATCTGATCAATTTTAGTGGACAGAGAATGCACTTGTTAAAGAGCACTGTTGATTCAAGGTTAAAATACTTACACACTAAGAAGTAGAGGATATGTGTAGTGTTGTTTTGTGTCCAGAATGGGGGGTAGCAACATTTTTGCATACATGTCTGTTGAGAAAATAAGACAGTTTTACTTATGTACATCAATTAAAAAACTGAAAGTTAATGTGAAGCAAAGAAAATCCCAGAAGCCTGAGTGTATACTTACATTCTTTGTCATTTATAGGAATCTCAACATACTTAGCAACTGGAAGAGCTTTATTAGCCAGCTTCTGTTTCAAATGGTCATTATTTTCAAATGTGATTTCTGAAATTTAGAGCAAAACATGTTTTGTGTAAAAGTGAGAAGCTAATGTCAGAGTTTTTTTTTTTTTTTTGAAATATTTATGGAAATTATTTATACTTCCAAAACTACAATGTATATCCTTTTTCAAGAAAAAAAAACATTTTTTTAATCATAAGTTACAGATAACAATGTAAATCTTCAATTATAATCCTAGCATTAATCTGCAAAATTCCTACTATTTAGTCAGTGTGTTAGTTAATTAATTACAACTCATCATGGGAACCAATGGCCCTTAGCTGGCCAAGATTTCTTTACTGTAGACATACATTTTCCTCATGGGATTAATTTCCGCTATGTAGGTGGTCACAATTTTTCCAAGTAAATTTGTCCCAGCAGTAAGAAATCCATGTAATTTTCTACTTAAAGATTGAACAAAAATAATGATCCTGCACGAAATTATGACCCAGTGGAAAAATGTACACCTACAGTATTCTAACAATATCATGTTACAATCTAGCAACATATGGTTATAACTTATTATAACAAACTTATGCACTCAATTCAATATTATTGTACACTTTTATTCTTTATGTATAGATTACAGTGTAAGAGACATGCAGGTTTCTGAATTTGAACAATACACAACTTTTTATGTGCATATATATAGTGGATGTTGAGAACCGCCTTGTGTTTGAAGATAGCAAACTGCATAATACAGATGCATATAAAAAAATCAATTAAAAAAAAAACTTTTATATCAATTTTGTGCCGCAGCTGCTGCAGTTAAATAATGAGTGCAGTAAATTGACAAATGCTAATTACAAGTGGATTCCTTTGTTTGGAATGGAATCAGTGTACTGTGGAATCATCATTGTTTGTGGGGGATCAATGTTCGTGGATTTCGTGGGTAACCCTTACCCACGAATTTACATCCCCACGAACATTTTTTGTTAACGTACTGATTAATTCAATCTACCAAATAAACGAGCTGCCCACGAAATTACATCCCCACGAACCAAGAAAATTTTGCTTGCCCACGAACATTGACCCCCACGAATTTAAATGATTCCACAGTATTTTTACTGGTGACTGTGTGGAGAAAAATTCAATGTTTAAAACCAGTTTAAGGGGCTCTCTAGTCAGTTATTGGTTCATCTTTTCTTAACAATAAGATCTATATGAAGAAACATCTGGGTGTTATATTGATGAAAAAATAAGAACATTCAACCCGAGTTTTTAATATCTAATTTACACAGGTGCTGAAAATATAGATCTGCTGTGTAATATTTTCATGTAGTGAAATACTGGATCCTTATAAAATATCAACATAAAAATATCATAACCATGATAAAAAGCAGAAATTTTGCCCAAAGGTTTTCACTCTTACTAAAATTAATTCACAGAAGATAAAGAAGGGAAATTAAAAAAAAATTATACATGTACGAATTTTGACTACAGAGCTCCTCTGACCAGTAATCAAATAACAGGTGTTTTTTTTTTTTCAAACTTACCAGTTGTGTTGTCATCTGAATTGTTGTAGATTTTACACATTTTTTAAGTTGATTTTTTGCCATTCATACATATACATGTAAATACTCTCAGTTCAATAAAGCATGATGACTTACTGATAGAACATTGTTATATCAAGCTAAATTAAGTGCTCACATTTTGGTTATAATTAGAAGTTAGTTTACACTTGTAAGAGCATCTCTGCTAGCCAAGGGTTTCTGATCCGCTACTCTCCTCACAAACCCTATAGGTTTCATGTGGAGAGTAGAAACCATTGGCTAACAAAGATGTTGTAAGAGTTATTTAAACCTGTTCTGATTTTGATTGGTGCTTATAATCACACTAAAAGTTAGTACACCAGGTAATTGTGGTTTTGATTGCTTGCATTCATTTGCACCAGTTCAGCTTCACAAAATATGTCGATATACACTTGAATGAATATAAAAACATTTTAATGATGAACATTTCAAGATGGCTACCTATTGAGGATTTCGTTGACTTGAGGACATAAAATGGCACTGAGGGCCCCAGACATCCCAGAACATAGTACTTTGCTGAGTGGCTAAAGCTGGCTGACACGTACTGGCAGTCAGGGTTATAGTCACACGTGATACAGGTTGCCTGCATGGAATTGTCAGTTATCCTTGTACTCACACTGCAATTCAGATGGAAAGCTACATAGAACATTTTTCATTAATTTGAAGATTTGGAGCCTATATATAGGTATTAACCTTCGACTGATAATCTGATTTTCATGTAAATCTTTTGAAAACTCAAACAGGGACAGCAAAATATTAATGGGATCAATAACACAATCATCATTTGCAGGGAATTCTCAGAACACTTTCATGGCACCTACATCTTGGTACAATTTATGAGAATCTGGGGCCTGTTTTACAAAAGAACTTACAACTAAGACCAAAATTTAATTCTGCTTATAACTTTTCAATTTACATTATATTAAAAATGTTTTTAAACTTTTTGAAAGGAATGTAGTAAGATATTTTTACGGTAGCAATTTTAAACAGAATAATTGATTTTGCAAAATTTTACAATCGACTAAAGTTTTTGGTCTTAGTCGTAAGTAAGTTCTATTGTAAAACAGGCCCCAGAAAATTATTTCATGTAATAACCTGTAGAGGTGTCTCTTTCTTGAGTCTCCATTTGGAACTCCAATGAAGTACAGAATTTCACTATCAGCATCCAAGCCTACAATCTGCATTACATCTGACGTTCCTCCTGTTCGGAATTTCTTTTGTGCGAGAGGAGGATCGAGCTGTAGATTTATGAAAAGACACTATGACAGTCTATGTCAACAAATGATTCTTTATATTGGATAAATATGACAATATTGGATACATAGCTTAACTTTACATGATTGTTGTGCTTAAGCTAGCATCTCAATAGCAAATGAAATAGCAGCAAAACTGAGAATTTATTTTGAAACAGCAAAATATTTCCTTAAATTTATCTATACATGTATTGTAGTACAAATGTATCTATATATATTGCAAATAGAAATTAAGAAATTACCTTGGGATTATAACTACAGTGTATCTATGAAACACAGTAGGGATTTATAAGCTAGTTAGCTGATTTAAAACATTGAAAGCCAAACTCTAATGACAATGTGTTAAAAAAGAAAAAAAAACTAAACTTAATAAAATTAACTTAATGAACTAGCTGAAGTGATAGCAAGAAAAGCAAAAAAGCTTAAGATATCATGTGGTATTATATGGCATTAGAACATTACAAAAAAAAATCTGTTTATAAATAGTAAATACAAATAGGGAATTATGAAAATGAAACATTCTCCTATAGACATTAACTTCTACTGATTTTTTTTACTTGTATAAGTACCTAGTCATTAAATTTATTGATTCACTAATTAAATTATAAATTTTTAGTTTGAAATCAAATTCCCTGTTACATGTATGTTTTAAAATATTTCAGGCAAAAATCTTTTAAATTATAAAGGTGTACACATTAATCCTTCTAAATACACTAGGTTAAACATTATTTCAATTGACCAATGTTGGAATCTATACATGTATCAGTATGTATAAGATCAGTTAATTAAAAGTATTGTTTATTGTATCAGTATATATAAGATCATCAGTTAAAGTATTGTTATAAGAGATAGCAAGAGGTTGGTTCTTTCTTAATGGTCTGGTGTCAGGGAACCTGAACTTTCGACTAAGACCAAAATGTAATGTGAATAATTTCCTTCCTTACATTAATTTGAAAAGGATACATGTACCATTATTTTCAAAGAGTTTTGACAAGATATTTTTACAGAATTAACAATTTTGTAAGATTTTACATTCAGCTAAAGTTTTTGGTCTTTGTCGTACGTAAGTTCTAAGACCCTTCTAAGAATCTTGCAAATACCCTATAAATTATACTCTTTTAATCATGTCCACTAAAGTTAGTCATGATAAGACTTTTGAAGTGATTTATACTACCTGGAACTCCCTTTCATATATAATAATTTTTAAAAATAAATTTTACATCATATTTTTCATACAAGTCATTAGAACAGTACAAATATCAGACTTTTTTCACAGTGATTATACATATACATGTAGAATATTTCAATACCTGTATTAAAGTAATATTGTAAGAATATTCTATAAAAGAAGACAAGATTAGTTAACAACAGAAAAAGTACAGAACCAAAATACGAAACTGTGACTACAAAAACAAACCTTGTTCATGTTACTCACGGAGGCTTCTACCATCTGGACCTGCTTAAATGAGCCCAATTCCGATTCTTGTCTGGGAAAAATCATATAATACCAGTCTGCCTTAGGACTAACTCGAGGTGAAGTGTACTATTGGAGTATATAAAATCTTAGTAAGTTAAATACAAAACAAAAATTACCTCAGAAGTATATCCTAATTGCAACTTTATTTTATATACATGTGAATATATATGAACTATTGAACTTGCATTGTAATAATATGTATATATCATGATTGAAATTTACAAATTAATGAATTGATCAATGAAACAAAGTTTAAGAATGAAATGTGTTCACTGACCAGATCAATCCAACCTCCCCTACTCTCTTCTTCTTGATTCTGAAAATTGATCATGTGAATAAAACCTTAATTATTATTAATCCTTTTAGTTCTGAAACCAGAAATACAGCAGTGTGGGAATAAAATTCACTAAAAAGATTATGAAGAGTATTCTCCCTTATATATTGAAGCTGCATGTAAACAATACTACAGAGGATATTGTTTCAGAGGTCAATATCACTTGCCTTTTTGCATTTTCCATCCATTGCACTACATATTGTCAGGATAGTTTTATTCTGGGCACGATTTAACCATGATATTAGAACATAATCATTGTTGATCCAAGTAACCGTTGTGAAATAATGGTCTCTGAAATTCAGCACTTATTTTATTAAAACTTATTTTAAAGAAATCCCTAAAGTAAAGGAATTGACTCTCAGTAAAATATGAAAGAAAATAATGGGAGAAGAAAACTCTGAAATTCAATTTAGGCTATCATAAAGCACTAAGCAGTGAGGAAAACCATCCTCAACAAGTCACAAAGGTGAGAAAATGTGCTCACTATTAAATCTAGCTAAAACTTTGAAGTAATGGAACTTACTTATTTTTAAAATCCTCAGGGGGTTTCAAGATGAATGTCTGGTTACTTGTTCCAAGCATTCTTATTTTCAGTGTAAATGTTGGATTTGCATATCCGGGCTGTAAATAAATACCATATATCACTTTATTAATTCAGAGCAAGTACATTCTTTTGGGAAAACATATACTGTTGGAGACAAAATATATGTAACTACCTTTTTGTTGATAAAAATAGTAAAACCAAATTCATAGTCATTGGCTGTACATAGATTGAAACAAGAGGCCCCTGGGCCACAATACTCACCTTAACACTTTAATCACATTGCTCTAACTGATATGTTGAAGTCTCATTTATTGTGGCTCTAACCTTAGATAGAGACTTTATGTAAAGATAAAACCCTAAACAAATCAATTTGCATTACAAATGGATTCTTATATTTTAATAGCCCTCATCAGTATGTAGAAAAAGATTTTATTAAAGTAATTCCTAACTATAAACCTCAATCATGGACTGATCATACCCCCATGCTGGATCACGAGTTTTACTAACTTGAATATACGCCACAGTACTTGAGAATGCCTATCTTTTTCTTTACCATGGGAATATCATGATTTCAGCCCAATTTCATGGTGAAATATGAAAAACACTGACACATTGTTTTAAAACAAAACAAGTTATAATTAAAGTGTGCACTCATAAATTCATATAAATTTTAATTATTTCATCATAACTGTGTTGTTCTTCACTATACTCATTTGATAAAAAAAAAAATCTAGAATCCTTGTAGCCCAAGTTTTTTTGGAGGGTGGGGGTGGGGTGGGGTGTAAATTTAGCTGACAAAGACTAAGTGGTTCTCTCAAAAAAGAAAGAAAGGAAAATGTCAAATGTATAATATACCATAAAAACTAGATACAGACACTTACAAAATGAAATGCAAATACTATACACGTTCATATCCTGGAAACATATTGATCAGAAAGTCCTGTGAGCCTGAGTTGAACACAAATCACATTTGTTATAATCAATTTTTTTTTTCAGCATTTAGATAATATAAATATCAATTTTTAAAATAATGTCTTAAATTTCACTACAGCTAAACTTGTCTATAAATGGACTTTAATGTTTGAGTACCTTTGGGTAATAAATTTTCATGTTTGTTCCATATGCGTCTTCCATAGAGCCGTAATAAGGGTAGTAATACGGCCTAACAACAGAGTCATTAAAGACGGCATAAAGGATTTTGTCACCAGAGGGAGACCACCAGATAGCATTGTCAGAAGATATAATCTCCTCTGGAAAATAAAAACAGTTAGGAGGAAAGTCAAGCAATAAGATCAAGAAATGACACTCATTCTTAAGGTCTCCTGTCGAAAATAAACAAATATTAGAACAACCAAACTGCTAAAAACATAAATACTAAACTTTCTTAATATGTTTTTCTTCCATTTTTCAGTTCTTGTGGGGATTGATTGTGATGAGGCATCATGGCTATAGACACATTTCAGATTTCTGTTTACCTTCATAAACCCAGTCAGGGACTCCATTAAATATTTCTCCTGTGCCTGGATCTTCAGCTATCAACACTGGAGTGGCATTCTGGTCCCATGGATTAGCCAGATAGAATATCGAGTTGTGATGAACAAAAACCTAAATGGAAGATTGTGACTTTACATTCATACTAATCTTTTTCACTTGTAAAATTCAAGTACATCAGTTAACTTAACAATTAATGCATAATGCTCATCTCTAGATTAATCTTTTGAATATTTTACGTGTACATAAATTGATGTATTCAAAATTTAGTGCAATCACTGGGTATAGGGTGATTAGTGTAATCATGAATTAGCGCTACACACATTCGCGCATTATAATGTTTTTATAAATGATTTTTTAATGGTATTCATAAATTAGTGCATTGTTGTCCGTGCCAAAGCCCGAAAATATGAAGCCTGTTTTTTTAAGTACACATACTGTATGCTCTTCTTAGTGCTTAAAGTTCATGTGCATCAATAACATCATGTTCTATTATGTGCCACTAATCGCAATTACTCATGCCAAAGTAGTACTTACCACACTATGCCCCTTTGGTGACCAGCTGACATATTGGTATCTCTCTCCAACTGGATTAAAGTCTCGTATTTCTCTATCAGAAGACAAATTTTCAGAGATATCAATTGAAAACAATAAGATCTATAATGCTACATCATAAAAGTCTGATAAAAACAGTGTACCTTGTTTTCAATTCTAGTATTTTGTATTTGCTTTTCTTTGAATGTCTGTAAATCTACAAAAAAAAAGTCATGATTTTTAAATTCATCATGCATTTGTATTGTTATAATGAAGAGGAATTATTTCTATCTATGGCTGTCTATTTTTTTTCTCTATGATTCAATAAAATTTGCCCATAATAAAACTGCAAAATATTCCAATCGTCTTTCTCCTTAATTTTTATTTGACAATGAAAGATCTTTAAAAATTTGAAAATTCAAACATAAAGGTTTCATACCAACCACTGAAAGATTGAATTGCAATCAAAATCAAGCCAATTTTTTCATATGATAATGTTTTTCAATAGAGTGCAACATATAAAAACTCCAGAAAATCAAGTATTAAAATAAGAGATGTAGATTGAACTCACCCCCTGGACTTCATAAGGCAGCAGGACAAACATCTGATCAGCTGAGATGTGATATTCTCCAGTGTTTAGCTCTCTCTGCAATAAATTAAAGTTACATACTGCCCTTTACTAGAATCCCTGAAAATCCACGCTTATATTTTTCTTTATCATAAACTACTTCTAATTCTCTGTATTTAAATCATTTTAATAGTTAAACTTGAAGCAAGATGTCTTAATTTATTTTAAGTGACAATTTACAATATCTTACAAATGTTGAATTGTCTAGAAGTTCCGTTGTCACGTTGGAAGTACAATTGTAAAGTAAGACAGAACCTTCTTCATTTCTGTACACAAAGGAATCATCTAAATGGAAAGAAAACAGAATACTGAGCATTTAAAATTCAATATAATTCTTAAAACCAAAAGTCTCTGATGAGACTGTAGCTCTACTGGTTTCTATGCATAATAGTGGAAGAGTAAAGTTGCACCTAGATGGACTTATAACAATTTTTTTGTTTTACATTCACAGAATTATGTATCCAAATGTTCTAAACTGGTGACAAGTGTTATTGAAATTGAATTGAAACTATAGGAGGAGGGGTATTTTGAAAGAATTTCACAAAAATTTCTATTCTTAATCACCTTGGAAACAATGTGCATGTTCATTGAAATCATTTATGGTAATTAAGAAATCTATTTTCAGTTTTTTAATGAACCTGATGCTTTTGTCACAGGCATATTTCACAAAGTGCATTACACAGTTCATCGAAATCAAAACTAATATATATAGAATTGTGTACTTGGTGAAGTCTATTATATGTATGCCAAGTTTCATTGAAAACAAATAAAACTGTAGATTGATCACTGTTTGTTATCTTCACATTTTACATGCAGAAGCATTATAAAAGAATTTTACAAAAAAAAATTAATATACGAAAATCAGACTACAACTCTAGAAAGAGAAGCATTTTGAAAGAATGGATCTGCACTGCATAAGGTGACATGATTTGCAAATGTCATAAAAGCCTTACTGAATAGCTTTACTATAGAAATAAAATTCAATGTGCATTAGTTTACTTCGCATTGACTGTCGTGTGAACACAAATTAATTTGCATTATTTTATGCGAATTGAATATTTAATGTGCATTCGTGTGAACAGGGCATTGAATTTCATTAAGAAATTATGCAGATGCAAACTTCTTTCCATAAAAATCAACTATCGGAAGACTGTAGAGGAATCAACATCAGAGAAAACCTTCTGGAATTACAGCACTGTTCTCTGTGGCAATGTTTAGTGCCAGTCAACAAAACTCTATCTCTGTGTCTACAGGGTTATCGCGCGGATCTGTTCACCTATGTGTAAACCTCATTATAAAAAAAGAAGCAGAAACATATGTTCTTACAGCTATGCCGATATCATAATTAATTAGAAATCCAGACTCTAGTTATTACACGGTAATGCACCTCAGAGAGAAAAACAAAAATAACTTGTTAGCTAGGAGTCTAAGACAAGGTTGCTATTTTCATGGTAAAAAAAATATACTGAAGAAAACCGCAGATGTAGGTTGTTCAACAACAAAATTAAGCTTCGTACTAGCTTCTTTATTAGGGATCAAACATTCGCATTAACCAAAATAATTTAAGCTATTTCCTGAGTGAAAAAGATTTGTAGGGGATTTTGCAAAAACCGGAAATTCTACAAAATATTGCAAATCATGCATACTTTGGTAAGAACAATATATTGATTGTACATGGTTGTGAAGCACTTATAAACCATCAGTTGTGACAACATTCACATCCAACTCTTCTATGCTCACTAAGCACAAGTAAATGTAAATTTCTATCACTACATACCATATCTACAAAGTTTGAGGAAGTCTACAATAGCTAGTTGCACATCATCAAAGATGCCAAGTTTTGATGTACAGTGTATATGAATTTTAAAATATACAGACAGACATACTAATATGCAGGATATATACTGCTACATGCTAATCCATCTATATTATATCAAGGACAGCCAACTCAGCTAGCTAAAGTAAACTTGATCTAAACATTGTTGAGATGGTGACCATCTCAAAGGACCCCACTTTTAGCAAGGACATTAGGATAAAGGACCCTTTATCAAAGGACACTCTTTGGGTGAACTTTAAGCCAGATGGGTCAAATGGAGAAATAAATTTTACAAAGATTTGCTTTAACCTTGACCACTTACTTTGCACACCCTCTACCCATGGTACCCATGGGCACTTGATGAAGTTTGAGCCAGATAGGGCCAAGGAGAGAGAATGTACACTCTGGACAAGAATTTCTTACCTTGATCTCTTATCTAGAAAATTGGTTCAAGGTCATTGCACACCCTCTACCCACAGGTACTCTATGGGCTAGGTAGGTCCAAGAGGAGAGGAAAATATACTTTGGACAAGGATTTTACACATAGAGGTTTTTGTAACCTCAACCTTTGTCCAAGAAAATTGGTTCAAGGTCACTGCACACCCTCTACTCATGGGCACTCTATGTGTGGAGCATTGGTGCTCATGGGTACTTCACTGGGTGAAGCATGAGACAACTGGGCCAAGGGAGAGAAAATATGATCTGGACATTTATTTTACACAAAGAGGTTTTCTGACCTTGACCTTTGATTGGATTTTGGTTCAAGGTCAATGCAAACCCTTTACCTAAAGGCACTCTATGAGTGAAGTATGAGCCTGACTGGGCCAAGGGGAGAGAAAGTATACTACTTACAAGAATTTTTTGAGCAAAGAAATTTTCTGACCTTGATCTCTTATCTACAAAATTGGTACAAAGACACTGCACACCCTCTACACACTGGTGCTCTTTGGGTGAAGTAAGAACCCAACTGGGCCAAGGGGATAGAAAATATGATCAAAACAAGGATTTTATGACCTTGACCTTTGATTATCGTTTCAAGGTCACTGCACACCCTCAACCCACAGGAAATCTATGCATGAAGTTTGAGCCCAACTTGGCCAAGGGAAGAAAAAATATGCTCAAGACAAATGAAATCGGATGGACAAAGAGATGGACAGACTGATCACTGTAGGACTTGCAGAGCATGGTCCTAACTAATCTCTGACTATTGATGCTGCTACAAGTACATGTACCAAACCCGTAAATCAGTTTTGAAGAATTTGCTTTTCTGCCAATTGAAAGATTCAATGAAAAGGAAACATTAACACTGTATCATACATAACTGTCAGCATCTTCTGTTTGACATTTGGTCTTCTGTTTGACATTTTGTTTTTCAATGTTGTATGAATGTCACACCTGTCATCTACATGATATATCATCAAGGTCTCAGCTAGATGACAACTGACTGCATTATTCACTTGTTTTTATCTAGTGATTCTTCTTACACAATTAGGTGTATTTACTATGTCCTTCACTTTTCTTACCATCTCTCCATTTAGGGTGAAAACTATGAATCTTGTAGTCATTTCCAAAGAAATCGTCAAAGGTGAACTTCTCTTTATGGCGTTCTTCTTCACTACCTGCAAAAAGCAATGAAATGTCAATGAGCTAAAAATTTAATGCTTTAAAAGTTTATGCCTTTCCAGTGTGTAAAAAATATTGCTCATGCAACCAGACCGTGCAGTTACGGTAATAATGTAGAGCAATGTAATGTACTACTGGGGTTTACAATATGCCGGTCTGTATATATGCAAATCAATTTATGCATACTGATAGTCACAAGCTGTGACCCTGCCATTTGCAACTATATTGGAATAAAATTACTGTAACATATAAACCTTAAGTCCTCTATAATATACAAAACACAAAAGAGTTTTGTATTAAAGAAAAGGATAAAACAAAAGGACTTAATTGCAGTGTGCAATCTATGATCTGGACATGGTTTGACATAGCCGTAGTCCAAGGTATCATATTTTTGAGCAATGACACACCTTTTCCTCAAGATCCATCAACTGACAGGGTTTGATCTCACAGCTAGTGTGAAATACATGATGTAGATATGAAAAAGCCAAAAGACAGACAGACAGACGGTTGGAAAAGCCTATACCATCATATTACAGTCCATGAAAAGATGGGCAAAATAAATAAGAATTGATAAAAATCTGTCAAACCTGATCGAAACTTGTTACAATTCAGCACTAAAGTACCATTTAAAAAAGACAGCAGAGTATACAAATATACAGCAATTAGCATATACTGTAAATGTATTGTATTTAGCGTGTACGATATTTGGCGGAAATTGATTTCTGAACAAGTTAGCGAAGATTTGATTAAGCACATTTCTTAATGTTCTTGTTTATGTATATATACGCAAGACATTTAGCATTGTACTTAAATTAGCGGAAGGTTCTTTCTGCCAAAAGTGCTAAAAAGAATACATAGCCAAACGTAATACATTTACAGAAATCTTCTTATCATTTTCTGTATACAGAGTCATCACACCTGCAATCAAATTATGCCCAGCTTAAATTCGCAAAGACTCTATTGTGTTGAAGAGATAATGCTGACTTCTTAAAATTTGCCCAATTGCAACGAGGGCAAAGGGGGCAAAATAAAAGTGTGGACAAACTTTTCCCTGTATACAATATCTAGAAGCAGTGTAGCAATCACTATAAACCCCACTTAGTATGATATCACATTATGAGGGTTAGTAGAATTCATTAATGATATAGCTGTATTATCTATCAAGCATCATGTTAACCATCAATGATACATCATCCTATAACTTAAGAATTCAAAATGTCATGAAACATGGATATAGCAATAATTAATACAAAATCACTAATGATAAAATATACTTACCAGGTATATCACTAATGAGTGTAAATATACATCCATTTCTGCAACGTTATATCTAATCATTAGTAAATTTTGTATCATTAGAAGATTTTGTATCATTGGTGGTTACTATAAAGCATTGTATGTATTATTTAATAGCAAACCAAAGCTTTTAACCACTATACATATTATATTAACTGGCAAGTCTGATTAATCCTCTTTTCTCTTATAAGCAATACCTTTCTTAGTGTCATCATCTACAAACATGGAATTATAAAAGTAACAAAAATTATCAGGAAAATGGAAATACACAAACCAATCAGGTACATTAGCATGTTATTTAAAAGAAATAAAAAAACTATAAACCTGTTCAAAAACATAAATAAATGCTTATACCTGTTATCCAAGACTACATAAAGACACAAGAGACCCATGGGCTACATTGCTCACCTGAGCACTTTGGCTAGAGAAAAGCAGAAAAGAGTTCAGTATTGAAAAATTTAAATATTTAAGTGCCCCATCCCCCAGAGGGGCAGGAGAGATCATGATTTAAACAAACTTGAATCTACACTACCTGAGGATGCTTTCATATAAATATGACTAATCATGGCCTTGCTGTTCCTGAGAGGGAGATTTTAAAAGATCTTGCTATATATATTCCTTTGTAAAATTTTGATCCCCTATTGTTGCCCACCCTACTCCAGGGCTCATGAATTGAACAGATTTGAATCTACACTACCCGAGGATGCTTCCATATAAATATGACTAATAATGACTTTGCTGTACTTGAGAAGAAGATTCTTTAAGATTTTTCCCTATGTATTCCTAGGTAAAACTTTGATCAGCCATTGTGGCCCAGTCCTAGCCGGAAGGGTCATGATTTGAACAAACTTAAATCTAAACTACCTGAGCATGCTTCCATATCAATATGACTAATCATGTCTTTGTTGTAGAAGTAGACTTTTGCAGATTTTTCAGATTTTTCCCTATATTCCTATTTTAAATTTTGATCCCCCATTGTGGTCCCCATCCTACCCCTGGGATCATGATTTGAACAAACTTTAATCACACTATGTAGCAAAGGTTCCATGTATGTTTGCACTTTTCTGGCCCAGTGGTTCTTGAGAAGATGATTTTTAAAAGATGCCAATAAATTTTCATTAATTCTTAATGATCTCCTTTTCACAAGAGGGCATGACCCTTCTGAATCATTTGAACAAACTTGAATCCTCTGAAACTTGATGCTTTGTGGCAAGTTTAGTTTAAATTGGCCCAATGGTTCTGGAATAGGAGTTGAATATGTGAAAAGTTTACAGATGGATGGACAGACAAACAGATGAATGGCAAACACAATATGATCAGAAAAGCTCACTTGAGCTTTTAGCTCAGGTGAGCTAATGAAAAGTTGTACAGTGTCTTAATGAAAAGAATTGCAACAAGTACTGGTTTTTCATTTTGTTTATTTCATTGTATATCTATTATATGTTCTTTAAATAAGCCCAATGTCATAAGTTGTTCATGATCATACCAAGAAAGAAAAAAATATCATCATTCCCTCACAGTGCTTTTTGACCCCATGATCACAAAACACAAAACATTCAGTTTTTGGTCTTGATCAGAAATTACGCAAAATACACATCCAAAACAAATGTCCTGAGACCATGAGTCATAATTTCAACAATACTTAGAAGAGGGTTCAATGCAAATACAGAAGTGATTCCAGAACAAGAATTTTAAAGAAATAGCACATTTTTAAAAAAAAAAACAAAACAAAAAAACATGACCAACTTACACCCTCCCTAAGGCTAAATCCTTTGCCCGGGGATCATAAATTAAAAAAATTGATAAAGGGCCAATTTGCTTTTTATAGTCAAGCAAACAATTTGTCTGTGAGTTTTGAAAAAAGTTATGCATTTTCAATAAAAGGCCAACTGCATATCTGTACCCTAAAATTTGAATCTTGGACCCAGATTTGACCAGGTCAAGTATTTCACATCTTGATCAAGAGCTTCTTGTTCATCATAATCACGAGGGAAAAAATCCTGTTACAATCCAATATCAAAGAAAAAGATTCTGAAGGTGCATTAATTTTGTGGTTTTTGCTATCACAGAAGAGCTAGAAGTGTGAAGGAAAGTAATCCCCCCTCCCCAGATGCTGCAGGTACCGGTACTTTAATTCTGGTCGGAATTTGCTAAGGTGACATTCAGAGATGAAAATGTTCAAAATGTTTATACACAACATTGCTCAAAGACTGACTGTAAGACATAACAATAAGTCACTGTTCTTATAAAACAGAGCAGTACAATTTTTTTTTTATAAAATGGACAAGTGCCAGTTATGAGCCTTGAATTTGTGACTACAAGGCTTTTTAATGCAATTTTTTTATATGCAAGACATTCAAATGAGACAGGTCTTAAAGGTTGTGAACAACAACTGAGCATAATATTTATGTCCAGCTTTTTGACATTGTAGGATACTCACAGGTGATATTAGATCACCTATTGGTATCTGACAATGGCTTTCTGAGTGGTAGTAATTTTATGCTGTACCTCTGATGTCATGTTACACTGCATTAGTACCTCAAAGTGAGGCTGGGAGAACTATCTCCCATTCATGATTACTTTAGCAGTGGTCAAACTAATTTTGATATCAATTTCATATATTTCAAGCTGTGAAATGTCTTTTATCCATGCTGTTCTACAGTAAAGCCAAATATATTCTATGAATAGAAGCATAACTGCGTGAACTTTGACCATGTTGCATACCGGTATTTCTTCATATTGACGTATGTATTAAGAAAATATCCACTTGAATGAGTGTACATTAACAAACCTAAATACTTCAAAGGAAACTAAAACAATCTTTTAATGCTACAATTTTAATATAAAATATCACTGTAAAGATAAAATCTCCAGAATGAATTACAGCTGTTTATCCCTATAAACATCTTGTTGATTTAATTTTCAAATTACAACATTCTTTCATCCATGGATCATTATCCAAAATGGCAAGCAAATAATTCATCTTTATAGACTATGATAGTAAAAAAACACAAAAATTTGATGTGATTAAATTAGATGAGTAATTCATTTATTGTAAGCACTCATTTTTTAAAAGCAACTTAATGTAATGCGTGGATCGAGTACCCCTTGTGAATACTGATCAAGTTAGTAGCCGTCGAACAGAATTAAATTGCTTTGCTGATAAAATTTGCATATTTACATACAGAAATTAGTTTTTCTCCTTGACAGTAAATTTCAATTCACCAGAGGCTGGCATGTTTTCTGGTGTTCCAAAAACAGTTCCAGTCACTGAATTTCTGAACTTCAAAAAGCCAGACCCATTTATTGTCTAAGATATTACTTCATGCACTCTGAACATTAATTATTACTGGCAGAGGTAATCACAAAATTTTTAAACTGACGTAAGTAAGAATTTGAATTATGTAAGTAAATGTATTTTTAATTTTTATATTTTTATGATATAAACTTGCAACATATCTTATCATTGTATTCTAACTGTTCAAAGCAATGATATGCATACTACTCATCCTCTATTTTATCTGGGTTTTTTTTTTTTCATCTAGTAATCATAATACGTGTATTTGTACTTCAAGTACATAAAAGCCGAGTCAGAACTCCATTCCTGTAAGCACTACATAACACAATGTAGATTATTAAACTTTCATGTTAAATACTCAAATCTGATTAGTTGAGATGTATTTAACAATTCGTAATGTTACCCTCAGCAATAGCAATGCACTTGACAATGGGTAACACAACGAAATCTCACATGCGTGTTAATTATGCGAGTACGATTCGCTGTAGAATTCTCAAAATGTCACTTGTACATTTGAGAGAAGATGAATAAAATTTACATCAATTAAAAAGCTTGTGTTCGATGTAGCTTGATTGAAAACAAATACTGTAAATCCCTTTTTATTTGCGAGAATTTTATTTTAGCATAATTACGAGAGACAGATTATTTGCGAAAATATTATTCTCGCATATAATAGTATTCCTAAAGATTTTATAGAGCAGTAACCACAATTCATGAAAATTTCTTTCGCTTTTAAGGAGTAAATGTTTATCTTGAATAAATACTGTAATAAATTTTAAGTGATCTACATGTACAGTAAAAGACAGACAAAAAAATGCTTGCGAGTGCAGAAATAACAAACATTTCAATGATTAAGGACTTTCTGAATGAGGAGGTGGGTCATTTTTTTTTTAACTTCCTTATTGAGAAAAACAAAAGTGGAGAGTGTGAAACCTTTCTAATTGTGAACTTACTTCTCCAATTTTTTTTTCTTCGCTGACTTAAATCAAAAAGACATTCAGTATAATAAAATAAATAGTGCCTGTTTTAGAGGGAAACAGTTGAAATTGACATCCCTCAGAAAACCATTGTCAACCTCCGCTGATGCATCTGTTGACAATGGTTTTCTTTGGGGTGTAAATTTCAATTGTTATTCTCCAAAACAGGCACCATTTATATATCATAACAACCCCCCCTCCCACCCCCACTTTTAGATGCTGTCTCCCATTAGTAACAAACAGTAGAGTCACAACATTTCTGAAACAATATCTTGACAAACTAGAAATATGTCCATAGAACATGAATGATCCATCCAGGGTTCATTGGTAATGTAACAGAAAATTTGTATTAGTGTATGAAGTTTGATGAAAATACCTTGAATAGTTTCTTTAAAACTGAGTTTAGTACATAATAAATAGTAAATTCAAAGGTCACTGGGAAGGTCAAGGTAAAAAAAAAAATGGAAACAGTTGATAAATTCTCACCAAATAATGTATCACTGCATAAGCTTACATAAAAACACATCTGGAATAGTTTCTTTGAGCTAAAACAAATTTGAGAAAAGTGAGGTCAAGGTCAAGGGAAAGATCAAGGTATAAAATGTTGATGCAATTGAAAAGCTCTCATCAATATGTATAAGCATAATTATAAAGTTTGATAAAAAGATCTTGAATTCTTTCTTTGAAACTAAGCTAAACACAAATTTGAAGTCAAGCTCAAAGGGAAAGTCAAGGTCAAAAATGTTGAGACCATTGAATAGCTCTCATTAATATTTACAAGTATATCATGTTTGATTAAAATATCTTAAATAGTTTCTTTGAAACTGAGCTTAATCCCATTTAAAGATAAGTGAGGTCAAGGTCAAAGGAAATGCCAAGGTCAAAAATGTTGATGCAGTTGAACAGCTCTGATCAATATGTATAAGCATATATGGTTTGATAAAAAAATCTTAAGTTTCTTTGAAATTGAGAAAATCACTTATTTAAGAAAGTGAAGTCAAGGCCAATAATAAAAGGAAAGGTCAACAAATGTTGATGCAGATGAAAAACTCTCATCAATATGTGTCAGTGAATGAAGTTTGATAATAATACATGTATCATGAATAGTTTCTTTGAAACTTAGCTAAACACAACTTTAAGAAAAGTGTGGTCAAGGTCAAAGGAAAGCTCAAGATAAAAAAATGTTGATGCACTTGAAGAGTTTTCATCAACATGTATCAGCACATAAAGTTTGATAAAAATATCTTGAATAGTTTCTTTGAAACTGACCTATAACCCAAAGTGTGACAGAAGGATGGAAGAATGGAAGGACGGAAGACAAACATTATTTGCCCAAGCCATATTCATGCTGGGGCATAAAAAAACTCTATTTGAAAACCTAAAGTGTGCTTTCTCAAAGGTATATGAATACGACAACTGTTGTTAAAATCAGTACTACATATAGCAAAATTCAATTGATTGACCCGAATCAGCTAACAGGACATCCTGTAAGAAAACAAGAGGCCCATGGGCCACATCGCTCACCTGAGTAACTTTGGCCATGCTGTTCATTACCAGACTTCCCCCCTTGTAATACCTATTGTGGCCCCGCCCTACCCCCAGGGGCCATGATTTGAACAATTTAGAATCTATACTACCCCAGGATGCTTCCACACAAGTTTCAGTTTTTCTGGTCCAGTGGTTCTTGAGAAGATTTTTAAAGATTTTTCCTATATATTTCAATGTAAAACTTGGGAATCCCTATTGTGCCCCCCCCCCCCATCCCTGGGGTCATGATTTGAACATTTTAGAGTGTACGCTACTTGAGGATGCTTCCACATAAGTTTCAGCTTTTCTGGCTCAGTGGTTCTTGAAAAGAAGATTTTTCAAGATTTTCCTATATATTTCAATGTAAAACTTGGATTCCCTATTGTGGCCCCGCCCTACCCCCCGGGGTCATGATTTTAACAATTTAGAATCTACACTACCCCAGGATGCTTCCACATAAGTTTCAGTTTTTCTGGCTCAGTGGTTCTTGAGAAGAAGATTTTTAAAGATTTTTCCTATATATTTCAATGTAAAACTTGAATTCCCTATTGTGGCCCCGCCCTACCCCCGGGGGTCATGATTTGAACAATTTAGAATCTACACTACCCCAGCATGCTTCCACATAAGTTTCAGTTTTTCTGGCTCAGTGGTTCTTGAGAAGAAGATTTTTAAAGATTTCTCCTATATATTTCAATGTAAAACTTGTATTTCCTATTGTGGCCCCGCCCTACCCCCGGGGGTCATGATTTGAACAATTTAGAATCTACATTACCCCAGGATGCTTCCACATAAGTTTCAGCTTTTCTGGCTCAGTGGTTCTTGAGAAGAAGATTTTTCAAGATTTTTCCTATATATTTCAATGTAAAACTTGGATTCCCTATTGTGGCCCCGCCCTACCCCCGGGGGTCACGATTTTAACAATTTAGAATCTACACTATCCCAGGATGCTTCCACATAAGTTTCAGCTTTTCTGGCCCAGTGGTTCTTGAGAAGAAGATTTTTTTATGACCCCACCCTATTTTTGTCTTTTCTTGATTATCTCCCCTTGTAAGGGGACTTGGCCCTTTATTTTAACAATTTAAACTCCCCTTCCCCCAAGGATACTTTGTACCAAGTTTGGTTAAAATTGGTCCAGTGGTTCTTGAGAAGAAGTTGAAAATGTGAAAAGTTTACAGACGGACGGACGGACGGATGGACAGACGGACGGACGACGGACAACGGGTGATCAGAAAAGCTCACTTGAGCTTTCAGCTCAGGTGAGCTAAAAACTTAATCTGCAGTTTCAAAACATAGGCACTTGTTTCTATAGAAAAAAGTTCATCCCCTTTTTATTACAGAAACAAGTACCTGTGCTTCCAAAGCATCCCTAACTAGCTCTGTAGAGCTTTACAAAAATGCCCAACATGAAACAAAAAACAAATTTGATATAGACCGAGTCTGAGGCTTACCTGGTGTGACAAGGATGATAGCAGTGATAATGAGGGCACACACAATCAAAATCACCAGGAGGGCAATGGCAATCCCCCTCCAATTTCTCTGCTGGGTTGTTCCCCCAACCAGCTCCTAAAAAAAAAAAGAGAAAAGTTTTTTAAGGAAAAGAAATTATAGTATTAGTCGACTCTTAAATATGAAGTCCAACTTTGGACATTTAGATTACCCTGTCTTTCTCCATGTAGAAATCTGCAAAAAATTAAGCCTCAGTCAATAAAAGAAACTGTTCTCTCTAAACTTTTCAGAAAGTAACTTTTTGTTGTTTCTTAAAACCTCACTTCAACATATATTACACTTTTATCAAGTACTCTTCACAGGGATGCAATTTAAAGTACATACACAAAGCAGATTCTTATAATTCTAGTAACTTCAACAACAAAAAAAAAACATTAAAGGAAGCCAACTTTCATGTACTTAATCAAATTGTGTTGCTCAAAATAACTAAGAAATAATTAAATAATCTATCAGACTTGGAAAAAAGTTCAAATTGCATTACTCTTCAATTCCGTCCATAACAACAAAACCACAAAAATGATGAAAAAAAAAGTCAAATACAATACCACATTTTTTCCTACCATATGCCGATTATAACAAAAACACTAAGTGAAAAACACTTCCAAAAGATTACCGTAGCCTCCGATATTTGCATAATAGTGAGACGGATTTCAAGAATCTCAATTTCAATCCATTAGAAATAAAAAAAAAAAAAAACCAGCCAATATATTTTGTATGTGTTCTCAAACTCCAGGGCACAAAAAAACAAAAATATACAGATGCTAAGATTTCCTTAGCAATGCATTCTGGAAATTGATGGATTCTCAATTCCAATATGCTGCGCTCAGGTTGAAATCATTCACAGTATAAGTGGGATTTACGTAGAGTTCTATTATAATGATTTACCGTAGAAGATTCCATTTTCATGACTGATAGCTTAGTTTATTACATAAATTTTATAATGAAACACGGAACATGTTGATTCCCAAATCAATTTTAGATCCGTAAACTGTATAGCACACACGTGGGATGAACTCGATATGGGAATTAATTTTCACAGTTTTATACACAGCTGATGAAAAACAAGTGGGATGAAATTTTCTGTTTTTTTCTCTTTAACAAAGCATTATTGAAGAAATGGCATAAGTACTTTGTTATGAAAGGGCAACCACCTAAATATTATACCATCGGTTGGCAATATAAAATCATTATCCCAAATCCCAATAAAAACAACACCAGTGTACATTTTAATATCTAAGTTGAAGAATTTGTAACAATATACCTGATCACCATCACTCTCCACACTAAGACTCTTCTTCATTCTTTTGTCTATCATAGTTTTTCTTTAACTTTTAATTAAAAGAAACTATTTCCTTTCAGGATCAGCTGTGTTGCTTTTTTGCTGACCCTTCTCAGATATTTCTGTTTCAGAGGAAAATCACCGTACATATGCAACAATTAATATCCATAAAGTTTTTGATGAAAATTTATATATCACTGTAGATCACTTAACAATATGTACTTAATTCACACATGTACAAAGGCTAATTTACAGAATACAAGTCCAGATTCCATTATTAAAGGCAGTCAGAAAATTAAATCAAACTTGCTGCTTTCTCCAGGAATTGATATCAGAATTCATGGCTAAGCAAAGAAGACATAAGGAAATGAACTGCAGGATGAGTCAATGTCTATAAGCCAGGCTGAAGCGTAGCTCAATACTAAAAGCGAACCCCTGTCTTCTGGATGTCCTTAATTGCAGCAAATCTTGGAGGAACCGTGGAAAGAATTGTCAATAATTCTCAGATCCTAACTGCCATGACACAAAACTTCTGTCACAGACACATCGATTCAAGCTCGATTCAGGCTTTGGTTGTTAATTATTTTTTGGCCATTTTGAGACATTGCCTCTATGGATCATCCATCACGTCTCCGCAGGGAATACAAGAAGCAGTGCCTTGGGATCTCTTTTAGTAACTGTCAGATGCTTGCCCATTCCGGATTTCTTTGGGAAAGACATTAAATATTTTTTTCGCATACAAAGGATGCTCGCTATTTGTCATAATCGTTAACAATATGCATCATCATTCAAGCAAAGTGCTTGGAGAAAAAATCTTAATGCACGATAATAGGAAAGTTTGGAGGCTAGTACTTTGTTCCTTTTCCCTATGCTAAAGACATTAACTCACTCAGGAAATTAGAAGAGAACATTATTCTCAATTATAAAAAGAAGGTTTTTTTGGTTAAAAATGTTTTTCCAACCCTGCATCTTTACAGTTAAATGATAAAAGTATTTCCCATTGTAATAAGAGAGCAAAGAATCTTGCAGGTGTTGAAATGATATTCTCTTTTGGGAAGTCATGGCATTCTTAATCAATATTCAAATGAAGGATATCTGCTGATTCAGCCATTTTACAAAATATAAATTTGCTTTAAAAAATTTTTTGCAATGTACTTCAGTGAAAAAATAATGGGGCCAAAATTTCTTAGAATAAACAGTATTAAAACAGTAATGTGTAATATTAATGTATAAAATGTCGAAGTGAATATAATTTGCAGCTACACTATAAATG